AACAAAATAATATAAAAATTATAATATAAAACTGACGTTCATAAGGGGCTAAAATGTCCTACATGAATAAATGATTTTTTAATTTTAATTTGAATACACATTAACAGGACTTAGTCATCCGAATATTTATATACTCGGGTTGTTCGTAACAAGTAACAATAATAATATATATAAACAGGACAATTCACACAGCGTTATCTAGTCCCAAGTTAAGCTAGTTAAAGCTTGTTATAAGTATTAGATCATACCAACACATATTTTTGTTTTTCGTAAATACTTACACATTATGGTATATATAGAAAACATCTAGACTGATACAAACAATCGTACTCATGTATACAAATTTTAGTACCGTGCTAGAAATCGAACCCGCGACCATCGGAAGTAATGCGGTGTGCTAAATCGCTAGGCCACCGAGGTCATCATATTAACTCAATAAGGTGTAGCGCGATTTTGTTCAATGCATTTACTGTCAGAAAGAACATAAAATCCATGTCAATCAATTCAAGAAACAACAATCTATCAATGAAAAAGTGAAATCTAACTTACACTTGTTTCACAGTTATTTCTATGCGAATACCGTAATTTATTTAAAAAAAACGTACAAAATGAAGAACTATAGAAGATTCTAAATAAATACCTACTTATAAAAATCTCGCACAAAATTGTACGAGGATGTTGACTTGGTATCAAAACTCAAGAATCCCGTACCCGCTGGATATATTATTATATACTGGAGTCTAATTTAATTGTCAATTTCAATCCAATTTAATTTTATTTCTACGATTTTTTTAAGACGATGATTGATTTTTTAAGACCGAACCTAATAAATTGATTACAGTGTTTGTTTTTTTAATTAATGAAAATGGAATGGACCATCCGCCTGCTCGATAAAGATTTACGCTGGCGGGAAAACCTGTGTAAAAAAAGAAGATGAGCATGAGGTCAAGTCAGTTAACTCATCGTGGCAAATTCACCAGGAATGTATCATGATGTTTTCCAGAGGGCACCGCGTTCATTAGTCCACTTTACAACCGATATCCTCCTCTTTGACCATAAAATATCTAATTAATACATATCTATTTAATACACTACCACAGTATTGCATATTATTTAATATTAATCGGACCAATGAAATGGCAATTATTCGGAATTAGTTCCTGTCAGGAGTAGACAGGTTGTAGTAGGTAAAACTACCTTATCTATAATGTAGAATAGAAGACTCACAATATTTATTTTTTACAGATTATCAATTCTATACTCGTCATCGGTATTATTGCAGGCCTGGTATGGTATGACATTCATTATTATCAAGCTCTACATCCCACTGATTACAAATTAGTGAACAACGTTTATCAGCAGACAGACGAAGCCAACAAGTTATACGAGCAGGCTATTTATGTAAATATAATTTTAGGTGTAAGCCTGATGTTGAGCTTGATATATTTCGCATTTTCCGTATTGTTGCTCAACGGATTAATAAAGGTAAGCGTTATTTATACATTCTATATAAATACGAGAAACAAAAACTTTGTACCTGTCGCGGACGGAGGAGTATGAAATTTTCCATACTTATAGTTTTATAGAAATAAGAAGGATCGCAGAATACTAATATTTTTTCAAATTATCCATAAAAATTCATTAACCTTTCGAATGTCCGTCGTCAGTCGCAGCAACCAAGAGCAATCTTATTTTATATTAAATAAGGATAAAATTGGTTAAAAAGAAGTCACTGTTTTGAGGGCACAGACAGTAATACGGTTTAAGAAGCGTGCACAGATCTCTGTCGAAGTATGTTTCTCTTGTGTTTATTGCTGAAAAAGATCTGAACAGCGGCGGCGACTTTTTATATTATGTAAATATATTCCTGAAATTGTTGTATCAAGTATCACCCACTTACAGAAATAGTAGCAGTGTACAAAGTCTTAGATTACTTGAAGGAAAGGTTTATAGAATAAATATGTATGTGTACTACACGCACACAGAACACTTTGTATTTATATATCAATATTAATTATATTAATTACATTGCGATGATTGAGATACATATTCCTGGAACAAAAGGTCCATCAGTAACAAATTATAAGGTACTGGGCATTCTCGTGAATCACTAAAAAGTTAATAAATATGTAGTATACACATTAACAGAATTTGAATAAATAACCCTGGACAATTAACACAGCGGCATCTAGTCCCACGGAAAGCAAAGTTGTGTTATGGGTAGTATACAACTAATATAGTACTTAGATTTTTTTTTTGTAAATACATACATAATATGCATATAAAACACCCAGACCGATATAAACAATCATACTCATGAATACAAATGTTTGCACCGTGCGAGGAATCGAACCCGCAATCATCGGTAGCGGTGTGCTAAACCGCTGGACTACTAACGCCGCCTTAATTGAGACAAGTCTATATAATATTTTACCTTAGTTACCTTACTGTATACTAAACGTTTGCGTTTAGTATACAGTAGTATTAGCATAGTAAAACAGATCTTTACAATCAACTTTGTACAAAGTCTACATAGATTTAAATTAATGATATTATAATTTTTCAGACAAAATCCGGGCAAGTGAAGGCCTATTTCATATTTGGTGTCATTATGAATGTTTTGAACTACGTACTAATCATATTTGTACCGGCTGTAATAACTGTTTCAGGTAAGTATTTTATTACCACTTTCATATTTACACTAGCGGGTCATCCCAGCCTCGCACGGATAAAGTAAAGCATAAGATATACCTAAGTTTCTTGCATCACCTGAAAGTCCATAAGTATAGAGAATAGCGGCCTTTTTCATTCGACTGCAATAACGTAACCATTAATAAATTACTTTACAAGAATTTAAGACTGTACTAAAGTACTTTTTAGAAATAGAAATAAAAATAATCTTTATAAATATAAACATTATTTAATAGTCATATTTTTTTATTCTACTTCTATTTTAGTTGTTTACAATATGGCATTAAAAATACATACAACCCTAATTTTCACCCTTCTATCCCTATTTTAAAAACAACTAGTTGTCCCAAAATAGAACCATTTTGGGACAAGTAGTTGTTTTTAAAATCTAATCTAATCTAAGTTATAATCTTATAATATTTTTAAATTGAATTATGATTTCCAGTGCCCTACACTCTGTTGCTCGTGATGATCTACATGACGTACACCAAAATGGAGGCTAACAAACACTGTGCAACGGTATTACATGACCGTTCCGTCCTCGTCTCAGCTTAAATTACTATTGTACTAATTGTTTATTTTATGTTTACAGTTTAGTTTATATTAACAGTTCTATGATATAACGTAAGGTTATTTTCATAGTCCAAGTGGGAACTCTAAAAACAAGAACACGAGATACGAAAATATTTTATAATATTATGTTGTTAATTTATTTCACTGTTATTTTCACATGTTTACCTGATTGGGAAGAGCGGGATATACAGCACCCATAATTATCTTAATACTATTATGTAACATTATCCTGTCTATGATATTATTAATGAAAATATTAATTGACATAGAATAATTCAATATGATTAGTATTATATAATATTATATAGTTATCTTCCTAAAAATAGTCTCATAGATGATTAAAGAACCAGTCTGTAGAAATTTTTAGTCAATTAGCTTCTGACTCGAGTCACAGAAAGACTAACTTCTAAGCACGTGTAACATGTTCTTCTTTTTAGCAAACCCTCTATATATAAGTTTACTATAATCTAAGATTGGGTGTTGTGTAGCGAAGACAATACCCGATAAGTGTTTTAAATGTATTTGCGTAAACATTATTATTTTTATATTATAATAAAGACTTGTAATAAATAATTAGTTTACATTCTTCACATACTCCAATGAAAATGTCTGACACTTAGTGGAAATAGATAGAAAAGTCCTACGCCAGTGAAGCTGTACCTCGCAGCATTTAGGGATTAGTTTTCTTTTTTTAGTTTTCAATTAATTAGACTGCCTCACTTGGAACGTTGCAACCTTTTCCTATAGACATGAACAGCACTACAAGTATCACATTACTTTGCGCCCGCAGTTTGCATTCCTCATGCGTTCTTATTCCTGGAGGACTTTTGTAGAAAGACAAATACACTATTGGTTAGCTGAGGTTGATAATATATTTCCCTAATACATAGATATATACATATGGAGTAGCACGGGTCAAGGTTAACAACCTTCCCAACTAGCTACATTATTGCAGTCTGGACACAAAGTCTAGGTTCTAAACGAGTAATAATCGCTATAATGAGAATTATACATTATGTCATACATATTTCAGTATTAAAGTCATTCAACCAGAGTGCTGATGATATTCCTATTATATTTATTTATAAAGGAAGTATATTTATTAGGTATAATTCCTGTAATTTTACTGCAATTCATCCAAAAGGAAGATAGTTTTTGAAGTTAGGTTTAAGGATAATTAAGATAGAGCAGTGAAATTAGGGTATTGGGCATGACATATTAATCCTCAAGAATGTCACCTCAAATATGGTATTGTTAATTTAACATGATATCGAATGTCTTTAGATGATCAGTTATAATGTGTGTATGTAAATCTGAAAGTATCAAATGATAAATACTAAAACGCCGTATGAATATAATTAGCACAAACTGTTCTAGAAATTAATTATTGGCTTTAACATTATTCAACTAACAAGTTAGTTCTAACACAAGCTGCATACATGGGCATAATGGACACGGTGGGGCAGAGTGAAGCGCTAGCCTCACCCTGGCACTGACCTGTAAGGTAGCTAACCAAACCTAAAGAAATAAAGATCTAACTATAATACTTAATATCTGTAAGAAATATCTGCCTGCGCTATCAGTTTACGCTGGCGGATTTACCTGTGGAGTATGATAACGTTAGCATGAGATCAAGTCAGTTTGCCCATCGTGATTACCTAAACAACCAAGAATTAACTACGATGCTTTCCAGGGGGAACCGCGTTGAGTGGACGTAACATGGTACATTGCTAGCAATGGAGACACTAAATAAACCACCCTACCTCCATGTCTGCATGTTATGTAGGTACACAGAGTCCCTTAAGTCTTTGGTTAGTCTGTTTGAACTAAATAGTACCACAGATAATTTATTTTTATATAATAATACTGAATTTAGAGTTAATACTTTAAATAATATCAATCTCAGGACGATTCACACAACGCCATCAAGTTAAGCTACCTTGTGTTATGGGTGCCAGACAAGTATTACAAATACATAGATATTTTTTTCGCAAATATTATTCATAGAAAACACCCAGACCAGACCAGATACAAATAATCATACTCATGAATACAAAGTTAGCACCGTGCGAAAAATCGAAATGCGATCTTCAGAAGTAAAACGAAGCCATTATATTGTCAATTTATAAAATTTTAACTCTATAGTGGTTTGTAGAATAGAATAGAATTTTTGAAAATCATTTATTCAAATAAACTTACATTGAAGCACTTTTGAATAGTCATTACATTTTTAATCTACCGCTTATTTTCGGAAAACTGTCTCATCACAAGAAGAACGAGCAAGAAACTTGCGTATTGCTCTTTTAAATAATTTTGTTATTACTTTACATTTTTAAGTTTAAGTGTGTAAATACAAACTACAAATTAGCACTAATTCAATTAAATACTTAAATAGAAAAAATATTGCATATATAACCAACTGGTTAAACAATTAATAAGAGGAAATCAGTCATAGTGATAAGAGCAGACCAGTCCCTACAAGCAGCACCCGTTCACGAGTATGACGGATGAGCCAGCCAACACTGCGCTCGACCATATTTTAGGGAGCCCAATGACCCGGCCCACCACGCCGACACAAGTCTGGACATTTTAGTGAGCATGACTACTCAAAACACTAGACTACGTCAAAGCTACAATTGCATTCGCACGTTTCGAAATTGGAAATTGGAAATGTAAAGTTACGATTTAAAGTAGCAACACGCAAGTTTCTTGCACGTTCTTCTTGTGATGAGACATCTTTCCGAATGAGCGGTAGATTAAAATAATGATACTTATGACTATTTAATAGTTAAATTCAGTTTATTTGAATAAATTATTTTCTATTCTATTCTCTTGTATATGTTTTCCGTTATAAGTAAACCTATGTATGTTCAAATTATCGTTCACCTAGTAGTTTTGAGATATGGTTTTATATATTAAAGTTTGTCTTGAATAGTGATTACAGTCAGTAGACAAACAATTTTATAACTATGGTTAGTAATTATAATAATTCAAGACAATTCACACGAAACAGTATCTGTATTGTACTAAATAACTTATAGATATACACTTTTATTTGTAAATATATACATAATATAAACGGAAACGCCTGGACCAATTCAAACAATCATGCTCGTGAATACAAACGTTAGGTTATATAGTTGGGAAGAGTCTAACATGTGATTATTCGAAGTAAGGCTGTTTACTTAACCGCTAGATCAACGAGACTAATCTATACATCTATAGGTACATATAAATAAAATTGGAGTGTCTGTTTGTAATATTGAAATAACTGTTTTTTACTAAATGCATATAAATCAAAATAACATTTTTTACAATTGTTGTCTGTCTGTTTGTTCCGGCTAATCTCTGAAATAGTTGGACCGATTTTGACGGGACTTTTTTTGGCAGGTATGTAATTAGGTTAATATTATTTCAAAAAAATAAAATTACTGGGCTACTTATTAGCACTAAATTACATCCTTTTGGGTTTAAGTTATTCTTGTTATATTACTTATTTTTTATTTCATTTGTAGATAAGCTCATTTTAGTCATCACAATGCGTCTGAGATGGCTAGATTAAGATGATGAGATGACTATATTCTAGATTCCTAACATACAGAGCTCAGATCTAGTTTAAGGTCCAATCTCCTAATAATTGGTGGCTGTGGTTTATACCCATAATTATGTTCAATAGTGGCTTATCATAATTTGTTTGTAGGTAGTTAATTATACAATTATAGTGACAGTATCACTCTGTGGATGACACATTCGTCTCATTCTCTACCTAATATAATTAATTGTATTCATTATTTTGAATAGTCACATTGTTCAGTGGCGACGTTCGGTTAGAACAGCGGTATTTGTGGTCTATTCGCTGTTTTGCAAGTACAAGCAGGTATGTATTTGGGCCAATCAACTATTAAGTGTACGAAAAATTTTATTTAATTTTTTTTTATATTTTGTAGCATTTGCTGTAGATAATTATCTATATTTTAAGAATTCACATAGAGCAGAAGGTTTTATTTAATTAAAATAGTAATTTGACTCCGAATTCAACATGACACTAGTTAAGAGAGTCCCTTGGAGAGCTATAACCAAATAGGTTACTGAACCATTTATAATTCAGTCAAATAAGCTCTTCACTGCCAATCTTATGGTTTGCTTTAGTTAGCAAAGATTACCATGGCGTATAGAGCAAGCCACACTCTCTACAACTGACCATAAATCATTACCCAGTGGAGTAATATCGGGATTAGATGACTGCCAGTCTTCAGCTTTGATGTAGCCCGAAACGTTTGTTTCCAACCAAGCTTGGGGATAGAGCTTTACTGAAAGGACCATTCTTGATTATGCAACATGGTGTTGTTAAGGGGGATTAACCATCTACACAAGAATGGTATTCTTCTTCACAAAAATATGGTTTAATTACTCATTCATATCTAACATCCCGCCAAACAATCTCTGAAGTAGGATAATATTCACGTAGTGCTGTTGACAAGTAAGGACACTTCTTAGAGCTTTCAGCATAAACCGTTCTGCTCGTTAAAATATGTCCAATGGGAAAAAATAATCATGAGTAAAAAAAAGCCTTGCTATATCAACTGTCAAAACATATAATGATTACGCGGCAAAGTGCGAAGTTGGTTTCGAAAAACTACAATTAAACAGCGTGAAAAATAAATTATTTTCCGAACAACCTATTCAGTTATATTGAATTTTTTCCAAAATCCATGGAATGCTAAGAGAAATTTGCCACTCTCATACGCACATTAAAATTATATATTACAACTAGCTGTTCTCGCGACTTCATCCGCGTGGAATAAATTTTACTATTTTATTTTTCTAAAATAAAAATCCTAAGTCTCGTCCAAATTGGTCCAACCATTTTAGAGATTAGCCGAAACAAACAGACAGACAGATAAACAAAAATCGTAAAAAATGTTATTTTTGTGTATGTATATATATTCATATGTATGTAGTACAAGACGGTTACTTCAATATTACAAACAGACACTCCAATTTTATTTATATGTATAGATTCATTCATAGCATCAAAATTATATATACCTATTGATTCATGTGTAACAAATCATGTTAATGATATCAGTTTTTTAGTCTCTGACTCTCACACCTCCGACAGCTCACACTAGTTTAGAAATCAGGACTGCATCAAATTGTGCACTGATGAAGGTTCAAATAAATTATTATGCGTATTAAAAAAAAAGTCATTTTAAGGTTAAATAACACTATTTTGTTAACAATTTAATTAGATATTTAATAGAAATATTAATATACTAGTAGTTCCCGCGACTTCGTCCACGTGGATGTATAGGTCCAACAGAAATTGTTAGTATTTTAACAGATTTAATTTTGTTTATGTTTTTTGCTAGTAGTTCTATTGTTTACTCTTCTGTATATTGTTTTATATTATGTATGTTATTTAAATGTAGAGATGTAGAATGTCTTAAATGTAATGGATTTAACTTTATTTTTCTAAAATAAATGTAGCCTAAGTTACTCCTTATTACATCAGTTACCTGCCAAAAAAAGTTCCGTCAAAATCGGTCCAACCATTTCAGTGATTAGCCGGCACAAACAAAGAGAGAGACAAAAATTGTAAAAAAATTTATTTATATTCATATGCATGTAGTAAATAAACGGTTATTTCAATATTACAAACAGACACTCAAATTTTATTTATATGTATGTAATGTATATTATCGTAAATATTACATATATGTAGGTATCATAGCATCCATGCTGACACGTTAGTTGACGCATAACAATATTTTACTATAATATGCAGTATATTGTCCGTATTACCACAGATAACATAATATTACGTGTATTACGTAACAGAATATCACAATTTTGTACGGGTAATTCGCGGCATTTTAGATGCAAATTAAATACTTTGCTTGTAAAATATTCAATATTAATTACTATTGTAGTGACAAATATAATAATTAGTCATATTTATACAGTATGTTTGTTTTCACTAAATACATTGGTAACATAAATATATTTTTATGTCCTAAACACAGATCGAAGTAGGTAGGGCTATTTAGGATCATGGATCTCAAACATTTATATTAATATGAATAATTCATTTTCACATTTCTTAATGATAATTAATATAATTATGTAATGTAAATTTTCCTAATTATTAATTATTATTTTAATTATATACAAATTATTTGTTCTTTTCAATCATCATCAATCATATCGATTTTTGAGGCACAAATAAATTTTTATGGAAATTGTATTGTAAAAGAAATTGTTACATGATTGTTGATTCTTGTATAAATATAAGAAATTGTTACATTAAAAAATATATGTGATTTAATGAAGCAAGTTTCTATCTATTTATTGTATTGTCCTTTAAACCGTCCTTATACTTAAGTGGAAGTAATGTTGTCTCTTTCTCCGTAAAAATAATAAAAAGTAAAAGTAAAATGGCCTAATACGTAATATCAGTAAGGCGTAAGTAACTTTTTATTTATTCATATATATTTTTTTCTTCTTTGGTTCCGGCGGTTTAATAGCTTTTTATTATTTTTTTACTCAAAAAACAAATCTCTGAGATTCGGGAATATCCATATTATTCAATCATATGGCAAGCATAGAGTAGCTCTACCTACTCAAGTTACTAGTCATGAAATAGGACGGTCTTCTGCTTGTTTAAATATTGCTCAATTGTAAAAATAATCATGAATCCAAAAAGCTCCATATTAATGTCACAAAATATTTGACAATCGATTGGCGCGAAAATGAGAAAACACTATGAATATTCATAAAACAATGACAGATTCCAAATTCAAACATAACATTTTGTTTATTTTTAATTGAACAGTATTTAAGGCCAGACTATGTAGGTATATACATATTTAATATCTATGATAATCCACAATTAAGATGTTAGTATTTACTTCTTGTTTCATACAGTGAAACTTATTTTTTATTTGCCTGTTTTTTTCAGATCCCTGTAGCGGTTCTGGACACTTATAAGTCCGCTATCGTCAATGTTGTTAGTATATATTATCCATATTTTATTGTTTCATATAAATTTCTATATTTTTATGGCTTAATTATATAACGGTTTATTAACAATTTTAATTAAAACAGAATAGTATATTTTTAATATACTAGTCTGTATAGATATATTTATATTATTATACTGTTATGGATATTTTATATTATATTTCTATAATAATATACATTTTGCAAATTGTAATAAAGAACTTTAAACTTAGCTGGCTTTTAATGAGTCAATATTAAGAAACAGACAGCTCCAATTTTATTTATATGTATAGCATCTCTTCATGGGTCAAAATTATATATACCTATTGATTCAGCGTGTAACAAAACATGTATAATTATGTTTGATATCGCGGCGATTTTATCTCTGACTCCTCACACCTCCGACAGCTCACACTAGTTTAGAAATCATGGTAGCTGCATCCAATTGTGCACTGATGAAGGTTCGAATAAATTATTATGGAAAAAAAAAACGACGACTATTTTGTTAACAATTTAATTAAACATTTAATAGAAATATTAATATACTAGCAGTTCCAGATTGCACTCCATGTCGTGGATTATAGATCCAACAGAAATTATTAGTATTTTATAGATAATTTTGGATGTTTTTTCCTAGTAGTTCTATTGTCCCAAGGCTGTCGTATATTGTTTTATATTATGTATGTTATTTAAATGTAGAGATGTAGACTGTAGCTTAAATGATAATGGAATTTAAACGGTATTTTTTGAACATCCAATGTAGTTCCAACTTCGACTCCTTATTATATCAGCTACCTGCCAAAATCAATCTCCAGAGCCAAATAGGTCCAAAGCCATTTCATAGCGTTATCATGGGGGACTTTAACAAACAGACAAAAATTGATGAAAAAATGTTTTATGTACCGTATTTAATTCATCCGAAAAACGGTCATTTCAACATTACAAACAGACATTCAAAGATTTATATGTATATAATTATATTATCGAAATATTACATATATTAGGATCATAGGAACACCATGAAATGGACGTGGATTGACGCATAACAATATTTTACAAAAATGCAGATATTGCCCATCTTGTCAACGAGATAACATATTATTACGTGTATTATATATATCATAATTTTGTACGGGATTACCGGATTGTAAGAGGCACATTGAATACTGAAAATATTCAATATTAACGATACTGATGAAAATATACAATTAGTCATATTTATACAGATCCAAAACCCCGAAAGTTTTCAGCTAAATACAATTGCAAAACCGTTTCGAAATATATTTTTATGGTCATATTTATACACTCTAAACACTTCAAAACCCGCCGCGCAGAAAGAACCGGAAAAATATCTATCTCTACCCTCAATATTAATATGAATAATTCATTTTCACACGCTTTCTTAATGATAATCTGATATAATTATGTAATGTAAATGTTCCAATTATTAATTATTATTTTAGATTATATACAAATTATTTGTTCTTTTCAATCATCATCAATCATGACGGCAGGATCGTTTTTAAGAACTTTTGACAAATATATTTTTATGGACATTATACACGAAACACGGGCACCTGTTAACATGATTGTTGAGCCAAATTGTATAAATATATGAAATTGTAAACAACTTAAAAAAACATATGTGGAGTTAATGAAGCAAGTTTCTATCTATTTATTGTTTGTCCTCCAAACCGTCCTTATACTTAAGTGGAAGCAATGTTGTTCTTTCTCTGTCAAAATAATAAAAAGTAAAAGAAAATGGCCTCATACGTAATATCAGTAAGGCGTAAGTAACTTTTTTTTATTCATATATATTTTTCGTCTTCGCGCAGGTTTGGTTCCGAATAGCTTTTTATTATTTTTTTACTCAAAAAACAAATCCTGAGATTCGGGAATATCCATATTATTCAATCATATGGCAAGCATAAACCTGCTCTACCTACTCAAGTCACTAGTCATGAAATAGGACGGTCTTCTGCTTGTTTAAATATTGCTCATATATCGAAGCGTAAAAAAATGAATCCACGCCATATTAATGTCACAAAATATTTGACAATCGATTGCGCGAAAATGAGAAAACACTATGAATATTCATAAAACAATGACAGATTCCAAATTCAAACATAACATTTTGTTTATTTTTAATTGTAACATATTTAATGGCTGAGACTATGTAGGACATATACATATTAGAATATCTATGATAATCCACAATTTAGATGTTAGTATTTACTTCTTGTTTCATACAAGTGAAACTTATTTTTTATTTGCCTGTTTTTTTCAGATCCCTGTAGCGGTTCGAAATGGACACTTATAAGTCCGCTATCGTCAATTTGTTAGTATATATTATCCATATTTTATTGTCTTCATTAAATTTCTATATTTTTATGGCTTAATTATATAACGTTTTTATTAACAATTGTTAATTAAAACAGAATAGTATATTTTTAATATACTAGTCTGTATAGATATATTTATATTATTATACTCTATGGATATTTTATATTATATTTCTATAATAATATACATTTTTCAAAACCACAATTGGAATAAAGAACTTTACAACTTAGCTGGCTTTTAATGAGTCATAATTAAGAATTGCTACTAACAGCTTTACGAAACTAAAATTATTATATACATATATATTTATTACTAGCTGTGTCCACGTTTCACCCATGTTAACTTTCAATAAAAAATGTAGCTTATAAGCTATATTGCTGAAAATTTAACCATCCATACTTACAAACTTTCACATTTATAATATGAATAAGATTTATATAATGTCTTGTGTGAATAAATATTATATATATATGTATATATATTTATATCTATAAGATATGTCGCAATTACGACGACCTGTTCTGAGGTTTTGACCCTTATCGAGCCCTCAGACCTGCCCTCAGAAATCTCCCCTTCCCCGTCAAAATATATATAGCATATATATTTATTAGAAAAAAAAAATTGTATATTGTATACTTTTTCATTGCAGATTATTGGGTTTGTGCTCACCATCAGTAACTTTTTAAGTTTGATAATATTTAATGTGAGCTATAATAAAGCTCAAAAATATTCTCAAAATGATAGTTTTTGGAGCGGTCTATTTGGAAAAATTAAATCAATTGCAAAAACAACACTAATTGAAGCATTATTTGGAGACAATTTTTTCGTACTTATGAACTCATTTTTAATATTATCCACGGTTTTGAGTTCAATATATTTTGCAACTTTTGTAATATGCATCACAGGATTCAAGGTAACTTTTTGATTATTTACTTTATTTTTATAAATTAATAGCAATTATATAGTAAACAACCGTGACCATATTTTCACATGGCGCTATTTGTTTCAAAACCAAACAGAACTTGTACGATGGGTACTACACATATAAATTTACCTAAAAAGGTAAGAAAAAAAATCAAAAAACTTACGAATATAACCATGCGTTTTTACAGTTTATCCATCGATATCGTGGCAAAGTAAGATTATTTTGTTCTAATATAGTGATGTTGGTAGATATGTCACCTGCCACGTTGTATTCAAATATACCGCCTATATGAGCGTAATGTGGGTATATTTAGTATTGCATTCGCCGTGATGACAGTTGACAAATAATAATAATAATGTCAGGATTCACACAGCGCAATCTAGACCTAAGTTTAGCTATCTAAAGCTTGTATTATGAGTACTAGATAACTGATACGAATACATAGATATAATTTTTTTTCGTAAATACACAGGTACATATACTACATATATATAGTAAACACCCAAACCAATGCAAACAAATACTCAATGAATACAAAAGTTTGTATCGTGCGAGGAATCGAACCCGCGACCGTCGGTAGTAAGGCGGTGTGCTAAACCGCTAGACCACCGAGGCCGTCATAACAAACGAGTTGACAAAGAGTCAGATTACCTCATCTGGTATAAGTCGTGAAGCATATTATATTATTGTGATTGATGTTTTCTTTTTCTTTTAACTTTCTCAGAAAACAATCCAACGACGAGTTACTCAACTACCATACAAATAGATGAAGGACTATCAAACACCGCCTATTTTGCTGTCGCACTTATCATGAGGATCATAATTGACTACCTGTGTATCCTACCGTAAACGTCTGGGTTACATTTTCCCCGTTTTTATATTTTTCATTGATACTTCAATCCTAATAATAATATAATACTTAGTTGTAGCGTGATGTATCTAATAGCTAACAGCGTAGTAAATGAACATAGGTTATGCCAACACAAATGATTTTTCAATTCAAAACCGTATTATTAGCTTATTCATGACAACAATCCAAGACAGTATATGAATTTCATAAAACACTTATAAGACATTGTTGTTATAATTTCAGAATACCTAAATAAATTACTTTATTGTTATAAGTTACAAGGAAAACTGAATTTAAATCAATTAACCATATATGTACTTATGTATAATTAGAGACATACAATATTATCCTCATTATTTGGTTTACTCATTCTCTCTCTGAAACGTTAGATTCAAATAATCTGGGCAGGGTTTTCAGCCCTTCTCGTTCAGTTATTACTCGCAACCCTTTTTATATTATCGCTACACCCAGCTCCGGGGTGTGATAAGTTGCCAATTCGCTGTCTCCATTCTAGAACACGCCTGCTTCAGCGAGCAGTACTACGACAGTTTTGACCAACACAGCTCTTCGAATTTGCAAGTTGAAGTCTGCCACTTTATGACTTTAAAAATGAACAGTAAAATCATTTATTTATGTCTTTGTTATTTGGTAGCTTCTATTCACACAAAATCCTTATGAATGTAGTTTATAACAACATTTATTTAAAAGAACAACACGCAAGTGTCTTGTTCTTTATTCTTGTAATAAGTTTGCGTTCCGAATGAGTAGTAAAATAAAAAAATATTCAATATTCAAAAGAGCTTATATCAAGTTTATTTAAATAAAATTATTTCTATTCATTTATAGCAAAGCTATATTTCCAATGTGTCTTGAGTATGAATAAATCCGTCATAGGCCAGATGAGAAAATATTACATAGTCATAGTTATCAGAACAGGAGTTCTTATGCCGTTCGGAGAAAATTAGACCATATATGAAATACAAGAACAATATTTCAGTTCAATTATACTAATAATTCATACTAATAAAGCGATTTTAAATTTCTCTTAAAATGCTGAGTACACTGCACGCTGTATATACATATACGTACATGTATGTACATATACTTTACATATAGGTAAAGTATATGTACATACTTACTTACGCCGCGCTATAAGCAGCTTTTTTTTCGGACTACTCTAATGCTGTTGGCCGCAGCTGGCCATTACAGCTTCACCGGACGATAGGGAGCAAGTGCAGATGGTACTCCAAACCCGCGAAAGGACTCATGGAGCGGCTGAAGGCCTACTCCCGCCTGTCGCATACGAATTTAATCTGAGGGCACCGCTAGGGGTTGGAACCTCGGCTCAGGCCGTCATAATATCGATCTCCTTTTGAATTGGTTAAGTATTTGATATATTGTTAAAAAATCCCTTTCTTTTAAAAACATATATTTAGATTTTTGTAACAACACCTTTTCAATAGTTGATTCTGTAATTAAATGCAATTAGATAAATAATTAATATAACAAAAAAAATTATGTCAGTCGAACTGCCTTCATGAAGACTGCCTTCATCATAGCTTATAAACAAATTCTTCTAATTTCACATCCAATGCCTTCAGCATCGACTCTGTTGTGCAGGGCATGTCTGTAACAATAATATGACATACAACAACCATACACACATGAACACTATCATAATTCAAAGCTGCGCCCGCGTCTTTGTATTCCGAACAACGATAGTTTGTATCTACATATTTTGTTTATATACCTTAGTGTGTAAACTAGCTTACCAACTACAATGTATTATAAATGAAATATTTCACAAAGCGCTATAATAAATTCCGTAATAATTTGATAGTCTTTAGACGATAACTAATCGTTCAGTATATATTATGATTCTCGATCAGGACATATCGTGATATTCACTGAACGTCAGCACAGTGATATGATAAACATAAAATTCTAGATTTACAAATATAATACTTTTTAGTCTAATTTACGCAGGCAGCGTCGCTTGCGTAAATTCAGTAAGTTACCTATGTTAATCCACTCTGTGGGGTCGCGTCCAGAATCCTTTCTCGATTCCATCACACATCTCCTAAGAGCATGCGTCACTCCAGATGTAGTACAGACACCCATTTCTCCGACAGCTGGAAGCATAGCATAGAGCTATTAACCAAAAATAAAAAGATAACCTGTGTCCATGCCAAGGCAACAAATCTACATATTAAATTTAATTAAAAACTGTTTAGTCGTTTCATTGTGGTGTGATAAAATACAACAGTTATAATTTCACTTTTACAATATCAATGTGAATCAATTGGAAATATAAAATTATATATTTCAAAATAATTTACAGTATTTTTCATATTAAATGGTAGTACACTTACTAATACACTTACTTTTTGATCCCAATACACCCTTGGGATTTTTGGAATTGTATCGAAATTTCACTCTGAAATCTGCTGGTATGTCTAAGGCGAGAGGTACGTGGTATGTTAAAGATCTATTAGTGAGTTTCTTGCCTGTGTGCTCGTCATATATGATCTTCTCACTCGTGAAATATCCCAAACCCTGGACGTAACCTCCTTCTAACTGGTTTATAGAAAGAAATATATGATTAATAAAATATGACTATAAATAAATTAAACTTGATAATATTAAAAATTACCTGTCCAACATCGATACTTGGATTAGCACTTAAGCCCACATCCTCTAATATATCAACTCTTAACAATTCGTATCTCCCTGTTATTACATCTAATTCTGTTTCTAAAATGGATATACCAAATGCACTGTAGCTCGACAAATCTTTTTCTTGATCTGTCATCATATAAATAGCAGTCAAATCCACTAACATTTCCCCGGCCTTCCAAATTAATTGTTCCCATGTCGGATTTGTCAACTCTTGTTTTACCGATTGCAGTCGCTCATTCAGTATTTCGCAAGATTTTATTATAGAGTAACAGACAGATTCACTAGTTATACTAGAACCAGAGAATACATTATTAGCTGCTGCAGATGTGACACTCGGCAATACAGATATATACTTCAATGGAATACCTAATTGGTGAGCGCATACTTGTGCTGCTTTTGTGTTAAGACCCTGACCCATCTCTATACCACCAGTGGTAACTGTTACCGTACCATCTCCTCTGTATATAGACACCATGGCAGAATAATTACCATAGTACTCAACTGGGAAAAGCATTGGACTAATATGTATAGCTTTCTTTATCCAACGATTCGACTCATTATAATCTTGGATTGATTTCACTCGTTCATCATAGTTGGCTTCTTTTTTTAATACATTTATGAGCTGTGGTATATCATTGTCTTCCTTTCTCATATTTGCAATACGTACATCTGTTGCATCCTTTCGTACACCATACGCGATGTGTTCCATTATATTTTCTATGCAAACGATACCTTCTAATGTACCTTTATCAAATGTAAAATTTCGTTAAACAAAATAAGCAAATCAAACTAAGATTAACATCTCACAATTTAACGTTGTTTTAATATTAATTACTATTTTTTAATAATAATTTATATTCTCACCTGGCGCTCGAACAAATGTATTACAAGGCAAGTCAGTGAATACGGAAGCAAATTTTACGTCCATGTAATCAGAATTGTAGCAATTTGGGAAACCTCCCGCAACGTAAGAAATGACAGAATCATTGATTGAGTAACCCTGATCTTGCACGATCGTCCCTTTTAGGTATTGAATCGTCCCATTATCATCCACACCTACCTAAACAATATATATACATACATAGTATTCAATAATTGATGGCTTCTGCGTTTATCCAACTTTAAGAATATTTTCTGCGAGTATTTCATTTATATCTCATGATCATGTAAATAATTAGAATGGTTATGTGGATTTTTTACTATTATAAATTAATTAACATATTATTTATTTATCTAATTAAAGCATGTATCCTTGAATAAGTTGCATGAACAGCGCCATTTAAAACATAACATATACCTAATAATAAAATTTCTACTAATAGATAAAATTATATTTGTACGTAATAATAGCAGGAAATCAAAAAAATATATTATATATAATAAATCTGTAAATAAATACATACCTCATATTCGCATTGCGTTGGAAACCTACCACCAACAATGGACATGTTGGTTTGTATTGGCAATATGAAACGGCACGGCAATGCCATCTTCTGGGCAACTAAAGCACAAGCTGTAGACGCTTGCACATTCCGACTAATTTTACCGCCAAATGCACCTCCACAACGACGCACTTTCAAGAAAACTCTGAAAATAAAATGTTGATACTTTCTAATGAATCTATAAACTTCATTAACATGAAAAGATATAAATAGTTAGTAATTTTAAATTCAGATTTAGATCAGGTACTTACTGACTTTCTTTTATATCCAAACATTGAGCTATTGCTATTTGACTTAAATCCATCCATTGCGTAGATTCATATACTTCGAGTCCATCATCCACTGGCACCACGACGCAAGTTATTGGTTCCATATAATAATGATATTGTGTTTCAATTTCATATATACCTTTCACAATATTTGTAACATTATTACCACGACCTTTAGGTTCAATACTTACATCGCTTGGCATATATCTTTTGCTGTCTTTTTTAGCTTTATCTATAGTGGTAACAGGTACTTCAAAACTTATGTTTTTATACGTCACTTTAACTTGCTTTGCAGCATTTGCAGCAAGCTCTTGGGAAACCGCCACAACAATGGCTAGAGGTTGACCATAATATTTGACATTACTGCTCACAAGAATCTCTTCATTTTCAGTCTCGAGTTGAATCCCCGGGCGAATAAAAGAATTAGCTCCGGGTATATCTTTTGCAGTATATACAGCCAGCACTCCATCTATTTTCTATAATTTTTATACAAATTATAGCTGAACATTATTTTTATAATACATAAAGCAAAAATTCATTGCCTACCTCACATATACATATGTTGAGATATATAGACAAAAATATGATAGAACATGGTAAGTATAATATAAATTTTATTGTATAAGTAAGAAAGAGAGTTTGATAGGTACGAATTATTAAAAAAAATAGACTGAAAAATTATCAATAATAAGTCACAATTTACTCTTACCAAAACATCAGTTGAGTCTATAAAATCAATCTGCCCAACATGTATTGTAGATAATACAAACGCACCAAATACTTCTAAAGGGAACGGCGGAATGTCATTTACAAATTGTGCTTCTCCTGAGCTCTGAAGTAAGCCTTCTAACTTGGGAAGGGGCTGGTTAATAGGATACAGCGAAGAATCTGTTTGGAAGTCTTGAGTTCCGTGAGAGATCGGACGATGCAGCAATTCTCCTCCGGATTTATAGCGAGGATCAACAATACTGGACGGGGCAATGCTCAAAGTAAACTAAAAATCAAGTAAAACATATATATAATCAGTTCATATCTAAATATATATTAAATGAAATATTGATCTTGGAAGTAAGCATATTTTTAATAAGAATATCACAAGATATATACTTTTGAAATGATGTAACTATATGGATGCACAAGGTAGAGATAAAAATATATCAGAGTTTATGACCTAAACAAAAAAGTATAAAAAAAGATAATAAGCAATAAAAAAAAACATCGTTTCTTTAATAAAAGCCAGCAAGCAATTTATTGAAATTTAAAACGACTTTACCTTATAAAAAAGTCCAATTGCCAATTTCTTACGTATATCCTTTGAATAAAAACTATTTTCATCTGGACATATTTCATCATGCAATTCCTTAATAGCTCCTTGTAGTACTTTATTATCAAAAATATTTTTGTTCCGTAAATAGTCCTCAGTACGTTTAGCGTATATAAATTCTGTTGAAATATTACCAAATACAATGGTAGCATCTTTTACTGTTTTATTATCGTTGCTCATATTTAGTAGGAATGCTGCATTTACAATAGCTATAGCATTTTGATTTCTCGGCATTATCTGTGGATTTTTAAATTAATTAGCGATCTAGCCGAATACAGAACTCTATGTTTGAATTTCGTGTTCCGTGAGTCCAAATCAGAAAATATTTAGACACTTGTTATTTCTGTCGTTACTTCTCTTTAAAATAATTGACCTGCTATAATAATTGATCTTCGTTCATTATTATTTTTAAGAAATTATTTCCTATTTATTTCCTATACTTTTTTTAAGATGTGAATAATAATTTAATCCACCTCATATATATTCGGTATTTTTCTATATTGAATAATAAATAACCAGTTTCATGATTTAATAACTTGTACAAATATTTATATTTTAATTCACATATTTCTGTTCTAGAAACAACCAGTGCATCTATTTGTAGCTTCATTTGTTTCAGGTTTAAATTGAGACATTCATATTAGTAAGTCAAATTGCCTACTTAGCAATTTCTAAATATATGTAAATTAAACAATTGTACTACAAGTGTTGTAGATTAAACAGTAAATATCCTAAAACGGTTGCTATGCTATTCATGGAACATCGTCGAGAACAGCCATAAAATTAATCGTACCTTATAACTTTTAAAAATATTTGTTGCGCCTAGTGGAGGCAATGCAATCGAGAGTATTAGCATGCCTTGCATATTATATCTCAGGAAGTTTGGCATGTGTAAAATACTCTTTTGTCCGCTTGAATTTCCTGAAAATTTAATGCCAATGAATAAGAGTTTTTAATTAAAGAGTATATACGATTTAACTAATTGTATTTCGCGACGCTGTTCAAATAAATACATAATAAACTTACTGACAGTAATCACTGCACCAACCGCAGATAAAAGCAAAAACACATCCGACGGAAACGACGGCATGCTGTGTTTCAACATCAAGTTACCGGCCAGTGATCCGATCTGAAATAAATTTAAAAATTCTGTCAAACTGAGAATTTATATATATTATAATATATAATAAAAAAAATCTATATTCGTAACGGGACATCGTGGTCTAATGGTTTATTATTTTTATCAATTTACAATTTCTGACTAACCATTCAGTGATGGAAGTACGGATACCTAATAAAATTAATTGGACAATGCTGACTACTGTGATAACAGTCGTGACTGTGTATTATTCTTATTAATAACAATCTGAACGTACGAAGTGATTTTTTAGTAGGTATTATTTGATGGGAAATTGAGCACGATGGTTACCAAGGGGGATTACTTTGAGGTTCTTTTTTAAACTACCATGGTGGCAAACAAGCATTTGGCCCATCTGATGGCAAACGATTACAGTTGCCTGTAATACGCCTAAAACACCAAGTTGGTCAAGGGCGCGTTGGTCAAAAACCACATGGGCGCGTTGCCAATCGCGGTGTACATTACGCTGGATGAAACTGCTCTGTCCGAAACCCCTTCTAGTCCAACGTGTGAGGATGAATTCTCTGTCGATGGCGGTGCGATGTAAAAGGCAGTAGCGGGCATCATGTCAACCTGACAAGGTATATTATTAGCAATCGGGCTTGTAATCTACCCTATTAGATTGACCTCCACGTGATACTCCTACGAAAACCATAGCTATTAATTCTTAATGAATTTGCATCGTCGGTAGTGACCTGACTTCGTTCTCCACTGGTGCCCATCTGCGTACCGCAGACGGCTGCATTATTCCGTTGTAACTAATAAAAAAATATTAATACTGTTGAACAAAAGTTAAATATCTACATTACCCACATTTCTAACGGGAATATGAGCAATTTTGTCGAAATGCTTAGCAAATTCAGACAGATAACTGAAATCATCATTTGAATGTGCCATGTCTTTGAATATTTGTTTGCATTCCTCCAATGATGTGTTGGCTCCCAGTATTAAGTTCTGATCATATTGATATCCTTTTAGCGATTTCACATTGCTAATATCTATTACTACTCGAGGATATTCATATTTTTCATAAATACCTAGAAAAAAGCGTTATATACGTTTGGCGATTAGAAACCTACTATGATATAAATCCAATTAAAGAATATTAAATTAAGTCCTATACTTAAACTGCAAATAGTCGTCTTCATGGATACTTCATTTTCACATATTTAAGCCGTCAAGCAGCTTGATTTGTAAGCAATATTTTGGTTGAAGGCCAGATCAGACGTTGAAATTACAATATAAGAGGCCTCTAGGTCTCTATTATATTATTCTCTATTACTAATATAATTACCTCTTTTTGATAAGCTAATATCACTTCCTCTACTAGTAATAAATAGAATAATAGGTTTCTGAACTGAATAATCACCTTTAGCGGTATTCCCATCAACAAGTTGATAGGAATCTACTCCGTGTTTGTTAAATACTTCAAAAATGTCTTCTTCGTTGAATACCTTAAATATTTTTTCTTTACCAAAATCTAGAACTATCGCTTCATCACTTCTAGGCAATGAGTTCTCTATTACGCTCCAGTCGCTATCGAAGCTATGCGTAGAACATTTTCTTTGGCAATTACTTGATTTCCTATCACATATTTCTAAATCTTCTATATCGTTCACCCTCTGTTGTAGCTCAGGGCTGGCGTCGACTGCGTATGACTTGATCACGTCCAATATAGGTCTATATCCTGTACATCGGCACGTGTTACTGCCGAATGATTTTTCCAATTCTGCTGTTGTCAGGTGTTTATCCTGTAAACTTAATAATATCTATTATTTTAATATACAATATACAAAAATAGAACTTCATTGAGTATTAGTCGGCGTTATTTATTCTTTTTATGAATGCAAACCCAAAACTGTTACATATTAGAAAATCAGCCATCGAACATAGAATCTCCTTTCTTAAGTCGGCTAAAGAAGGACTTTGTTAACGTAGTAGAACCCAAAACAATAAATGTGAGCTGAATTTTAGTAACTTACCAGATTAGAGTAACTATCGGATTACTAACAAAAAAATTACATGGATATGAAGTCACGGAATGTGTCAGTATTTTAAATAAACACTTGTTTTTCGACAACCAAATTCAAAGCGACAATTCATCTTTGTGAATATATAGGTATATTGCACAAATCAATATACTTAAATGTTTGTGTTAAAACATCGAAATTAACTAATAGAAAAATATAATTTTATACTGAATTTCATTAAAAGAAACAAAACAATGCTGCAACAGAATAAACGCATTCTATTTTTTAAATTAGTAGTCTTGTTTTTTATAAGTACTTAATGGCTGTTATGATCGCAAAGAGAACGTATAGGTACTTACAGGTCACGTGATATTAGAACCTTACAATTTACATGCATATAAACCGTCATGACTATTATCCTAGATAGGGTAGTCGGTTACACCACAAATAATATAATATTACATAGTTACACTAATAACGCAATGGGCAACCATTGCCCACATGTTGCTCTGTAGGTATATTTAATTTCCAACGTGGCAGTGAGCCAGCCTACCACTATCTCTTGGATTAATTATAGTGTGTGAATTTCCTTCACCGGAAGTTATTTAGAAGTATTAACACCGTTTTTTGTTTGTACCAGATTTCTAATCAAAACCTCTTGGGCGTAATTCAGAGTAGTAATCAACTTTATAAAGACGCTATATTAAAACGTTTTGAGTGTGTATTTTCGTCCTGAAATTCTTACTGAAGACTCTAACTCACGCTAACACGCTACAATCGTCTGAATAAAACGACGACGATAATTAATTAGTCTTTTTCGCAGCTAAATCAACAGTCAATATCAGCTCCGTACGCGTGTAACTTTGACGGTTAATCCGGTCATTACTCCGTACATTTTACAAACCACCTTTAAGTATCAGAAAGGCATATACGGAGCTATTGGCATACATATGTACATGAATTAATTTAACAGCGTATTACTAGTGATGTAGTATTATTAGTGATGCCATCCTGGACTATTGATTTAATACCCGACTTACACTTAAAAAGTCGTGAGTTCATATCTGAGCGACACTAGAAGTTTTTACATACTTAGTTTTGTTGACGGAACCACCCATAACAAACAAATGCGGTGACTCACATCCTTCTACGATCAAATAAATAGAAATAATATCAATTCAATAAAAAAACAGCCTTTTATACTATTACATTACAATTTTAGAATTTTTTTCTTCAACATACAAATATACCAGGCGTATGGTGGGTCATGTCATCACGTCAGTAACGACATAGTGTATTTCATATAATGGGATAATGGCTGTGTAGACGGAAGCACTATTCCACCACCGACAATTAAAAATAGTCCTGTCCTATCAAAACACATAAGTTACCTACCTATATAAATTCATGATCCAGCCGGGCGTGCAATATCCACACTGGGTGGCGTTGAATGCCCTGAACCGCTTCTGAATGTCGGAGTAACCGTCGCGACGGTTCCCGACGCCTTCGATGGTAGTTATATTCCAGCCATGACAGGAGAACACCAGCACCAAACACTGAAACAATGATAACCACGTGTACATTGATTAAACGAATTGTAGTTGATACTTAAATGTGTATTAAAATGCGCGGATAGGGAAAATATAAAATTATAATGTAAAAATTTGACGTATCATTGTATATTGATGTATCAAATTTATCTAAAATGTTATCCCTAGAAAATGTGTTGTAGATAGTATCAATAACACATTGTCTAGGGATATTATTATATGACGTTTCACATGAACAATATGTTTCTTTTGCTTGTTAACCATACGATTAGATTTGTCGTCAAATAAATAATAATTTTCATTCAAAATTTAAGAGCTTACTCACTTGTCAATGGAATCTTGCCACTTGCTAAAAGATAGATACATAATATAATTATAATGTAGATATTAATACTCTTCTTAAGGGAGTAGAGTATTGTAACAATACCTACCCTTCTTCATTACAATAGTATTGTTAGTAATGAAGAGTAGTCGCTCCGTTATTAAACTGTACCGTATCACGGACGGTCTCCACGCGGTCCGCCATTTAAACAAGCGTGCTTGATCGTAGTAATTTCGCCACCATGGGCTATCTGATCTGACATCGTGCTCTTTGTATTAACCTCACCTGGCGCCCTACAAGCGTATACCACGCAGGTAGATACACTATTACCTATGTACCTATCCTTAAAAAAGCTCTAATTACAGAATTAACTGAGAAGGTCTCCTTCCTGCCGGAGGTCTCTCTGAGCGCGCGCACCGACACGCAGCACGCGCCGCAGCCTCCCTCGTGGCACATGGCCTTCGTCCCGGGCAACGACAACACGTATCTGAGGTACGCGTTCAGAGTCGTACTGCGGGGAGTTCTGGCGTCCACTAGAATTAAATATACATACTTTATAAAAAAAGTTATAATAACAGTTCAACTCCATTTTCTCAGGTACACGGTCGCACCTCGCAAAATGACGTCTAATTTCTCAGGAATTATAACTCAGGGGGTACCCACCACGAGATAACTGTGTGGTCCATGGTTCTAGTCGTGAAAGGCCGGTTATCGGTTAAAAATATATTATATATATGTATATTAAGGTCACAATGAAAAAATATACAATACAAAAACAATAATTATTATCTATATGTATAAAAATTAACCCCGGTATGCTGGCTGGATTGATTTCGCTAATTCTTTTTTTGTTGTGTTTGTTATTGTGAAGAGAGGGTTGTTATGAAAGAAAAAATTAGAACAGTTGCGCAGAGTTTTTTTTTTTGTTTATAATTAAACCAAAGCGAATCATATTTTCATAATTAAGACAGTCAACATCTATCGAGCTAGCTAGTAGATAATATAATCGTAAATTAAAACAAGGCAAAAACTGTCTGTTTATCTCTTTGTGTATCAAATTTACCAAGACTTAGCTAGTACAACATTTTCACAGAATATGAAATAAATCCACGCGTTATGTGATCTACTGAGATTTGTTTAGCCTAAATCTAATGAAGTAAAGATAATTCTCATAACAAATATAACAATTGTTAATTTATTAATTTATAGAACAGTCGATGGCCATACCACTAATACCACTAGTAGTTTATACAAAGGTCACATAAATAAGTCAAGGCATGAACATTTTTGAGACCTCTCATTTGATAATAATTGCGTGACTTATTTTTTTTAAAGTCACGCAATCTTATTAAATATCTCCAATTACGCATAAAGAAATAAACTGCCATACCCGCAAGCATAGTTCAGCACAATACAGAGACAATTTAACTAATGAGTCCCGGAGACGATCAAACGTTTTGTTTAACCAATTATCTTAACTTTAATTTGGAAGACGTTTTTTTTGTTTGAGTCAGTGTGATGATATTATTGAGGCTATCCGCACGATTCACAGATTTCGATTCGGATCCGGATTCGGATCACAGATACAAATAAAGTCTCTAATGAATTGAAATGAAATATTTTATTTGAAAGTACCTATTCATTTTTGTCAAATATTCTTGGACACTGTAAAAAATATTACCATTGTAGGCATTTAGTATGCAATGTTAATAAATATAGTGAAATACAAAAGTAAAATATGTATATATAATTGGTTAAAATAATAATATGTCAGCAGTGAAAATTTACGAACAATAGAAGACACCGAATACACTATCTTTCTAAATATAAATATAAATTCTTGATACTCCAGATATAAATTTAGTTCCAAATCAATTCAGGTATGATAACATTTACATAATTATACACTACGTATTATGCACAATACATACATACCACATGTTGTATCTGGCTAATTGGAAATGTAATTTTTATTCTAAATATGTATTTATATTTATAGTTATTTTATAGTACACTCTTGTTATATACTTCATTCTGTCTTGTTAATAGTTTTACTAATACACAAATGAAATAAAACTACAGCACCACATACATGTTACCAAAGGTTCAAATCAAACCGCCTCTCTCGTATTCATAACAATGTTTCATGTAAATATAATTAGATAATTATGTAATGGAGGCATCAGTCTTGTAATTGAACGTTGGTATTTCACGTTTAAAACAATCAGTATTATTTATGTTATAACGGATGGTTTATAATTATTCATTATTATGAATTATTACTATAAGATTACATTGTAGTATTTTTAAATGGATCGATTACATTCGGTTTCCGTAGGAACTGAGTATGTCCCTGAGTACAGCGAATCAGTGTCGAAACGCCATTTTTACCTGCCTAAAATAGTATTACAATTTCATGAATTTTAGGTTTGATTTGAGATGAATACTTTTATAATAGTATTTTCTATCTAACTTTTATTGTAGTATATATTATACAACTATTTGTATAGTTAACAATCCTATCATCAAATTGCTAAAATTAACTCTAAATATTTCATATTTTGACAATAGGTAAAAAAGAATTTGTGTTAACTGCAAACTAATACGCAGAAACAAAACAATAACCAATCACTATTGAACACAAATAATTCTAAATATAAAATATTTAAAATATCAGATCTGAAATCTTTTACTATATATATGAAAGAAATAGAAAAAATACGTAATACGTAAATAATATGTATACCTATGTTAAAAAAATCTCATTTATTTCATTACTGTCCTTGTCACGGTTAGCGTGTGTACCTATATAATAATATATTTTTTTGAATAAAATAAGTCTATACATACATCTATAATAATCCTTATATATATATAATAACAATATGCAAACAATTTTATTCAACCCCAATTTAAAATTATAAATCAATTCACATACTATTATTACGACTTTGTTATTAGTTTAAATGTCGAATACTTATCTGTTTCAATTTAATTACTGCATTGTAATAAAACGCAACGTCGTAAACGTAATGCAAACCGACAAATAAATGTCAAGATCTACCCACGGAAAAGGAACATTACGTACGGTCGAGCGAGTTGACGTTCGCACAGCTACATTTTTATATTTTATTGATAAATCCTAAGTTCTTTTCTAAAATCATATTTTAAAACGAACTAATTATAATTTGTTTGTGATTACATCCTCATAATTAGGTAAGTTATGCACTTATCGTATTTATTAGTTTAAGTAGTAGTTGTAAGTAGAAATGCATATTGCTTTGCTTTGCTTTGTCATTTTCTTGTCATTGACATCATTCATTAAACCCTTATTACACCACGATATAATTTCTAAATACTGATTTATTATAATATTCCATTGTATTAGTTATTGAGATAATACTAGTATCACTACCTACTTTAACTAGAAATCATTGTTAGTACCTAGTAAATATTATAAAATAGTTTAAATTAGATTTAAGTAACCGTCCTTCTGCTTTTATTATAAACCTTGACTGCCTCATCAAGATATCTAGATATGTTGGTTGTTTACATCACGCAGATGTTGCAGTCAGGATAAAGAATTGGACATTTTAGTAATTATGTGTTTAATGGTAATTTCCAGGGAATTTAGTTCTGGATTTGAAACATAGCAAAGATATCATTGGACAATCGCGTGAGCATAGTAACACCGTATTGCTATTACTACCGCTACACCTGCCGTCTCGTCGTTTGCACTTAATCTCTGCTCCAGTTACCCTCAGCTCATAAGGATGGTATCGTGATTAAACGTCCAACTTCAGAGTGACCTTAAATTCAGAACCATACCACTGCCCTAAGCCTACATTTAAAAAAATATTTGATGTTGTTTTAAGTTATATATTTTAATAAATATTTTCTTTATGATACTACCGTATAGAATATTTTTATTTATTTTTCTTAGTGTGAATACAGTAACATACAACGTAGCAACCTACCTTAAGGTTTAGCTCACCAAGTCTGTTTATTATTTTTATAAATAATACCTATATATATACATATTTCATTACTTTTTCATACTTTATTATTATACGAAACAGAATATATAATGAACAGCACTGAATGGCCGTTTTATTTTCAACATAATTTTTATGTCAATTACGTTTCACAAAAATTAGAATTGGATTTAAGTTTTCTATACAATTTATTTATATGAAACTAAGTTACATGTGTATAATTTGAAAGAGTAGCAATCATCCCAATGAGCCTACTTATGATGGTACGTACTGAATTACTGTGACAATGCGTGAGACAAACAATAATGATATGGCAATGGAGCTATTGTATCAGGTACGTCCAGTGGACATACTTGGTAATCTAATATTCAGAAAATTGTATCTCCACAGTCGAAAACCTCATAAGACTCCAATAGTACCTAGGTCATAGCTATCGTGAAATGAAACTAATTCACGAAGGGGATGGAATGGGGATCGAGATTAAATCTCTAAGTAGTAATAAGTAGTCTCAAATCAAAATACGTCACGGTTACGGAAAGAGAGACTACAAAAACACACTCAAAACAAATAATTGAATAAGAAAGTAATCACTTAATTATAAAAAATATCTAATATATTGTAACTAAGAATTATCTCGATCAACTCAGCTTTCAAGCAAAAAACATGCGGTTTTTTGCTTTATAACCACGATTTGAAACATACAACCCCTCTTTGTCTCAGGGAGTAATAAAAACGCAAACTCATTTTTTATAACTGAAATGGCTACGTATATACAAAAACAGAATAACGGATATAAAATCATCATGAAACGCCAGTTGTACTTTCATGTATTGTCATTTCGGAGGACTAGTCTGTATTATCTCCGTACTCTGTAATTTCACTGCCATATATCATCCTTTAATGGAAACACACCTTACAATATAAGGTCGATAGTACCTGTCGAATATATTTATAACGGATATAACATCATCATGAAGCGCCAGTGGTATTTCTCATGTATTCCAGAGAACTAATCAGTATTACCTCTCTACCCTGTAATTTCACTATCTCAACTTTAACGGAAATAAACCTTACAATATAAGTACCTCTCAAAATTATTTATAACATCATCATGAAACTCCAGTGGGTCTTTTCCGATATGGCCATTCCGGGGGAGTAATCTGTATTATCTCCGTACCCTATAATTTCACTGCCACATCTAGTAAACTATTTTTAAATGCACCTTTTAGGAAAACATACCTTACAATGTAAGGTCTATAGTACCTTTTGAAGTCAAGAATTTGAAGAAAATATACCTACCTTTTTTGAAATAACGAAATACAAACGTAACAATCGTTCCGCATTTGCATAAGTATATTGAAGCCATCAATTAGCATACTAATCCCTATTATTATAACGAGTTAAACAAAAGAGTTTCATGTTACAATTAATTTCCATGTTAAATAATGAGTATTTGTTAATTTACTCAAGTTGTTTCGAGTCTTTAAATAGAAATGGTGACTTTATTATATATATTTAATAAGAAAGTAGGTAGTTACTTTAAAAGTACGCATCTACTTAGAAACAGCTTTAGTAAAAACTAGCTACTCGCCCCGGATTCGCTCGGGTGTATATGTATTATATATATAATTCTTCCTCTTGAATCACTCTATCTATTAAAAAAACCGCTTCAAAATCCGTTGCATAATTTAAGATTTAAGCATACATAGGGACAGACAGCGACAGCGACTTTATTTTATGCTATGTAATGACGATGATGTGTAGTAACTTATATAATGGTTTTGAAGTAGATGTATAAATTAACTAACTCACAACTTATAAAATGTTGATGCGTGCCACTGTCTACATGTATCACCCGTCAAGCAGTTTTCAGATGAAGGATGTGAAACTCAATGAAATTACATTATAAGAGAAATTACGTCTTAGCCTTCTTGAATTTCTACGCATAAGTGTATATCAGGGGCGCAACGTGTAAAATTTCATGTATGGTATATACATAATTACAATTACAACTTTAGGCCGGTCTGTTTTTTTTTTCAGTCCAATTACATAAAATAAATACATATATGACCTCGGTAGTACACAGCTTTACTTCTGATGGCCACGGGTTCGATTCCTCGCACGGCACAAACGTTTACATTTATGAGTATGATGATATTATTATTTATATCTGTCTGGGTGTAAAAAAGAAATATCTATGTATTTGTATCAGCTGTCTAGTATCCATAACACAGCCTTTAGCTAGCTTAACTTGGGTCTAGATTACGCTGTGTGAATTGTTCTGAAATAATTATTAGATTATTATTATTATTAATAGGTGACAAATTACATTCCCGTTTCTATAATTATAAATGCTTCATGGGGTACTAAGGTTTTAACTAAGGTTCTTCGCAAGGGATGCCTTCACTAGAGCGGGCGGGTTTCCATGGGCGGTTCTCTTCAAGTAAAAATAGATTGTAAATAATATTAAAGGGTAACAGGCCTAACTTCAACCATTTGCCAAATTAAGGAAAAAAAAATTAAATTTTCAAAAATTATATTTATCTTAATCAAAAAAAACTGAAATCTATATTTTTTTTAATTAGTACTACGCGTGCAATATTTAATCAACTAGTCTATATTCATATTATAAATGTGAAATATTTGACTGTATATATGATTGTAACAGATAAAGTCAAGAAGTACTTGACAAATCTTAAAAATACTTTCTCTGTTTGAAAGGTAAACTCAATTCAATTTGAAGCAGCGAAATTATTTTTAAAATATTTTTTATTGTTAGCATATTATGTTTATCTATACAAAACTTGCAAAGTTGTGAGCAGCTAAGTAAAGCCGGGTTGGACCACTACTTTTAGGAAGAAAAGCAAATACAGTCCTTTGTATACAATTCAAAAATTTGTGTAGCTTTTCTAGTTTTTACTATATACTTTAAGCTTTGTAAAAAACATTTTTTTACAAAAAAAACATATAATTTGAGTTTCTGGCTACTTAAAAAAATATGATATATGGTAATTACATACTATAATTACAATACCTGAACATTTTCTTCCGTTTACGGTAAACTCAATACACGTCATGCTTCTCACAATACTTACCGACTGAATCATTTAGTAATTATCATGTGGGGATTCTTATATGCAGGCATGTTCGTGGTAGGCTTGTAATGTACAGTCAGCATCTTATTATTTTCATGTACAGTTAAAGTAATAAATGTTATAAAAATCTAAAGTACTAAGAGAGCAGCAAAATTTTGTGAAAAGGCCACACCTTTTCACAAAATTTTGACAATCACAAAATAAATCTTTGTTGGATCACGGGCGGTTGAGTAGTTATAACGAGACCTTGGATCTGTATACAGAAATGTTAAATACTACTAGTGATCAAACATCTGCTCTGCCCCTTGTGACCATAGATTTGACAAATACACCAAACTCCTATAGTCCTAATAAAGTACCTATCAATAGTAATAAGAAGTTAAAAAAATATGTAAAATTAAATAAATTTATTCGAAAATCAGAAAATTTAGTGAAAAGTCATAAAAAGTGTTTAAAATCAATTATTACTAGGAAGCAAAAAATTGACTTATCAATAGAATTAAATAATTGTAAAGAAAAAATATATAACAAAGATTTAGAAATAGATGAATTATCACAAAAAATTAAACTATTAGAGATCTCGTTGTCCAATTTATCTTTGAAATACGAATCAGCTAAGAACGAAATACATGAATATTCTGATCAGTTGGATAATTTAATAAAATTAGGTAACTACAACATGGAGCGGTTTGTTTCTCTTACGGATAGATGTCACTGTAAATCACCAGAATCTGATAACTATATCCAACCGTCCCCACCATAATCAGTTGAACATCGATATCCCATCCGTCACGGAGCCAGACGTTTCATGTTTACCCACACGAAACAGTACAAAAGTAAATAAATGCAGCGCTGTACGTGAAACCATCAGAAGAACAATTATTTATTCAGATGAATTTGGCAAGGATTTAGGTAATTTATTATCGAACTGCCTCTCGCAACAAGTAATAAATAATTGTTTTCCGGCATCAGGTATATATAAGATTATAAAAAATATAGTAAATGAAAAATATGATATTCACACGACCCTAGTAATAGCGTTAGGGAATTGTTTGCATATGCGTAAATCTGATATAGTTAATTCAATAAAATCATTATATAATATAGTGGAGCTTGGTGTAGGCAAAATGTTATTATGCGCATTTCCCTACTCTCAATCCCTGACTAATGAACAGAATAAGTTCATTTATAGTATAAATAATTTAATTTATTCGATGACATATCATTTATTTATTTATTTATTTATTTATTCTTTTGCACACAAAATTGTATACATGGCGGACTTAATACCTGATGGCATTCTCTACCAGTCAACAGTCGCGTTGATCAGAGATAGTATAGCGGTGCAATTTTACAAGTATTAAATGTATATATGTATATATAAACGTACAAATATACTTCTAAAATTATATAATTACATAAATAAAGCTAAATATATAAGCTTAATAAATATCATAAGCTTAATAATTATCATACAATTTAAATATAATATTAAACTATAATAAATATACAATATATATGATTTCATGACATATATCTTGAGACAGTGGTTTGAATGAATATTGCTACAAGAATTTCAAGCAGTGTTCACGCAAGGATCTCGTTAAGGAAAATTTGGTTTGACATCTTCTGAGGTCAACAGGAAGTGCATTCCAAAGATTAATAGCAGAAATAGTGAAGAATTGGGATGAGAAGTTAGAACGATGAGAAGGAGTATACAGCAGGAGATTAGAAGATGAGCGAAGATCACGAGAGTGTGATGAACTTAGAAATAGAAATCTATCTTTGAGATACCGAGGAGCTAGAGGATCGTATAGGACAGAAAAGAGTATCATTGTAATGATATATTTTATTTTGAAAGTAACAAATTTGTTACAAACTATTATATGACGGGAGGTAATTTTTATCTTCCTAAAAAACAAAAAAAGACTATTGCTAGTTTACTAGCGTATAACATTTATGATCCCATTATAAGTACTATACCGGATTTAAATACTAATATTAGTAATTATACTAATAATGTGACATGTGTTAATTTAAACTAACATCTACGACATTGGTTAAGCCACAGGATATGGTCATTATTCATCAAAATATTCGTGGCTTCTCCAGCAAAGAATTAGAATTAAGTCTTTTCTTAGAATCTAACAATGTACGGGTGTTATGTCTGACAGAACATTGGCTTAAACAATATGAAATAATTTGTCCTTTTGAACATTATAATATAGCTAGTTTTTTTGCTAGGAACAATGCCATTCATGGCGGTTCAATTATTATTTTAAAAAATGATGTAGAATTTAAAAACCGTCAAGACATTGTAAATATTTCTATTGAGCAAACAATTGAACTATCATGCGTAGAATTAGCTACTTGTATAATAATTTGCGTTTATCGTCCGCCATCGGCTTGTTTTGATTCTTTTGAACTGGCTGTGGAGGAAGCATTGAGACGAGTCGCACGGAGGAATAAAACATTATTTGTATGTGGCGATTTTAATATTGATTTATTATCGGAATGCTCAATAAGCTTAAGATTGATTAACTTATTTAAATCATTTAATTTGCACAATCTTTTTTTAGAACCCACTAGGGTCGCAGGAAATTCTGCCACTTGTATAGATAATGTTTTTTGTAATTGTGAAGTAAAGGTGAAAATGAATTTCGACTGTCTTGGATCTGATCATTATGGACAAAAAGTTATAATTGAAACTAAGGGATCCAAAGGGACTCAAACAATTACATGCAGACAAATAATACAAAAGAATTAAGCACGTTTTAAAAATAAATTTTATTTTTAAAACATAAAATATCTAGTGTCGTTGTTTAATTAATATATGTATAAAACCTCTTTTGTCATTGTTATGTGCCAGTACGATTATTAAGAAAAAAAAGTAATTTATTTAATCTGTCAAATATTAATGTGTGATTTTGAACAATACACCTAGATAAAACAAGATCAAGATTTTTCATTTAAAACAATTTATTTTTAAACATTTTATGGTCCTTCTTACGCCGATATTAACGAAAATAAATATAGTGCAGTACTTATACGCAAAATAGTTTTATATTTAACTTCAGTGATACAATATATTTTCATACAATTTGGACTTTTGTTGTTTGCATATTACAATGGCTGATATTAAACCACATATTACTTTGTTGTTGGACAATTCAAATAAAATAGTGAAATTACTTACAAATACGAAGAAATGTGCTCGAGCTAAAATTACAAGAGGATATTTGGAGGCGCGTGTGGAGATGCTATGTGAGTACTGGTCGTCTTACAAAAAACAATATGACTATATTACAACTACGTATGCTGAATCAGAGTTTAGAGCACATAATTTTGAACCACAAGACAATTATGATTCTAGCGAAGAGGCTTATTTAGATCTCAAAACATGGATAAAAGATTGGTTGTATGAACATGAGACAAACAGTACTAAAATTTATGATAATAACACCACCAACTCTTCACACTCGAGACCTAAACTTGCACCCATACCACTACCTGCATTCTCAGGAGATTATAATGACTGGATTAGCTTCAGAGATTTATATATTTCATTGATTCACAACGATAACAGCTTGTCAAAAATTGAAAAATTTCACTATCTTAAATGTAGTTTGACTGGCGATGCAGCGATTTTAATAAAGAATTTTACACTTACCGAAGCGAATTATCTAGATGCTTGGAAGAAACTGGAAGAGAGGTATGATAACAAAAGAGTTATTGTTAACAATATATTGAATCGTTTGCTCAGTCAGAAAAAGTTAACTATAGAATCAGCAAAAGGCCTCAAAGAATTATTAGATACTACTAGCCAATGTCTTGACTCACTAAAGAATCTCAATATACTGGTTTCTAATTGGGATGCAATCTTAGTTTATATTATTGTCGGGAAGTTAGACACCGAATCACACAAACTTTGGGAGCAGTCTCTTGGTAACTCTACTGAGATTCCTACTTATGTCAATTTAGCTTCATTCTTGGAGAACAGATTCAGAACACTAGAGATGATTAGCTCCACACAAGTAAAAGATATCTCTAAGAATCCATATGCATCGCAAAAAGTTACATCTGTCAAATCTTATGCTACTGAAGTAAATAGTACTTGCACATATTGCTCACAGAACCACTACATATGTCATTGTAAAAATTTTGCTACGCTTACTACAGCTGAACGTCAAAAGTTTGTAAAAACAAATAACATCTGCTTCAACTGTCTAGTTAAGGGTCATTCTGTGAACCAGTGTCGGCAAAGCACAACTTGTAAGAAATGTAGACGACGTCATCACACTTTGCTGCACATGTATACAAACCTTAACGAGTCAGACACCACAACTGAGAACAATGAGTCTACAGAGAATCCTTCCACGTCTTGTCACACAATTAGCACGAAGACTGAAACAAATGATAAACAAATCCTTTTAGCTACAGCTCGAATTAAAGTAATCGCTAAAAATGGTTCTACTCACATTCTCAGGGCACTCATAGACCAGGGCTCTCAGGCTTCATTTATGACAGAGGCAGCTACACAATTGTTAAATCTTGATCGCACACCTGTAAATGGTAAAATCACTGGAATATCCAACTCACATGCAGTTACTAAGTCCATGGTAACTCTCACAATTCACAGTACAAAATCATCACACTCACAATTTGAAGTCAATGCCTATGTACTTCGAAAACTGACTTCTTTGCAACCGTCTCGAGAATTCCCACAAGATACTTGGCCTTCTTCAATGCAGCTAGATCTGGCCGATCCTGACTTCCACAAGCCAAGTTCTATAGATGTTATATTAGGTGCTGATGTGCACGCTCACATAATTCTCGATGGAATACACAAACACAAGTCTCTCGTTGCTCTTAATTCTTGCCTTGGCTGGTTGTTGTCTGGCAGCGTGTCACATACTGATGCACCAATACACAATAGTATTGTCACTCACACAAATTTGGAGGTGGATCAGTTACCTAGGCAGTTTTGGGAGATCGAAGATGTACCTCACAAAAAACACATGTCAACTTTAAAAATAAAATGCGAAAATAGTACACGCAATGATGATGGTCGATGCATCGTTAACTTACCTTTTAAAGAGTATCCTCCCACAAGTCTTGGTGATTTGAAAATCTTGGCTGTCAATATCTTAAGACAAATGAAGAAGCGATTTTTATACAAACCTGAATTTAAATGTCACTACAGTAATTTTATAGATGAATACTTATCACACAAATACATGAAGATGATTCCTGAAAAAGAACTTAACACTAATAATAAAAAACATATATACTACTTACCTCACCATGCTGTCCTCAGGCCGACGAGCTTGAGTACGAAGTTGTATGTAGTCCTCGATAGTGCTGCATCTGTGAACAGAAAATCATTAAATAATGAATTATTGATTAATCCAACTGTATTAGACATTCGATACTTTATAAGGAGATGGAAATTACATAAATTCTGTTTACTCGCAGATATACTGAAAATGTATGTACAAATACCTGTAGCTAAGAAAGACAGGCTACTTACTATTACTTTTGATCCGTTTTGTACATCTTTATTGCACCAACTGACAGACGATGAATGCAGTGAATTTCTCAAGGAATCTGAAATACTGAAAGAAGACTTTTGTATGGATAAATTGTTAACTCGTATACCAAGAAAGGAAAATGCCATATTTCTTCAAAATCGGTTAACTGAATTATTAAGTCAAGGTAGCTTACCTTTATACAAATGGTCGTCTAATAGTAAATTGTTACTGTATCAAATTTTGAACCAAATAAAATATTATTCTATTATATTCACTATTAAGGTAAAAAACACAATTAAAACTTTAGATATTGTATGGTATTTACGAATTGATAATATTGAACTATGTTTAAGTTTAGAATTTAAATCTCACAATGTTACTAAACGAAATGTAATCTCTACGATAACTGAAACTTTCGATTCTTTTGGTTGGTTAGCAATTTATATTATTGTACACTTTATATGTTGTTATATTTTTGTACTTAAAATATGTATGCAGAAACTTTGGCTAGCTGACTTGGACTGGGATGTGGAGCCACTATCAGAATTAAAAACTCAATGGTTCACTTACCTTAGTAATTTATTACACATAAAATGCATTCCCTTTCCAAGATGGTTCAGTATTACAAATACCACTACTAGGATAGATTCACATTGTTTTGGTGATGCATTTTGCGATGTTTTCGCTGGTGTTATGTACAGCCTTATAACTGTTAATAAATTACTTGATCATTGTGTATTCGCACGAATTAATTCTACTATAGTTTTCAACTGGTTAAGTAAAACTTCAAGTACTAGGATAACATTTGTTGCTTATCAAACTGCACAAATTTCAATTCTCACTAATTGTAACCATACTCATACTTTTAACAATCCTAGTAATGTAGAGTCACGTGGTTTAAGTCCAAATGATTTGAGACAGTCAGAACTGTGGTGGAATGGGCCTGAATTTTTAAGTCAAACTCACAGTATTGTAAGTATTTATTCTTATAATCCTATAACAAGTATAAAGAGATAAAAACAAAGATGAATACTTAAATTTGTACAACTGTAAATAATGATGTTAATGATTTCATAAACACGTATTCAAATGTTTTAAAATTTATTCTTGTAACTGCTTTCATGTAAATTCTATATTTTATTCACTGCTGTAAAAGTAACATTAATTTAATCAAAGTTGATTACACTTCTTACTCAACTGCTTCTGAAATAAAAAATACGTTACTTACATGTATTCCTTGGTCACAAGCTATCAATTTCAGTAATGAAATTAAGATCTTAGTTCAAACATAATGTGTTCATAAAAGCAGTAAGTTATGTACTGTTAATCCATTTCTTGATAGTATACCTAGAACAGACTAGTTATTGCAGAGATATCAAATTATTTAAAATATTCTATTATTTTGAGTAATAATGTCACTTTCTAAACTAATGGTCTCTGATGCACATGTAAAAACTCTGCTTGATGTTTTGTATCTTACCATTGAATTTTTTCATTTGATAACTGTATACCTTATTCACACAATAATAACTGATACTTTTGTTTTTAAACTTATTGTAAATTTATGTTTTTCACTTTTGTACTGGTTTCACCCTATAGTATCTGTAAAGGACTATAGTAGTCCTTTGGGCGGCGGTATGTTTAATTAATATATGTATACAACCTCTTTTGTCATTGTTATGTGCCAGGACTCGTGTTAAAAAAAAAAAAAAAAGTAATTATTTTAATCTGTCAAATGTTAATTAATCTGTGATTTTGAACAATACACCTAGATAAAACAAGATCAAGATTTTTCATTTAAAACAATTTATTTTTAAACAGTCGTAGTACCTCAATATGACCCGGACATTGTATGTGAACATATTTTTAATTTAATTGAACATGAAGCTAGCAGTGAATTTAGAACAAAAACATTTTCAACTAGTGTAAAATCAAAGTTTTGTGACTGGGCCACATTTGGTATTTATAAGTCTAGGGCTAATCTTTACGAACTTTACGAAAAACGAAGCTATATATCCGATCCCTTATTTCATGAACATGTAAAATCTTATTTGAAAATATTTAAAAAGGTTTGTCATACAGCTAAGTCTCTCTATTTAGGTAAAATAATAACTAAATCTAAAGATAAAATAAAAGCCACTTGGAAAGTAATAAATAGCGAAACTGGAAAAGTTAATTTTGAAAATAGCAAAATAGCTTTAAATATTAATAACAAATTAGTAAATCCGACACAAAGGTCGCGGATACATTCGAATCTTATTTCACTAATATTCCATTAATTACGACACAGGCTCTAAAATCTTCCCCGTCTGCTGCTGAAACTTTACTAACAGACAATGTTAGCAAGTCATCAGCTGTATTTAACTTTAGATATACAACATCAGTAGAAATAATGAAAATATTTAAACAGCTTAATAATAAAAAAACAGAGGATCTATGGGGTATATCTGTTAAAATACTGGATAGTATAATGGAAATTATTGCGCCGTCTCTTGCTTTTATTTTCAATAAATGTATAGATGAAGGTAAATTTCCTAACATAATGAAAATTAGTATAATCATACCGCTTTTTAAATCTGGAGATAGGAGTGACCCAATAAATTATAGATCTATATCTATACTCCCAGCACTCAGTAAAATTTTTGAAAAATTAATCCTTATGCAACTTGTCAGTTATTTCAATTTAAATAATTTAATCCACAATAGTCAATTCGGTTTTTCCAAAGGTCTTTCAACTACAGACGCAGGTGCAGAGTTGCTTAGACACGTATTTGCTGCATGGGAAACTAAAATGGATGCAATAGGTGTTTTTTGTGACCTTTCTAAGGCCTATGATTGCGTTGATCATAATACATTGCTAAAAAAAACCTGCTTTTTATGGCGTCAAAGACAATGCTTTAAATTTAATAAAATCTTATCTATGTGATAGAATACAGAAAGTGAAGGTTAGCAACGCTACGTCTGACGGGTCACTTGTGCAAATGGGTGTACCTCAAGGATCTATTCTCGGTCCATTTTTATTCCTTGTTTACATTAATGATCTCCCATATGCCATGCAGGATAGTTGCGGGATAGTGTTATTTGCAGACGATACTTCATTGATTTTTAAAGTTAATAGAATGACTAATAATTATGACGATGTAAATAGTGCTTTGCGGCGTCTCCTGCACTGGTTTACAACTAACAATCTTATATTAAACGCTAAAAAAACAAAATGTGTTAATTTTCTCTGTCTAAAAGTTTAAATACTAATTGCAACATAAAATTAAATGACGAATCTCTCGAGGTTATAGATTCTACTGTCTTTCTACGAATCACACTAGATAATAAAACACAATGGGGTGCACAAATTCAAAGCCTTGCAGCGAAACTAAGTTCAGCAGCTTTTGCCGTGCGTAAAGTTAGACAGTACACTGATACTGATACTGCTAGATTGGTCTATTTTAGTTATTTTCATAGTTTACTTTCTTATGGAATATTACTATGGGGAAAAGCGGCTGATATTAAAAATATATTCATGTTACAAAAACGTGCCGTTCGAGCGATCTACTGTATGAACAGTCGTGACTCATTAAGAGAGAAATTCAAAGAGGCAAATATTCTCACCGTTGCTTCTCAATTTATATATTCAAATATCCTATATGTTCAGAAAAACCTTGACTTATTTCCAAAAAACAGCAATATTCATAATATTAATACTAGATTTAAAGACAAACTTGCTGTCCCCAAGTATCGTTTAGAAAAAGTTAATAGGTCTTTTATGGGAATAGGTATAAAAATTTACAATAAAATACCAAAGGATATGTTGGAATTACCCATAATTAAATTCAATACATCTTGTAAAATCATATTTACTGAGCAAAGCCTATTACTCACTAAACGATTACTTGAATGACAAGTGTGCATGGCAATAGTTGTTCATGCACTGAATTTTCATTTAATGTTAGACATAGACACCTATATAAATATACATTGTAAATAAACTGGCTTTAAAAAAAAAAAGTAATTCAATTGAGTTTCTTGCCAGTTCTTCTCAATTGGATCTATATACCGAACTGGACGGTAGGGAAAAAAATAAAATTAGAATGTAAAAATTTGACGTTCATAAGCGGCTAAAATATCCTACATGAATAAATGATTTTTTAATTTGAATTTTTATTATCATGCTGAAAATCCTTTGCCAAGATCTGCTCACCTCGAAGTCGAACTCTTACCGGCCTGAGACCATGGAGAGGCAACGGGATGGCTAGAATATTCTACCGCGACCCCAGTGGCCCGGAGAGCGACGAAGACTAGTCGGATTACTTCCCCGACAGACACCAATTTCGTGAGTTCAAATCTGACTAATAATAAAAAATGTTTGTATAATTTATAATTTGACGGAGTCATCGCTGATGGCATACAAACAAACACTCGATAACATATCAAAATTAATGTTAGATTCAAACTAAATGTGGAAAGTATTGCATTCTACCACGACTTTGGCAATTGAAACTGTCTTTGATTGCTCCAATAAAAGTCGTAAAAAATATAGGTAATATTTATCTTGAAAATGCCTGTGTGGAAATTCCCATGAAATTATAAAACCTAAGTCAGTATATATGGCATTGTTACTTAAAATCTTGATCAATCGTGCTGACCAACTGTCAAACTGAGAACTTTCTTTCCATACTTACAAAAAATTACAGATAGGTAGCTATTTAGATTCAGTCAATGTGTGACTTCAAGTGACTTCATACACAACACACAAAGACTTCGAAGTGGAATCGCGCGTGTAGAGAAGAACCTCGACGACGCTGGTCCGGTGGTCGACCGGTACATTGCTATAATGTTAGGTTATCAAATCTAACTTTGCAGCCTGGTAGTAGAAGAATCCGATTGGCATGAGCCATATATTTGTATTATAAAAAAATACCAGAGAGTCTACAATGTTAGATATGTTACTAGTGCCTGTATTTCATGTTTGATGTGTATATAGGTATTTATTATAATAAAAGTAAATAGCAGACATAAATAGTACATAGAATAGTATAAAATAATTAAAAATGAAGAACACAACAATTAATCCGTATGTCTGCAGATGAAACCATTTTGATTTTTTTCATTTTCCCGCGCAAATGTAATGCGCTACAGGTGCACAATAAGTATTGCACGGTGCGCAGCCGCAGTAGGATGAAGAGCGTGTCCTGGCTATTTGCGCGATGTTAATACTATTATCAGTAATAACATACAATATACAACATAAACGAAATAGATATAAAATAAAAATATATTCACTATGTGTTCCATCGCATTAGCGACACAACTTTGGCTCTACTTGACATTTACATATGTATAAAAGTAACCTCGACAAGATCTTCTCCACCCTCCGTTAAAGGTTTAAGTATGTACCTCGCGCAGTTCCTCTTTACTGGAGTATACTTTAGATTCTACTTCAGGGACTAATCCATAAGGCTTTCGATGATACTTTCGGGCTGATTATAATACCGGTTTATACTTTAGTACATTTTTACCGTGTATAAAAACGCACCATGTATGAAATGCCTTAGTTGAGTGATACGATATCATAAGATGTATCCCTTAATAACAGGTGATGGGGGAAGGGGATTGTTAGTAATGTGGACTGATAACCCCATTGTTAGCAATGTATAATACTATGTCAGGTTGACCTCCATGTGGTTTCCTATGGAAAACATCGTGATAAATTCATGGTCTATTTATCAGGATAGACTAACTACCCTGATCTAATTCTCATTTTATCATCCTCCACTGGTGCCCCGCCAGCGAAATCCGATAGCGCAGGCGGGTGCAACACTCCATCATAACGATAAGAATAAAAATTATAACAGGTGGTAAGTGTTAACTTGAACACTTTGTGAGGCAGTGTGAACCGGTTTTTTCCAATATCGGCGAACATGCGATCGGCAAGTGTTCACGTGCCAAAGTCAATATATGCTTTTAATTGAATCCATACTAACTTTATAAATGCGGAAGTGTATCTTTCTGTCTGTCTTACCATTTCGTTTCACGATTTTTCTGTAATAAGAATGGCACACAAGCTAACGTTTGAATAGATAGATGTAAGTGGTAACCTTCGCTCATATACATATCTTGTTACTTGCTGTAAGTGATACCGCTCACGCGTTGTCATTCCGGAGGAATAAAATGTTAAGCTTATTATCCTGAAATTAACTTCAGACTTATCTCGCCCTTCAACATAGCAAGCATATTACATATGTTTTTTTCCAGAATCTACCTTAATGACTCGGCATCACGAGATCGGACATGGCTGTATTTTGTTTAAAAACATACGAAGTCGCCGCTAAAAGCTTGTAAACCATATACGTCTAACTTATAAATGATTCGATTTTTTGTTTTTTTGCAATGGCATATGCTGGTGGTCACTTTATTCTTCCAAATTTAGATTTTAATGACTGTGTACAATTGAAAACATGTACAACATTTAGGTATTTGAAAAGAATACGAGCTGAGTTTCTTGTCATTTCTTTTCATCTCAAAATCATTCCGAACTGACGGTAGATTTGACATATCATAAAAGTCTGTAATAGACCGACATGAATAAAGATATTTTGAATTTAAATTTGAATAATAATTTAAATTTGAATTTATCTACAGTAGTAGATAAATTTTAATTGATTCCTATATTTTAAAAGACTACTTTTTATTTGACTTGGCAGCGCCTTTATGAGAATTGACGCAAATTTGAATGTATGTAAAAACCTGCAGTAGTTCTCGAAAATAGTAATGTCTGTCTTTTTAATAGTTGCTTACAAAAAAGAATACGGAATTAAAATACGAAGGTTTTTGTGTTATTCAATTATATAATCGACATTCTATATTTAAAGTTTTTATGATTTACTTTTCAATAACAGATTTTTACAACGGCAAAAGAAATATACATGTTTTACTGAATCCATTATCACTCATTTAAAGAATACCATATCGCCACCACAAGATGCGAATTATATGTTATTGATATGGAGTGTCAGTCAGACCAAAAAATTTGAGAAATTTAACTAGTACAGTTAAATTTCGCAAATTTTTCTAAGATGTTTTTTCTAATCTTTTAATTTTTTTTTTTTTTTATAACGGAGCTATTCTAGCATTACTCGATAAGTTTTACAGATCAATATAGATTGATGCCCGTCGACGTAGGTTTTACTCCGACAGAGCGCCAGAAGAGGATGATAGGACGATGGTGAGTAAGGATCAGTGAAAATTCATCAGAAATAAACCACGATGCTAAATTTATAAGTACCTTCCTGCAGTTTCACCATGGTTTATTTCTAATCTTAAGATATTAAAGGTTGGGTATAAAAACCACATCTACCTAATCTTTTTGTTTGGAGAAAAATAAAGGTAAAAACATTTTATGTATAGTTTTATTTACATGTCCACTCAATAGTACTGAAACACATTAGAATAAAATAAAATATTCATAGCTTGAAAACAAACTCCTCTAATTTAACGTCTAATGCTTTTAGTATAGAATCCGTAGTGAATGGATTATCTGGAACAAAACCACACAAGATGATAATATATTACACTAGCTACTCGCCCCGGCTTCGCACGGGTGTACATGTTTTATATAAATAAACATTCTTCTTTAATCACTCTATCTATTAAAAAACGCTTCAAAATCCGTTGCGTAGTTTTAAAGATTTAAGCGTACATAGGGACAAACAACAACAGCGACTTTGTATGTAATGATGATTAAAATATAGATAACCTCGGTTGTATAGCGGTTTAGCACATCGTCTTCTTTCCGATGGTCGCGGGCTAGATTCCTCGCGCGGTATAAACATTTGTACTTATGAATATTATTGCTTATATTCATCTCTCGGTGTCCTCTATAGAGATGTACCTATGTATATACAAAAAAAAAGTATGTTGGTATTACATTACATACACCGAGAGTGCCATAATATAAGATCTGCTTGTTTATAACTAGATTAGCGAGGAGTGACATTTAGTTCTCCGGAATGACAACGTATGTGTGATATTACGGCCGTCACGTGACATATAAAAATGTTATTATCTTTATTATATCATAGAGGATGGACTACCCCCTCTAAGTTTTAGAACATTTAGTCCCGATTAATATATCTTAATTTCACTAAAGATGTTTTCATTACTATTCTATGTCAGTTTTTTTGTTCAATCCTTTAATTACCTATATTTATCCACTCTGTAGGGTCGTATCCAGAATTCTTTCTCGATTCCATTATACATTTCCTTAGAGCATGTGTCACTCCATTAGTAGTACAAACGCCCATTTCACCAACAGCTGAAAAGTGAGCTAAGTTGTGATCATTTTATTACATACTAGCTATCTAGCCGGATCTACATGCATTTCTCATGAATTACGCTAAAAAATGCATTAAAATCCGTTGCGTAGTTTAAAAGATCTAAGCGAACAGAGAGTGGAGGCGACTTAATTATATAGGATATAAAGATTTTAATTATAATTGAAAATACCAACGATGTCAAACAAATGAGAATCTAAATATTTTTGATCCACTTTGTAAGGTTATTTATATCGGTATGCAACCGAATAGTGTTCACTTGGATATATCTATTGTTAAATATGTTTCTATCTCTATCGACAAGGCTTGATAAGAAAATACTCTATTAAATGGAAAAATATATGAAATTGAATAAATATTATATCCCTTAGCCCACGTAACAGAACTTTTGAAAAACTCATGAGTAGGTATAACCAGCTGGTGTCTTACCTTTAGACCCTAACACACCTTTCGGATTTTTAGAATTATATCGAAGCATAACCCTGAAATCTGCTGGTATATCTAAGGCCAGAGGTACGTGGTATGTTAGAGACCTGTTAGTTAGTTTTTTGCCTGTTTGTTTATCGTAAATAATCTTTTCACTCGTAAAATATCCCAAACCATATATATAAGCTCCTTCAACCTGGTATAAAATAAAATAAACTTTAATAATAAATTGTTTAAATTCTCAACAGCCTCGGTGGTATAGCGGTTTAACACACCGGCTTACTTCGCGGATTCGATTCCTTGCACGGTAAAAACATTTGTATTTATGAGTATCATTGTTTGATATCTGAGTGATTTGTATGTTCTTTGTATGGAGATTCTTGAAGATCTATGTATTTCAGTTGTCTAGTAGCCATAACAAAAACTGTACTTAGCATGGCACTATATGGAACTGTGTAAATTGTCCCGATATATTACTATTATTATCCTACGTTTTTAAATAACATATTTACTAACCTGACCAATATCGACCTCTGGGTTGGCACTTAATCCTACGTCTTCTAATATATCTGCTCTTAACAACTGATATCTCCCTGTTAGAACATCTAACTGTGTTTCTAGAATGGCTACACCAAATGTATTATAATTCGGCAAATCTTTTTGAGACGTCGTATAAGTTGCAGTCAGATCTACCAACAATTCCCCTGCCTTCCAGACAACCTGTTCCCATGTAGGATTTGTCAATTGCTTCCTTGCTGGTTCCAATCGCTTGTTTAATATTTCGCAAGCTTTTATTATAGAATAACACACGCTGTCACTTGATGTACTTGAACTTGTGCAAACGTTGTTAGCAGCTACGAAAGACATGCTTGGTAATATAGTTATGTATTGCAATGGAATACCTAATTGGTGTGCGCATACTTGTGCTGCTTTGGTGTTCAGACCCTGTCCTATCTCTATTCCACCAGTAGTGACTGTCACTGTACCATCTCTATATATAGACACCATAGCTGAAAACATACCAATGTAAATAACTGGAAAAATCATTGGACTGATATGTATAGCTTTCTTTACCCAACGATTCGATTCATTGTACTCTTGAATTAATTTCGCTCGAGCATCGTAGTCAGCTTCTTTTCTTAATATATCTATGAGTTGTGGTAAATCGTTATCTTCTTTTCTCATATTGGCTAGACGCACATCTATGGCATCCTTTTTTACAACATATGCTATATGTTCCATTATGTTCTCTATGCAAGCAATAGCTTCTGATGTCGCTACAATATATACAAACAAAATATTAAACGGATTTACCGAATAATGGACATACATTTATACTACTACTTTTTTCATTATTTATCTGTATCTATAAATAACAATTTTCCGAACGTATGTTAGCGCATCTCATTAGTCCTTACCAGTGTAAATGCGGAGATGATAACTAAATAGTCTTCAACACAACTATGATTACTTGAAGGTAAAATGTCCATAATAATATTATAAATGAGGAATCGTGTCTGTCTGATCGTCAGAATATAAGCGCTTTGACAGTAAGTAAGTAAGCTCATGTTGCCAACTAATAATGTGGATTCCAACTTAAATTGTGTAGTATAATATTATGTAGTATTTTAAAGTGATTTTATATGTATAAATTTTGAGTGTCAAAAAATTTCCATACAAATATTAAATTTTGACGTAAAAATAGATTATATCATGAGGACAGACATAAACAACCTTTTATTTTAAGACGAAGACGCGGATAAAAGCTAGTATTACTATAATCGTACCTGGCGCTCGTACAAAGGTATTACAAGGCAAATCGGTAAACACAGAAGCCACTTTCAAGCTCATGTAATCAGAATTATAGCAATTTGGGAAACCTCCCACAAAAGGTTGAAGGAGAAAATCATTAAACGAGTAGCCCTGATCTTGCACCACCATTGCTTGTAAGTACTGAATTTTCCCATTAGCATCCACACCTACCTGAAAACTATACTCATATTAAATAAATACATACAAAGAGAAAGAAGGGTAGGCAGTTAATGAAATGGCAAGACAAGTTAAGATCAACAGTGGCCACAAAATGGAGAAGAGTTGCACATGATAGATACCAATGGAAGTCACTGGAGGAGGCGTATGCCAAAAAGCACACTGAAAATAGAGATCTATTGTAAAAATATATTTTTGGTATAAAAAACTTATAATTGCATTTCATTCCACCATTTTCGGCGACGTAAATTTTGTAAATCATCTGCGGGTAGGTACTTTAATTTAGCCACCTATTTCGCCTGCCAAGCTTACTTTGTAAACTGTTTTTCTGTTCTAAATTGAGATAAGGCAGTGACATTATATTAAAAGAGGCATGATATTTCAGTCGTCCGGAATGAGAATGGATGAGTGGTAGGTATCACGTGATAGTGCAGTTTATATGTATAGGCAAGAGTTGCCTCTTATAATAATGTTAGCAAAATCTCTACTTCTAATTTCCAATTACAACTTCGTAAATTTATCGCGCAATTAAATACTATACTTTAAATTCATCATGACAAAAAGTGAATAACAGGAAAACGACATAGTATTTGAGGACCTTACGGACGCTAAGTAGCAATCCAGGTTTAGAATGAGTATGCAAATGTCAATAATAAATAGATAGATTATCTATTTCTCTATTGTAGTTAAATGTCCTCACATAAAAAAGAGAAATAAAAAGATAGTGAAGGTGATGGAAGGTGAAAGAAAGGAAAGGAAGGTGAAACAACAACCAATTCAATAGAACTAGAAAATATCCATAGACTTGACTCCATATCATAGTCTTATAACAATTTTTACCTCATAATTACATTGTGTTGGAAACCTCCCACCGGAAATGGACATGTTGGTTTGTATTGGCAATATGAAACGGCACGGCAATGCCATTTTCCGAGCGACTAAAGCGCAAGCTGTAGACGCTTGTACATTTCGACTAATTTTGCCGCCAAATGCACCACCACAACGACGCACTTTCATTAATATTCTGAAAATAGGATGAATATACATTTTTATTTAGTTAAAAAATCACAAACATTATACTCAATATACCAGAAAATGGAACTGAACTACAACATTAAGCGAAATTGCTTATTAAATTCATTTTGTAAAAATAAAATCATCGTTTGTCTCAGACGATTTTCACGATGGACCCGGCACCCGCGCAGTGAATCCATGGAATGCTACAAAGTTCGTCTCTGCTTAATTAGTCCACATAACTCAATCTAGCCCTAGATAGAGTCACATATTAATGAAGACGTTTCAACAAGTAAAATCGCGCAATAAGCAAATTTTGGTAGTTTTAATAAGTACTTACTGACTTTCTTTCATTTTCAAACATTGCGCTATTCCCATTTGACTTAGATCCATCCACTGCGTAGAATCATATACTTCAAGTCGATCATCTACTGGCACCACGACGCAAGTTATTGGCTCCATATAATAATGATATTGTGTTTCAATTTCATATGAACCTTTTACAATATTTGTAACATTATTACCACGACCTTTAGGTTTAAGACCACCATCGGCTGGCACATATCTTTTGCTATCTTTTTTAGCTTTATTTATAGTGATTACGGGATCGCAGGAACTTTTATTTTTATATGTTACTTTAACTTTTTTAGCAACAGTTGCAGCTAGTGTTTGTGTTATTGCCACAACGATGGCTAATGGTTGACCATAATATTTAACATCACTGCTTACAAGAATCTCTTCGTATACTTTCTCTTGTTGTACCCCCGGCCGTATGAAAGAATTTATTCCCGGAATATCTTTCGCAGTGTATACAGCTAGAACGCCGTCTATATTCTGTAATTAATTGTAATTTTAATTATTTGTGTATTCACATGCTAATGGTAATACGTGCGAATTATACGAAACACTAAAAAATACGCTAAGTCTATTTATACAACTCAAAGTCTAAAGTAATCACAATAATAATACTCATACAGTGAAGTAGACCAATTATGTCTTTGTTATGATTTCATGACCATCAAAATAAACGTACGTAATGTGTCATACTTTTTTTATTCTACGGATTTGGCCTTTTTTCTTTTCGGGGTTCCGTCCTTTCGATAAAAAGAATAAAAAAAAAAAAGCAAAATATATTTGTACAAATTATATATAATAAATACCATACGTTTGACATACACACATATAAAAAAGTTATGTTAAAACTCAAAATATTAATTATTTATGATTCATTGTGGTCTGACTCGCCCTGTGGGACAACCATTAGGTAAAATATATTTATTAGATAATATTACTAGTTATCTATTATATTTATAACGAATATAATAATACACATAAGCAAAATTAAGATAATTTAAATTAATCTTACCAAAACATCAGTTGTATCTATAGAATCAATTTGCCCAACGTGTATTGTGGATAAAACAAAAGCGCCAAATACTTCTAGAGGAAATGACGGAATGTCGTTTACAAATTGTGCTTCCCCTGAGCTCTGAAGTAATGCTTCTAACTTGGGAAGAGGCTGGTTGATAGGATATAGCGAAGAATCTGTTTGATAGGACTGAGTTCCGTGAGAAATCGGACGATGCAGCAACTCACGTCCAGATCTATAGCGAGGATCAATAAAACTCGACGGTGCAATGCTCAAAATGAACTATAATTTCAAAAAAGATAACATATTACAAACAGACTAAGAAACTACAATAAGAAACCAAAATGCTTTTACACATGGTCGTCTGAACGTTTGTAACAAATTATTTCTTTATTATTTCATAGCATTGGGTGTTATTTGCGTGTATTGCGGAAGTTCTTTTCATTACTTAATGGTTTATATTATTTTGTTTAATTACGCTACAGCGTCTCAGGTTGGTCGCGGAACTTATATCCCAACTCTTCAATGACCTGCTGATGTCTCGTTCTGAGACGAAACACGTGTCGTAATATGTGTGTAGACTCAATAACGGCCGGAATTTGATCATCAATAGAGAAGATCGTAACAATTCCTGGTGGTCAGGATTTCGTATTGATTATTGTGGTCTCATATATACTAAAGGTTGCGTAACAAACAAACAAATAAAGCAGTTGTTTATAAATTCTCGTACGTTCTTATTTTATATGTCATATTTCGTCATGTAATATTTTATTTAGCACTATTATTATAAGACTGAGAATAAAACATTAATTAATATCATATTAAGTCATATAAAAAAAAGTTTATACCTTGTAAAATATCCCAATTGCTAGTTTCTTGCGAGTTTCTTTCGAATACAGAGTATACTCAATTGGGCGTAATTCGTCATTCAATTCCTTGATAGCTCTTTGTAATATTTTATTATTAAAAATATTTTTATTACGCAAATATATATTAGTACGATTAGCATAAATAAATTCCGTCGAAATATTACCAAACGCACAAGTAGCTTCCTTTATTATTCTGTTATTGTCCATATTTAGTAAGAATGCTGCATTTACAATAGCTAAAGCATTCTGATTTCTCGGCATAATCTGAAAATTTATATGTTAATTTGATATTATATGAGAACTACTTTGTAACTACTATTATATCTACAATAAAAATTACTGGCAGTTTTCATATAGAAGACATATTCAAAAAATATATATACAGTTTGTCTTTCTTATTTTAACTTAAACTAAGTTCTTCTATATATTTATGAATATTGAAGGAAATCTATGAAATTCATTTTAATTATTTTTATATTTGGAAGAGTATCCAATCCCAACTCCTCGACTTAAATTAAGTTATTGATTTGGACTTATTGTTGCAAATCAGTAACTGATAATTTGGTACCCGGACAATTGAAGTCAGTTTTATTGTGGCCGTTAATTACTGATCTGTTGCTGTTTTTTGTTCAAATACAAAACCACTTTGCCTTTACATCATCATTACTAGTAAGTCCGCACAAGTTTGTAAGTTTATGAGTCTGAAGAATGTTACTTTTGTTCACCGCAAAGCACTTTGGATTCCGTGGTACTATATAATTCTTATGAAAACAGTAAATATAAGTACATTGTTAGTTAATTAGACTATAATTACTAATTTAATTTTAAAACATCTATAATATATAATTTAATATATAGAATAAGTGAAAAAATTTACCTTATAACTTTTAAAAATGCTTAAAGCACCTAAAGGAGGTAACAATATGGACTGTATCAATACTCCTTGCATATTATAACTGAGAAATTGTGACATTTTTATATTATTTATCTGGCCCTTTGAATTTCCTGAAAAAGAGCAAATAAAATAATTACCACTTAGTAACTTAAAGATATTACTATGGTGGGTGACAATGGAAAGTAGCCTCCTTATAAAGCCAATTTTTAAAAAGTTATATGATTGGATCATGGAAGACTACTACTAGACTAATTATAAAAAGTTTTCCTTTAATACGATTATTAAGCGAAAATATGTTGTAAAGGCAATACTTTACAAGAAAGAGTCTTCCATGTGCCAATAGACTTACTTTGAAATTTCAAACCCAGAATTTGGCTGATGATGAACATGATTTAGTATCATGTTCTAACACGATTGCGTCAAAAGATAACTTTAAATTTCACTTAGGTATTCAATACAGCACCATTATGTTGAATAAATCTATAGCAATAATAATAGTTCTAGTAAGTAGTTTCTAAAATAGAGTGCTGTGTCAAAGTTCACTGATGTTTTCACTATTGACTTCAAAACCCGAAACAATAATAAAAAAAATCCTGAATTACATACTTACTGACAGTAATAACTGCACCAACCGCAGACAAAAGCAAGAACACATCCGATGGAAACGACGGCATACTGTGTTTCAACATCAAGTTACCGGCCAGACATCCGATCTGAAGTAAATATAAAATATAGGTAATAAATATTTTCGACTCAAGAATTATCCCCATGACTAAAAGTTCTGTCCTCCTTGTATTATATTCCAATATGTAACATAGTACTCCGGCGTGTCTGTCTATATGTTCGTAAGAATTTCAAAAATTACTGTACGCGTTTTCATCCATCAACAAAGTTATATCTAAATGAAGAAGGTTTAAATGTGAATTACACATTTAAGCCATTTTCATTTAGATATAACATTGCTAATGGATGAAAATAGCATGAAGCAAAATAGCATTAAGGTTTTTTAGCGACATGTCCCAGCTTTGCACTAATATTTCAATTAAGTTATATAAAATTTATATTACTCACATTTCTTACGGATATATGAGCCACGTTCTCAAAATGTTTAGCAAACTCAGACAGATAACTGAAATCATCATTAGACAGCGCTACATCCTGAAATATTTTCCTACATTCCTCCAATGATGTGTTCGCTCCGAGAATCAGATTCTGATCACATTTATATCCTTTTAGCGATTTCACATTGCTAATGTCTATTAGTATGCGAGGATATTCATAATTTTCATAGATACCTATAAAATAACAAAATGTAATTAAAATTATTCATAAGTCTGTTCTATGTTGTTGTTAAGTGTTTATACATTTATTCATAAGTAATTGACAAAAAAATTATGGATAATAAATAAATATGAATTAATTAATTAACAATCATTAAAATCAGCGAGATGGACTGTAAAATGTCGTCTGCGTGCTCAGTTATTACCTGCTTATTTCTGCTTGCGATAGGCAGTTAAAATAGAGGATAAGAAACATGACGACTAAGTCGTACTTCTGGAATGGCAATGCATAAATGTAATCACGGATCTCACATGGTATATCCCAAGTGCTGTTCATGTACCTATTCGTTTCCGTTCCGATCGTTTACCGTTTACCATCACTCGTCAGATTCTTTGCCATTCAAATTACATTATAAAAATGCTTACCCAATAAGTATAATTATGTAGGTACCTTTCGCAGTATTTCCATCAACGAGTTGATAAGAATCTACACCATGTTCATGAAATATTTCAAAAATATCTTTTTCTTCGAAAACTTTAAACATTATTTCATTTCCGAAATCTAAAACTATAGTTTTTTCACATCTAGGTAATGAATTCTCAATTACGCTCCAGTCACTATCGATGCTATGCGTTGAACATTTTCTTTGGCAATTACTCGATTTCCTATCACATGTTTCTAAATCTTCTATATCCTTCACCCTCTGTAGTAACTCAGGGCTGGCATCGACTGCGTATGACTTGATCACGTCCAATATAGGTCTGTATCCTGTACATCGACACGTGTTACTGCCGAACGATCTCTCCAGTTCAGCTGTTGTGAGATGTTTATCCTGTAAACTTAATAATTACGCTTTGTTTCTAAATAATAACATAACTATATGTAACTTCAAATTAGCAGCTTTTCACTAAATGCATATGAAAGTATGTACAGTACTTCCATAAAAACACAAATAAAAAAAACTGTCTATTTGTTCTTACAAATCTCTGAAATGACTGGATCTATTTTCACGGGACTTTCACTTGCAGATAACTAATATTATAACTTAGGCTACTTTAATTTTAGAAATTTTATTAGAGAATTGACGTGATATCCATGGTACTGAAAAAATGACCTTGTCTATTAAAACATATAAGTTACTATTAGCACAGATAATATAATATTACATACTATTAGACACACACGCACAATTCATCCGTGGGCTGCTCGTATAGAATCTTTTTTGTTCAAGTCACTGTTCATAGGCCATCTTATACCCCACTACTCACGAAAATCCATTGACAACATTACCTACCTATATAAATTCATGATCCAGCCGGGCGTGCAGTATCCGCATTGCGTGGCGTTGAATGCCCTGAACCGCTTCTGGATGTCGGAGTAACCGTTGCGACGGTTCCCGACGCCTTCGATGGTAGTTATATCCCAGCCATGACAGGAGAACACCAGCACCAAACACTGAAACAATTCAAGGTAAGATTAAATAAATAAGTTACATAATCTTACAACTTAATTTCCGAATAGGTTATCAGAGGCTTTGCCAAATGTCGATCATGCACATACATGGATATAAATGTAATGAATACATTTTTTACATAGATGATTTAACACTCTCTCTGTATTTTTCAAAAAAATGTGTATAAAATATTCAATTATGGATTACTGCATAAAATGTGAGGTAATAAAATATTTACAGAATAATAAGAATTATAGTAGAAATATGTTTATAAAAATCGCATTAGACGTAATTTATCATATTCATTTTCCGTTAGTCTAATATCTTCAGTGAAGGAAGAAATTTTATATTAATACAGTTTTTAATAATAAGAATAATATAGTAGAAAAATTACGATCAAAAAAAAAACACTTCATAATTATTGCACTTGCAAATTAAGATATCGCATTTGACGCTCTCTGAGCGCGCGCACCGACACGCATCATGCGCCGCAGCCTTATTTTCCGTTAACGACTCTTTATAGTTATGTATTTCTAAGAAATTAAAAATAGACAATCTTGAAAAAACATATGAATTATGTGGATAGAAATAATCTTTATTCAAATAAAAAAAGCACTTTTGAAAAAATTTTGATCACATTTATCTTCATCACAAGAAGAATCGTCGTTGTTGCTCTTTTTAAACGTATAAAAATACAAAACAAAAACGTTGATATCTGTTAAATAATTATTCCACTTATAGAATTAACTGAAAAACATTATTATCGTTAACAAATTCTTCTCTTATAGCGCGCTTTTTTGAAAGGAACGCGCCATTTAAATCTTTTTTCGTGGCAGATTTATAATAGACTCTTCGTCCTTACGCAATTGCAAAAACGAATTAACAGCCAAACGACATTTAGGTAAAATCGGTTATTGTTACGCGTTCATAACTCTTTTGAGTCGTACTGCGGGATGAGTTTTTATAAATGTATTGTCCACTGAAATTAAAAATATATATTTTTAAAGGGAGAATAAAAAAAATATAAAAAAATAGAACGGGTGCTGTTGGATTTATTTATGTGCAATATATTTAAGAATCTCAACATTTATTTTTAACATTTGTTTTTTTATTTTTCTTCTATATTAAAATAAAGGAATTTTTCTAAAATAAAAGTAACCTAATTTACTACTTATTACATCAACTCACTCACTCAGTACCGTTTTTATCCAAAAGACAGACAAAAATTGTAAAAAAAATATTTTGGTGAAATATTCATATGTATTTTTTTTTTTTACAAACAGACACTCCAATTTTATTTATATGTGTAGATATTTATGTAAACAACTGTACTTTTATTTTCTTATAGCACACGTGAACGCTGTAAACAGCAAAATATGTATTCTTTTATTACTGAGTTCTATTGACTTTGTAAACTAGACAAACTTGGTGATTACTTTGTTTAACAGATGTTATATAGGGTACAATCACAGACACGATGTAGGTACCTATAAGAAAATATTTATTATCTATACAATAAATATATTGTCATTGCAAGGACAATTATATAAACAATATAAACAAAGTAAAGGACTTTTGAGTTAGTGTTGTATATATTAATATACTAGCTGTGCCCGCGACATCGTCCGGATAGTATAGTGACCTTGACTAAATAAAGAAAATTTATTTAGTTAAAATAAAACCCAAAAAAGTTTCGGTATTTCACTTCAAAAATGACGATACTTTTACACAACCTTTCATCTGATTGCGGTCAAATTGTAATATATAAAAAAACTCCACTCCCTTACAACCCATTTTTCGCACTAAAAAGTAGTCTCTAAGGGTCTAGTTTATTTATATATAAATCTACACTTTGTTTATTTGTATGGTTAAACACGCTAATTTCAGGAAATTTCTACTGGTTCTTCTATGCCATTTATATTACATAACATCACGCTCCTAATACAAACATTAATGATATGATCGTACACAATTGAGATCTCATGAAATCGACAAGTTTATAAAACTTTAATAATAGAGTAAATAAATATTATAAATAATAAAATAAACCTTCACGACAAATTGTCAATGTATTGATGAATGAAACACTTGATATATAATGCAGCATGCATATGCACGATACCCCTCCGATCGATCCCCGTCCACTTCAGACGGGGATCGAAATTACGATGGCCTGAGCCGAACTTCGAACTTCTAGCGGTGCCCTCATACTAAAACCGCTCCGCCCGGTGGGAGTTGACCATCAGCCACTCCATGAGTCCTTCCGCGGATTTGAAGTGCCACTGCACTCGCCCCCTATCGTCCGGTAAAGCTGTAAAAGCCAGCGACCGCCAACAGCATTAGAGAAGTCCGAAAAAAAATATGCACGATACGCAACATCCTTTACAGTGCCCTCAGATTAAAGTCGTATCCGTCAGGTGGGAGTTGGCCAGTCAAGTCCGTTTACGGGTTTGCTGCGGCCGACAGAGTAGTCCGACAAAAAAAAGATACGCAGCGAAATTAAACGTACGCTCGAATACGCCTTTGTTGTACAAATATTTAAAAATTTGTATCTTACCTGAACATTTTTTTTCGTTAACCGTAAACTCAATACACGACATGTTTTCACAACACTTATTGACTGACTCATTTCTCAGTTATCCTCTGGTTCTTATATATGTAAGGAGATATGTTACGTATCATTGTCAGGCCTCAGGCAACTGGTAAACTTACAAAGTATAACTAACTATGATAGGTATTGCTACTATGGCTTTATCATAATTAGAATAGATTTTCGCTGCTGAATCTCGCCATATACATATCCAGGGGTTCATTGATAGCGAATTAGTTTACTGTCGAATATCTCATACAAAATCATAATAGTCTGTATACTGAATAATTGTTCCAAAGCCGAATATTTATTCATTAAGAATCTTCTAATTTACCTTAGTTTTGAAGGCGGTAGAAAATAGTACTTCTTGAAAATAGTCTACGTGTTGTGGACTCCATAGGACCTATGTTACTGGCCGCTTAAAAAATATTTTTATACTATAAAAACATATATATGTAATTTAAACTATAAATTTTAGTTCTAAGAAAAATATACAATGTAGTTTCTTTGCAAAAAATATTTTTTCTGATATCGAGTTATACTTAGTTATAGTTTAGTGGAAACAAAACATGTAATATAATAATATTCTGTCGTCCATCACAAAATGGCGACCATGACAGGCAAATAGTATTGTTGAAAGCAGTCTTTGTAAACTTAGATGTCACAAAATATTTAAAAAAAATTCAGAAATATAAACAAGCCGCAACTGTTAAAATACGTAATGTAAATAAGTTGTAAAAATACTTACTTGCTGTGAGATCTAAGTTTACAAACTGTTTTCAAAAATTATAATTATTTACAATTTGCGTCTTACAATCGAATATTTTCTGTATGAACTTGGAGCGGCAAAACAAGATGTTCGAAAGTGATGGCAAATAGTATACTTAGGCGATGTACATCACAGAACACATGTTGGCGCATGTGGTATCTCTCATACCATGCGTTGTTATTCCTAAGGACTAATATCCCAAGAACGAGTACTCAGACCTGTGATTTCATAGATATATATATATACCTATCATTTTTATCGATTTAATACCAATTCTAATTTGTAAATAGTTATCCTCTCCAATATAATAAAACTGCTAATAACTGACTCTGCTTTACATTACCATAATCTCAATATCACTCTGCTGTATAGAAACCCTGGAATAACTGGCGGTGCTAGGCCGTCCCTAGTTAGAAACATATTGTAGTACGTGTATAAATATATTTTTAATCCTTTCTGTCTGTCTCGCTTTCACGCCAAAACTACTGAACCGATTTAAAGTAAATTTGGTGGTAGTTTAGAATCTGAGAAAGAAGATAGGCTACTTTTTAATCCGAAAAAAGGGTTGAAAGGGGAGATGCAAAGTTGCAAGGAACGATCGTTATTTTTAACGCTTGAAACTTGAAACTTATTTCTGAGACTTCTGATTAAATATATCTAAATAATTCGAGGTTTATAGAAATAAAGAGGTGAAATAAAATAGGGGATGACAGCATTTAAGGAAATTCGTAATTTTTGAAGTTAGAACGATGAAATTTTTTTATTTACATTTTATTGGGTTAGATTACTAAATATTAGATATTTCATTATTCGGTCAAGGTCACTACTTTATGCGGATGAAGGCGGTACAGCACAGCTACTAATATATAGTTTTGCAACTTTTCTGCATGATACTCCTGTACCTGAAAATTTAACGTATCTGTATTTTATTAATGTACTAGCTACTCGCCCCATTTTCGGACGGGTGTACATGTATTATATATATATAAACCTTCCTCTAGAATCACTCTATCTATTTAAAAAGACCGTTTCGAAATCCGTTGCGTAATTTTAAAGATTTAAGCATACCTAGGGACAGATAGTGACTTTATATTATACAATCTAGTAATGATGATGATAATATAAACTTTATTGAATTTTGTACAATAGGGCGACTTAATCCTAATAGCATTCTCTACCAGCCTTGCAACCTAACGGAGTGTAGACACACTCCTTAATGTTGGCTGGTTTATGTTTACCAGTAATATTAAAAGATCTATTTGTAAAGAATGTAAAATTTAATGTAGGTATTAATTATATTAACAGTATGAATATAGATATACCAAAAACTAATTTGTGGATAAAATTAAAAAATAAATTAAATATTGTAAAATCATATATAAAAGAAATACTTAATTAGAAATATTAATATTCTTCTAAAATTGATTGAATATTGATATTTACTAGATAACAAACCGTAATTATTTTTTTAAAAAGATTGAAAATAGGTAGGTACCTACCTAGGTACCTACCTATTTTCAATCTTTTTAAAAAAATATTATTGTTTGGCTTATTGTTTGTTATTTATTAGGTATAAATAACAAACAATAAGCCGCAGTAGACAATTATTGTTGACCAAGTTGGTACGTCAAGTACCGACGTAAATACTTTAAATAAGTACGCAAATATGTTTTTAAAAGTAAATTTAACAATTACTTCATTTAATGACTAGCTTTCACCCGCGATTTCGTTAGCTTAATATAATTTCACCCACAAAAAGATGAGATAACGGAATGCCTAACAATTCTTAATTGTAGTGGATTATATAATTTTAGAATACATTTATCTTAAAGAAATACTATTTTTTACGACTAATTTGAGAGTTGCTAACAATTTTTAAGGTTAAAGACCTTAAAAATACAAACTTGTAGATTTTAGTGTTTCAAATGACAATTGTTAGTGTAATTTCTTCATAATGAAGATATTTTAATAGATAAGTATGAAATGTTGCATCCGTATAAGCTAACGGTACATATGCTGGCGATGCATCATCAGTCAAGTCAGCCTGTCGTGGCGTATGCTACTCCTATGACAATATATTTCGGATCTTCATGTCCTTTTTGTATCTTTCTAATTCTAAAATGTAAGAAACAACTTTAATAACCAGCACAGAGCGAATAAACGAAGCCAATAGGAAGTCTTCGGCTGCGTAAAATTAGTGGGCTAAATATTTCTCCTAAGTTGGAAAAATTGGGATCGAATCGCCTGCTCGTGAGAATATTCTGATATAATTAACTACTTAATATTTATTCTACGAACATGAGTGTCATGGTACTACTTCTCTCATATTATGGTACTCTTTGCTGTTTGAGTCTACCTTAGTTGTTTGAGTTATGTAACAAGTTAAACATTGTATAAAATTGTAGTACTTATCTATACATATAGTTTTTGCTTTTAATTTATCCATAAGATTTTAGTGGATGTTTATAACGTACTCTGTGCATTTGCGGAGTCTGCTTATAATGTATTGTAAAAATGGCGGGAATGGCCCAATTAAATGTGTAGCGCGAATTAGATTTTTTTAGTATTTAAATTAAGCGTCGCCTATTTTTGCTGCCAAGCATGTTTTGTAAGCTATGTTTCTCATACATTAGTGATATGGCAGAATAAGTATAGGCATGGCACTTATAAAATGGTAAGGAACGAGCGTTACATGGAAACGTCATCTTCGTGGTGCTATATATAAAAACGACACGCGACGGCCGGTATTCAGATCTGCAGGTCACATAAAAACTTTGATAGTACGTGACCTCAATTGAAATAACATAAGACTTTATCACACGCACACGCTCTATGGTTTATCATATTTGATACTGATCTTACAACACGTTCAGACGTGCAGTAAGTTGTGATACTACATCATTATGGAATATTTCACCAATTATTAACAAATTATATTATTAATAAGTTCTCAGGAATAAGTGGTACTTCCGATAACACATCCGTTGTGCGGTTACCATTAGACGGGCTGACAGGTTGCTGCCATTGAAAATAAATAAAGAATTTAGATCACCGTTTTTTAAATATACTCTTTTCTGGCTTCTCTTTTGTTTCATATAATTTTGAATATAATTAAATATAAGTCAGTTTTTTGCTACTCAAATTATTAATCTGATCAACGCACAGTTTTTATACTAATGTTTTCTGGTTCATCTTTTGTTTTAAAATGATATATTTGAATGTACCTAATTATTTTTTATTAGGTCATACATATTTTACTTTAATATAATATAGGTAGATACATGTCATATAGACAGACAGAACTATTTTCGCATTTCATTGCAATATTATTCAATAGTTTGTTATTGCAGACTTTATTCATGACTAACGTGACCAGACGTCCCGTTTTAAACGGGACTGTCCCTTTTTATAACAACAAGTCCCGGTGTCCCCGAAATTAACTCTGGGACGCAAAATTGTCCCGTTTTTGGAAACTCGGTGAAAATATGTTTAGTCGAGCGGGCCGGTTGTGATGTAGATGTATTGTCTTGTAGACAAGCAATTAGTTTTTAAATTATTTCTACCTTTAAAGTTTTAAATTCACAAAGAAGTATCATATATCATTTTAAAAGTATTTAGATAATGATTAAGACGGCGTGGTTAATTTAATTGACTTATAAAAGGTGGCAACAAAGGCTAATTTTTAAAAATGACATTTTTCTATTTAATCGACTTTACGTCCTCTCCTCTAGGTTGTCTGTAAGAGACTGCATATAGCGTGAAGACTGCCTATTGTAATTACTTTTCTATTTACTGTATTTTCTTATTGTTTATTTTGTCTCAAAAAGAGTTAATTATTATTATTCTTTTATATATGTTACATCTCCCTTTTTACGGGAGTAATACTTTTTTTAAAGAATTAGCTTTAATAAATTGTTTCCTTTATTGACTGTCTATTAATTGATATAAATAAATGTCCCGTTTTGAGTCAAAGAATACATGGTCACGTTATTCATGACACATGTTATTAACGCCGCTTTATTTATAAACTTATTCTATATTACAGTATTTATATAATGAAGCAACAAGCATGCATACATATAGGTGTCATCACCCCCTTTCAATCCCGGGATAACGTAGAAACTATTAGAGGAATAAATCACATAATAATAATAGGTTGGCTCCTGCCAGCAGTTTCATGCCTCTTGTAAGAGGTATCAAACTCGAAATAGAACTCAATACCAAGCTGCTTGGCCAGCAGTTAGACGAAAATGGGTTATGATGACAATATTTTATTGTATCAGGTGTTACGGAAGTCAAATTCAATATTGTCTCCAAACATGTTATGATATTTTATAGGACACTGTATTATTGTATTCATTTTTCAATATAATATTTATGTACAATTATTTGACCTTACATTTGATATAGGACATGATAATGTAACGCCCTTGCATTTATAATTTATTTTTATATAACAAAACAGGTGGTTTTTCGTTTTCAGAATACAGTAGGGTAGGTATTCTAGCGTCGAGGGTAGGTATACTAGCATCGTCTCACTTTTCACTTCGCTTAACGCCCTATTAACTTGTGCCTACACTTGTAATATTTCTGTCGACACTTGAGACCCTTCCATTAGTTTACGTCTCCACTCCACTAACATAGACTTAAGTTAAGTGTAAAATCAGTCTACGTCTCGACTCCGCGTCGACTGTACGCGTTACTAATAAACCATGTAGCACACTGCCAATAAAATTAATAATGTCTAATAAATAGTACAATTATTTTACCGGTATACTCACTAACTACATACTCCAATAAGTAATATATTATGTAGCGCCACCTCATCACAACATATACATATAACGCTACAGTGATAAGGATAACCACCGCGCTGCAAATTAGTTCATTGAAGTTATTTCTTGGTTTGCCCAGGCTTCGTTCTTTTCTTCAAGCCTGGCAAACCCGGGATGGGGTTCCAGTATTATGTACTAGTAAATAATTATACTAAAAACATACACACGCCAGAGGTGGTAAATGGAATCGCTAGTAATGTGTTAACTAATAACCCCATTATTAGAATGAATGGAATGAAACCATGATGAAACACATGGGCTAATTGATCATATCCCTCCATTAAAAAACGCAAGCAGATGAAACACACCATTAATGGATGATATTAAAAAAACATACGTCAGGTGGTAGGGGATTATGGGGACTAGTGTCCCATTTGCCAGTAATGTACCATCAGGTCGACCTCCACAAGGCCTCTCTGGAAACCATCATGGTTATTCCTGGTTCTTTACGATGGGCTTATGAAACTGACTTCATGCTCATCTCATCATCCGCCCCGTTTCTTATTTTAATACATATTTCTATATTAGATTTTTAAATGTGACGTCAACAAATCTATGTCCCCTCCCACCGCCTTGTCACAATGTATCTTATCCCTACCCGTTAACTTGTAACACGGTTTATAGATATTACAGGGATAGCCCTATATATTAATACGGTATATTGAGTCATGGTCTTCAGAAAAATATAACACTCATTTTATAAAAAAATACATTTAATTAAGCGTAAAATCGTGCTTAAAACTAATACACAATGAATAAATTGGATATAATATCAATATGATATTTGGTCAATTTGTGTAACTAAGGCACATCATTAAATTGAACAAAGTATTTAATTAATCGCAAACAATTAGACGAAACATATACATTATTCACTAAATTATCATTTCACTAGGACTGATGACATTTTTAGAAACTACTTATTGTACGATTACAATATATTGGTATTACTATGCAATGAAAAAAATGTACTTTATACAAAAGGCACTACTATATTGTTACTTATTGAGAAAGAACATTTACAAAAGTATTAAGTTCAAGATTAATGATTATTTTCATGGATTAACCCCGTACTATTTCGGTCAAAATTGAAATAGGCTCAAATAAGTTTCGAGTGTAAAATTATATTGGTTTGACTCGATTAACTTGAACATAGTCTTGTCTTATAAATATGTGTGTTAAACATTAATAAATGATGTTGTTAAATAATATGACTTTTACAAACAGCCAAAAATTTAGGGATTGTTTTCATGACATAAATAATTGTAGGTACGATTTTCTTTCCATTAAGTACCTATTAGTTTTAGATTTTTATAATTGCATTTATTTATCAGTCTTTTCTAATTACAGCAAAGGCACTGCCATATTTCATTCTTCTACACATATTTATAGAATTAACAATGATTATAATCTTACATGGAAGAAAATTGTTTTGGTATTTTTCACAGCTTCATTGAAAAGAAACAAATATGCTTCATCAAATGCATAATACAAGACCATATTAGGTAAAAGAAATAGAGGAACACAAGCTTAAAATTTCATGAAGTATTTGATTCCAATCATGATTATGGCTTCAGAATAAAACATACCATAATATCTGACAAACAAAACCATAAAATCAAATTATAAATTAAAATGCAAAGAATAGCTTAAAAACAAATATTTGCCATAATAGTAAGAAAAATAAAAAAGGAACACTCTTAAAATAATCGTAACCACTCACAAATCCAGTAGTTGTCCATGAATTTGTTTTAAACATGATTGGATTTCTTCACTATCTGCAATCATGCTCTGTAGCTTGTCTTGGATATCGATCAATAGATCCTTTTCCAAAATCCCTTTCTTCAGAGCTGTCATGCAGAATGTAGTCAATGCACGAAAGCATTGCTTTCTGTAAGTGTTGTGCGCCTGATGATCCCAGACAGGCGTGGCTCTGACGTAATTCCAAGCCAGAAAAACATACTGAATGACAGACTCCCAATGTTGAGATTCCACTAAAAGTTTCCCTTGTTCGACTAAACACTTCTTGAATGCTGCCAAGTGAGTGGAAACACGTGAATACGCCGGCGAATCGGTCTTGGAAGTGAGTCGCGACGTCGGAAGGCCTTTAAAAATATTTGACTTCAAATAATGAAGTCTCTCTTCAAGTGGCGACAAATCAGGCATCGGCATATCTCTTCTGATCTCATCTTCAATATTCGGATGTTTATATGTGACCGTTTTAATAATGTCAATTAGCTGACTAGGGCTTAAACCTTTCAACGCCACATCAATAGGTCCCTTACACTCCAATGTTTTTTCAATCCTCGGTCTTTTATTTGGAGGAGTGCCTTTAATAGGGCTGGTTATTTTAAATTTCTGTGGTGTACTTATATCACTGAAGTCTATTTTCTCTGGTGTCAAAGGAATTCTGTCAGAGTCGCCTAGGAGTAAACGTTTACGTGGCGTGGACCGTAAAGTAACTGCTGGTTTCAGTGGAGAAAAGCGGCCCGAGTTTTTAGGTGGCGTGCGAACAGCCGAGTGGAATGTAGAATTTCTTTTTATGTCAATGTCCGGCGACCACGTGACCGGCAGACGTTTGCGACCTGTTGTAAACTCAGATAAAATTATATAGAAAAACAACAAAATACATACAATATACTTTCAAATGCCATCAAAAACTAAGGTGCTGACTGAAATATAATAATTGAGAATAAAAAGGAATTGAAAACTGTCAGCATTGTGGAATACCAATACATACACTTAACCTAGATATTTTTTTCTGTAATCCTACATCAGAAACCTATCATAATATAATATATATATATCATAATCTTGATGGTGGAAGAACTAAAGACTACACTTTAGTTCTTCCACCACCAAGAATTATCAGACTTATATTACTATAATAATGAATTGAATAGCCTTTTCTTTCTAAAGTGATATTATATCTAATATACTCTCTTGTAGTTAGAGTATCATTGTATCAGTTTGTATGTTTTCTATGTAGAAACAAAAAATATGTATTTATTTATTTGTATTAGTTTATTATATATAGTATTACAAACACAAGTTATATGTACCTTGGTACTTGATGGCATTGGGAGAATTGTCTGGAGATATTAATATTAAAAGTTTTTAAAATCATCTATTATACAATATAAAAAAATTCTAACACAAAATTGTAACTAATTATACAACTTCTTTACCTCTCTGTTGAATAAGCAATTCATCAGGTGATGGCGCCGGACTAAGATAGCTGGGAGGTAGAGCCGGTGAGCGGTCTCTAGTATTTGTTAGCGGCTGTAAAGGTGTGACTCGGAGACGGTCCAAGCGAGCAGGGATCTCGGCCAGGGCTGCACGAGTGCGGCGCCCACCCTCCGGAGTCACCGCACCCTCCATTATCTTCACAAAAAAAGAAGACTAAAGAACACTGTTATCAGAAATTGTTGGTTTTATTCTAAGTACCTCTTTATCACCTTATTCTGCCAACTCCATATATAAATAAGTAATGTTGTAATAATATAGATCTCACAATCAGCTTACCAAGCTTTTATATATTTTGTAGGAATCTGTTGATGGGAGAGAACTGTAGCTCCAGTGAGGTGAGTGAACTGTATCAACCTATATAAATGAAGAATCTCTATCTATAATCTATAATATGACAAAGAATAAAGGATATCATGCTATAACATTGCACTTGCTATTCTACGATTTTAAATAATTACAAAAGAAGCTACTAGACAGAAAATATGCAACACCCACAGACAATTTTACAGAATCTATCTCCATAAATACAACACTTGAAATGTAACAAAAGGCAAACCATGCTCTTGTTAATTAAATTTGGTTTTTATTGTTGTTTCACATAATGAAATAAGATAAAAAAAATAACACAAACTTGTCTTTTCAATGGCTCATCAGATCTTAATGATATTTAATGTGGACATAGCTAGTATGATCAGAAACTACGTATGGTATTTTTTATTTTTAAACAGCAAACAAAATCGCAGAAAACAGATAGTATATAATATATATTTATGTAACATCGACAGATTATGTTACTTAAGAATATAAGTTATATACTTAAGTTACCATTATCATATAGCTACTTAATGAAAATAAATGTTATATATATAGAGTAGAACTATGGTTGTATATTAAAATTCATTGGATTGTAATAAAAGTAACGTAGTAAAAATTGTAGTTTCTTGAAACTATCAAAAAGTTTAAATCTTCTACAATACAATAAATCTTCTATTAAACACTAAAATAATATAACATACATGATTAATTACTTAATCAACTTACCACCACAAAGAATAGAAATAGTAATAATTGTTAAAATATGAAATACGGACGAAAATCGAAAACAACAAAACAAACGAAATTGGCGCAAAAGTTGACATTTAATAGAGGGTAAGCCAACGGTCATTTTTTTTCTTATTTTAGGGATGTGACATATTACGTTTCCAGGACATCGATAATGTGAAATATTGATTCTTGTCAAATCTGAAATAGGTAATATGTGTACCTACAAATACTATTTCCAAGTGTTATGAGTATGTGATACATATATACATAATGACGATAATTATTAGAATGAGATAACACCACTGATACTACACTACGCAATATTTAAAAGTTGTGTCCGTTGCATTTTAGTTTATACATATTACGTGGTTCTTATTTTTCTTCAAAGAAAGTAATGGTCTTTAATTTTTTTTTAATTATCGAAAACACTTCTGAATATCAATAACGATAAAAACTTATAATGTGCAATTCCTATGATTTTTTGACTTAAATATGTCAATGTCATATGTTTAACCCCTCTTGGAGAGTGCTGAAAAGCAGAGCAGCAGAGAGCATATTATTTAACCTTTATTAATTTTAATAACTGGATTATCAGTGTGGTCGGCGATTCTTGCCGATTGCATTATCTGATTATCACTATCGCGAATAGTTTTTGCGCGTTTGAGGAAAATAAAAACTGAATTATATAATTAAATTGTAATAAACAAAAATACAATTGTATATTTTAAAGCAGACATAAAAAATAGAAAAATATTCAATAAAAATGGGGACCCATTTATAAAATTGGATAATTAAATAAATAACGAGATCTTGCTCTTGTCATGCTACTGTCAGTTATACAAAACTCGCTGGTCGCCACTGTCAGTACGTCAATCAAGTGCATTGGGCACTGTGGGCATAATAACTTTCAGTTTTGTATTTTTTAACTTTCTTCTAATTGTTCACCACTATATTATAGCAAAACGTTTAATTAATGGATATGATTATATTAGAAATGTTATTCCAACTCATTTTGTAAATATTTCATCACTTAAAAATATTAGATTTGTTACACAGTAGTTTATACAGTGTTTTGGATACATCTTGCTCTCTCGCTTTGTTGTCGTGTAAACAATAAAATTTAGATAAACTCTTTTTTTTGATGATTCCTAAGTGAAATATAGTTTACTTAGTAACAAACTATAAAACTTCTGTTTGTTATTATTGAATTATAGTGAAATGATCACCAGTTTACTAGATATCAAGATCGTACGTTCTAGAACTTCTAGATTAGGAATGGCAGTGACTAGTGATTTGGGGTAAATCAGTGTTGTGAGAATGGAACGATTGTCTCATGACTTGAATCTGGCGCTCGAGGAGAGTAATTGCGGCCGGCAAGAGAGAAGGAAGCTTGGTCTTAGGAGAAGGACTCGCTCCGCAGGGAACTTGCGTAAGTTTGACTTCATTTTTATAGAATCTTCAGTAACAGAAAAAGTTTAAAACATTCTGTCTCTTACACATAATCATATGAATAATATAACTTTGTCAGTTAGTTAAGTTACATAAAAGTATTTTATAAGTATATTAATTATATTAAGTCTATAATTTATTATAAAAATTCTACTTTTTAAAGTGAACATTTAGTAAACAGTCTCAGCATGTTTTTATTGTTCAGTTATAGAAAACATCACCATTATAAGTTTATTCTATTTATCCACAAATTAAATATCTAGTAAACAGTATGGGGTCATGGTATCATTGGTGAATCATTGGTGAAAGAGGGAATATGAAATTTCACTTTCACTCATCTGCAATTGTGGCCACAGAGAACAGTAATAATATAAGCCTTTATTGAGACAGTAGAAAGCTAAGGATAGATAAAAAAAATCTTTACATTATAAATTTATTGTGTACTGATATACACCATATAAACTAGTTAGTCATTGAGAACCTGTCAGTAAGTCACTAGATGGTAAAGTTGTACTCCAACATTTTCCATCTCTCTCTATCCTTAGCTTTCTTTGTCCATATACTATCTGCTATAGGTTTATAATATGAACCTTAATTTATCCATTTAAACTTTGAATATTACCTAGTTAGTGCTTATATATTATCAACTTTTACAAATGATTACTATTGCTATAGTAATATCTCTGTACAATTCACACAGCTCCATTTAGTCCCAAGCTAAACAGAGCTTGTGTTGTAGTACTAGACTACTGATATTAATACACAGACTTTTTTTTATTTAATATATGATAATATACCTAGAAAATACCTAGACCAATAGAAACAATCATACTTATGGTTACAAACATATATAGGTTCCATGTGAGGAATTTAATAAATGTACATTAATCCATAGCGGCCGCTGTCACTGTGAGTCTGGTAGAAGATGGTAGCTCCAGCAGCCCACCTCAGGCTCCACTCATCACTCAACCACTATCAGACTCGGATGATCCACACTTAAACCTGCATAAGTCGACAAGCCTCAAATCTAGACACTATTGTCAGATAGGCAATTTTGAATCGGATTCATTCAATGAGAACTTTTCACCGACCCGACCAGCTAATGCTCGACGGAAACGCAAATATAAAAAGATGCCTGTAGAATATGCTGATGGAAAGACATCCCCACCAATTGAAATATTAAGTGTCACAACTGAGGTATGTATTTTTATTAAATTTAAATTAAAAGTACTTATACTTAATACTTTCTATTATAAATTAAACCAGTCTTTAGCTAATCACAGCACATGATTACTTATTGGTTAATCAAAACTATGTCACCTGTTAAGGCCCCCTGGGTGTCAAAAAAATGTGACATTGGAAACATATAGAAAAGAAAAAATTGAAAAATATTTGAAGGGTTACTTCTGGGAAGTATTCCCATTAAAAAATTTTTAAGAATTGAATATCATCAGAATATAATAGATGGTTTGCTAAACAAATGTCACCTGTTAAGGCCCCCAATGAGGTGTCAAAAAATGTGACATTGGAAACATATGTAGAAAAGAAAAACAGAATTGAAAAATATTTGAAAAATTAAGTTAAAAGTAACTTCTGGGAATACTATTAAAAAATTTTTAAATAATAATAAAGAATATCATCAGAATATTATAATTGTTATAATGTAGATATTAATATATGTAATTATTTTAATAAAATATTCAAATGGGGCTTTATTGTTATGTGCATATCTGTCTGTAATGTTGTGTGGCCCCTCTCCCACACAACTAGTAACATTGTAATAATTAAAATTAAATAATAATTAATTAAAAGGTAAAAATAACTACTAAGTTAGTGTAATATAATTTATGGTATTAGAAATGCTGGTCGAAATAATCAATCAGTAACTTGAGCTACAAAGTAGATAGGTTCATGCTTTATTAAGGATACAAATTAAGAGATGCCAAATCAAATATCCTCTTATATTATATATTATTTCAGTTGGTAAAATAAAAACAGCAGATGGAAGAAAAATAAGAAAATTATTCTATCATATTTTCTTTTTAAAATAATTTATATATACTGTATAATTCAGTGAATAAAAAAAATATCCAATTTATTATTAGTGTTGTCAAATTACAAAGATAAAACAGAATTTACAACAAAAAAATAACCTTTTCTTTTTCAGACTAACACTTTGCCTGCAACAATCATGCTACAAACCCATGGTTTATCATCATTAGCACATTTGAATAAACATAAACCAGAATCAAGGTTAGTGTTATACCATTCCAATAATACTTATTACTTGTTTTTTTATATAGACATTACTTTTATTTGTACACTTACAGGAATGCCTTTTGTGGGAAAAGAAAGTGGTCACATAGAGACAAAGGCGATGTGTGTGAGATGAGAGAAAGATCATTCAGTGGGGGTTGTTCATCTAAGTCAACATTTTTCACAAAGAATGATTTTAAATGTAAGAAATATGACAATGAAAAGAAAAGAAAGGAGTCTGTGCTACAACCTGGGAAAATTGTTCTCAAATCTCAAAATGTAGAAGGTATGAAAACATCCACATTCACAAACACTCTTTCATTGCCTGGTAGTTCCAGTTTTAACTTTGTTTACAAGAACAGCAAGAACGGAACACCAACTCTTACTAAAATGACAGGATACAAGATTACCACAGAACTGCCACCATTCTTTAACCCTTCCACTAGTACTGGGAAATATCAGAGGAAATTCAAAATGCTCAATAAATCTCATCCACCTAACTTTTTAAGGAACCGATTACAATTTGATGATTCAAACAGCGGAATGGATTGTGCTGGTAATGAATCAAGCTCACTGAGCAGCAGTGACTCTGATAGCGTTGTAACAAATGACAGTGATAGAGAAGGTGATGACGAACTCACAGACTGGCCTGGCATAGAGGAGCTGAAAGTGTTTAACAAAAGTCTCACTTTCAAATCCTCAAAATCTATAAATAATAACTCTCCAACCTCGATGAACAATATGCCGCCACCAAAGCGATTAAAAAAGGAGAAGTTATTAGTGAAAAGTGGTTGGGCTAGCTGTAAGAATAGATTCAAGAAAAAACGACCGAAAGTCGATTCCGGAAACGATGATGACGCGATGATGTCGGACTCCAAAACTGTTGTTGAGTTTGATGATGAAGTTATCGTACCTAAAGAAAACAGAGATATTCTTCAGCCACACTCGTCTTTTACTAGTTTTAGCGATATAAAAAATGCAGGTGTGCTAGGTCAGAATGCCAACGAATCATTTTTTCAATCCTTTCAGGCTTTCCAAGAGAAGTCAAGCAAGCAGGATGAATTGTTTAGCCAGACGCCGCGTAGTAATTTCTCTTTGCAGAAAACATCCTCCAGTGACTTGAATCAGAGTGAAAAATCTCCTCAAAGCGATCATTATTGTAGTGAACATTCAATGGGGAATGGTGCGATGGCAGAGGTTAGAGAGATACGAGCAGGCTGTCGGCGAATCCGCGAAGAGCGTCCAGGTTTTTTAATACTGAGTGCAGCTAATGAGCAGCTATCTAAGTTTCTACAGGATTCATGTCAGACAGAGTTGAAGTTGCCGAGTTTCCATGACCCGGAAGAGAGAGAAAAATTGGAGTCATTGGCTAAATTGTATTCTCTAGAATTGCAAGTAGAGATGGGTCGTCCAGTTCTAAGGAAGACAAGGTCAGTGATATGTTTTACCCTTAGTTATGTTGTTATTGAAACTGCAGTGAACTCAGCACATCACTCAGGAATACAAATATTTGAGACGTGCGAATCGAACTTGCGACCATCGGAGGTAAGGCGGTGTGCTATACAGCTAGACAATAGAGGCCGTGGTATTTTTCTATAGATGATAATGAAATGGATCACCGCCAGAGCTAACGGTTTACGTTGGCGGGGCTCTAGTAGAGGATGATAAAATGAGTACGAGGTCAGGTCAGTTAGCCTATCATGACAAATTCACCAGGAATTAATCGCAATGGTTTCCAGGGGAACTGCGTGGAGATCAAACTGCCATGGTACATTGCTAGCAATGGGGACATTAGTCCTAACAATTACCATACCCTTCTCCCTGCCTTGGTGGTATTAAATGTTTGCTCAATGCTATATGCCATTCTCCATCAGCTATACATTGTGAAAGAAGTTAATGTAGTGATGTGGAAAGGAAAACTGATGTCTTATAAGTTAATAGTGGAGGATGATAAGATGGTAATGAGGTTAGGTCAGTTATCCCATTGTGATAAAGTCTCTTGGTTTATTGCAGGAACCGCGTAGAGGTCGACTTAACATGTCCCCTGTCTAAAGAGATTACAGGGTATTTCCAATTATCAGAATTTTAACATTTGTTGCAGCAATACAATGCAAGCGATCAGAGTAGAGCATTCTTACCAGAACTTCCCTTCAGACCACAAAAGGCGGTGTTATGGCGATGAAGCCGACTCGAGCCTGAGTCTCAGTGATCAGAACTCGGTGACTTCTATCAATGACCTTGACGATACTCCAGATCTGATATCGGACGTCCAGAAAGCGATCGCGTCTGACACAGCTGCACAAGAATTGGTTGATACATTCTCTCATACTCTAGTTGATAAATCGTTATTGCATCCAGGTGATGTGGATTAATTTATAATGTTATACTTAGATGTAATCTAAGATATACAGAAACACTGAGTAGTCTGTGTGTGCACGTTTGTGTGTGAGAGAGAGGGCGAGAAAATGTTCTTTTTGTGCTACACAAAAAGTTTTGCAAAAGAGAATATTTTTATTGTATATTTCGAATTGGAATAAGCAGTTACAGCACTTGTCTTTTTAGGACATTGCAAAGATAGTGCATTACTAATAATAAACTGCATTAACTAAAAAACTACTGCCAATGTTTTTTATTTATAGTAGTTTATTTTATTGAACGCCATTTATTCAATAGAGTTAAAATTTCAGGGTTTAATATAATATTGAAAACAGGTTTTTGTCTTAAAACTGATAAAATTTTAGTATTTTATACATTATGAAGGTTTTTAATAAATAATAATTACTTATATTTTTTCTTTAATGTTTAGAATTGGTGTATTTGATTACGTGGCCAATGTATTAAGATGTAATTAATATACTATATTAATAAGTGGATAAATCCATTATAATATCACAGGTATAGATATATATAGATTACACAAATTCCTCATTTTGTATGAACACTAATGTCACTTGTATTAGTGGAAATTCTTAACCAGTATTCAAATTATAATAGGACTCAATAATATCTTCTCCATAAATAAGACATCCATAAAGCCAAAGCCATAACTCGAATTTTATCATCTAATCACTGATCTTTGTCTATAGGTTAGTTTTATGCAAATTACATGCAATTGAAATATCTATTTAAATCTATCACTGTGAATAATATCATAATTTTAAAATTAGGTGATTGTATTTAAGTCTACACAACTTTCGAAGTTCGATCTCATCTATTTATGTTATTATTGAACATGTGTGATAGGAAATCTTCGTTTTTCAGTTAGAAAAAAAAATCGTTTTGTGTTTATGAGATTTTGTTTGATAGTAATTACTACTCTGTGTACATTAATATTGCTATGCGTAGGCATTTCTTCCAAGTGCGAGTAATAAGTTGGCAAAGCTTTATAGCAATTGTATGTAAAGGCAGCACACAAAATACGAACAAACACATATATTGATTTATATATATATTCTACAGTAACTTGGAGATTCAGAGTATTTTTATGTAATTGAAATAGCGAATAAGCTGATGGGGAAACTGGTAACAGTCATGGCTATCACATAATATCGCACACCTAAAATCCAGTATTTTTAACTAAAAAACTACAAACTTTGAAAAATACTCTCTATAGCTTTCTGGTTACAGTCTAATTTCAAAATTTTAAATTTTCCAGCATTGTACTAGGTGTGAGGTATATTGTAACGTCCTAGTAGGCATGTAATGCGTAGGAATGAAGATAATATTTTAAAGAAGGTGTTACATATGAATGTGGATGGTTATAAGGGCCGAGAAAGGCTGAAAAAGAGATGGACGAACAGTGTGAAAGATGACATGGTAAGAAATGGAGTAAATAACTAGATTGCTGCGAATAGGGATGAATGGAAGAGAAAAACATATTACGCCGACACAACATAAATGGGCTAAGGAAGAAGCAGGTAACGTCCTTGGTATTTCCCAAGCCGTAAGCCGTTCGTAATATCACAATGTATCATGACAATATAAAAAACGTTTATGTTTTGCATTTGACATTGAATCATTAAACTTTTATCTTACCATTATTTTTCCATATACTTATATAGAAAAATAATGATAATATAAAAGTTAAAAGCATACCTATGCAATTACATTGTAAAGTTAGATTTTTAGATAGCCTATATCAGTGATAATGTCTGACTATGTAACATCCTCAAAACTGCTAGAAATTAGCTCCTGTTTTGGTTTAAAATGGTTTCAAGAATATAATAGTACATTCCACTTACAATTTAAAACGCAACAATTTATGCAGATTCTTTATTAATTTGGTCTTTTATTTTGTTATTCAGATCAATTTAAAATTTCGAAGTTGATAATTTTTTAATGAAGATTATTATAGATTTTAAGTGACTGTAGAAGAGACATGTAATTATCATGAATTCAAATATTCAACAGCACTGCCGACTTATATAAGGTTTGCAACATTATACGTATTGTTAACCGGGCCCTAACACAAATAATTTTATGGAAACACTATTTAAAATATTCGTAGTCAATAATATAAAAAAATGTGTATTAACCACGAAAGTTTAAAAATAACTATGTATTTACTTCTTTAAATTTTATTTACGTAATTGATGTAATGCATTATTGTGCAAAAAATTAGATTAAATTAGAGGGTGCACGTTTAATGTTGATTACACTAAAATTTGCAGATTTAAACCGGCCTAATGACTACCCCATCTACTATTACAGCCGTGATTATATTTTAATCAATTTAATTATGTACTTAAGAACGGATTTATGGAGTTTGAATGAGTATTTATGACAAAATATATGTGTGAATTTGTTATGACGAAAATGTCAATATAGAAACGTAAACATAAAATTTATGTCTAAAAGATATTTAAATTTGATGAATGGTCTTTCTCATTGCATGTGTAGCGACTGATTTGCTATTAGTCGACTTATTAGAAAAATAATCTATATTAATATTTAAATGGAACTAAAACTAAATTGTTATTTACATTTTCTTGAAATTATGAAGAAGAAAATTTTAATATTTACTTTATTTCTCTTTATCCTCCTGACCTTGCCTCATTAATTATATCGACCAACTGTGTATTATCAGGATCACAGCTTTCAGTTCGGCCGTCTGCCTTACTGTTACCGTGAAGACTTACCTTGATCCTACTATTTGTAAATACAATTAGATCAGAATGATTGCATGTTAATTTTTTTAACAACATATATATATATTTTAATGCCTGCGCTATACGTTTGTATAACGCCTAACTGAAATCGGTGCGTTTTTGTAAATAAAACAATTTTAAATACGATCGTGTGCCATGTATTGACAATGATAAGATCGTTATTTGTACTTACATTCTATTCTAGCGTTAGAAATCTCATTATACGCACATAGTATAGTGATAATTATAGCGGTTTATATGTAGCATTGTGTCCTCCATCGCTGTTTTAGTGATAATTTACACACTTATAATGCCGAAAGCGGTCATTCATAAATTACGTCACACTTTCATAACTGTCTTCCTTCGTCCTTATTACAAATAGGTTCGGAGTAGAACGAGCGTGAACTTGTTAACGGAATACAAACGTTACAATCCTATAAAGTTTAAAGGGCTTTGTTATTACTTCAAATTGTGTTTGAACAAAATGTAAACGTTATTATTCTATAAAGTTCAAAGCGTGTTGTTATTAGTTCTAATTGTGTTTGAAGAAAATATAAACCTTATTATCCTATAAAGTTTTGAAGCGTTTTGTCAATAGTTCATGTTATGTTTGAATTTGTGTTCATATAAATTTTTAAATAAGTATCACATCATGAAACTGACTGCTTCCTGCCCTTGTCACGCTTGTGTGCACATAGTGTGAAATGTGGAAAAAGACAATGTATTCTCAAATAATGAATTCACAAAGATTTAGAGTCTATATATTTAGTATATATTTCAAGAGATTTGCAAAATCACACGAATGGACATTGATACGGTCGTTGTAAAAATTTTCTATGGCATTGTTGAAAGTTTATTTTTACATTTCTATATTTTTTGTATTCTAATATACAATCGAATTTGATTTGAAACAAATTCGATTGCGATTAAAGGCAGTTTAAAAGTATAATTTGTTCCACAGTTAAGATGAATCTTTTCTAGACTTTTTGAATTCAATTTTCTAAATATATGTAAGTTGATGAGGTTTATACATAATGTTTATATCATATATATTTGATGATTAAAGTTGTCTATGGATCTATATTATATTATATAATAAATACAAAGCCATAATTTTTGGAAATAACTATGAAGTTTCTCTTAAAACCTTTAGTTTTCACTGTGAGATAGTTTTATCAAAACACATTAACTTTAATATAAATAGTTTATTAAAAAATACAAACATACGAAAAAAACAACAATAAGAAAAAAAAAATAACAAGAAAGCACCATTATTCTAAGGTCTATTGTAAAAAGTAAAAATAACAACTTAGTTGAATGCTTAAACATAAATTTACAAAATATTACAATATATGTCTTTTGGACTTTAACAATTTATAACTTGTCGAAAAGGAATTTTTTGCCCATTACCATCGCGTGAATTCAGTATTATTTTGCGGAAAATTCACAATTCAACTCACTGACAGGAATCGTTTGTTTTTAATTCATACTTTTATTTACTTATAATCACTTGAAAATGAAGTTTCAAAGTAACATAACAATCTCTTGCCTTTAAAAGCAAAATTGTACGTAATGCGCTATAAAGGTGGACTTAGATTAAATGACTACAGTACTAACTTACAATTGAATCAATTTAGTCATGTGCATGTGGTTTTGTCCCCGGGCTAAAAACATTGTGCGAAGTGTGTATTTTCACGACTATTACATGTCAAGATTTTATCCCGTTTTTCATATTCCCTGTACCGTCTTTTACCACGATGACAATAAAACAAAAATCAGAGAAGTAAAACATTGTCGCTCACATTGTCGCCCGATTAGTCTAATTCCACCTTTAGAAATAACTATGTATGTTTTTTTTGCTTCTTAAATTTGTAGCTTAGATTGTAGTATAACAACAAAAACAATTCTTACGACAGCGACGATTCTATCAATTTTGGCAGGCTCTCAATTAAGTGAACAAATTTTTAATATAAAAATTACGTAAGTACCTACTATCCAGTTTGTCACATTTTGTACTGAGATGCAGTAAAGTCGCTTGTCTACACTATTGTATAGTGATATTAATATCACAGGTTGTTTTTAAACAAATATAAATTGTATACATATATATTACCTATAATTTATGCGATCACACACCAATCATACCTTCGACATTCCACAAGTTAATTGTAAAAATAAAGAAGTCGGTTATCTTCAGCCTTAGGAGAGATAATTGTCTACTCTCGCTTCTCTATTTCTACTTTTTGGAAAAACAATCATAAAAGGAAAGAAAAAAGTAGAAACTTGATAGTCACTTTCATATGACGAGGCGTCTCTCACCGTATTAAGTGTTTTATACTATTATATAGTGTAACGATGCAGTCGCTGCATTAGATGTTTCACATCAAAAATGTCTTTATACATTAATGAAATCTTTATTTTACATGTGTATAATAATTTCACATTTTTCTATAATAAAAAATTTTATTTGCTTATCGCCAAAACAATAAATGTATTAAATGTCTTTTTGAGAAATATTAATGGTGTTATAATATTATAGGAAAATTATTGTATTTTTTCTGTGGTAATTAATATATATTTCATACTATTGACATATAATTCGGCTTTGATTCGTCTATATATTATAATCTATATTTAGATCAATAATATATACTAATATTGTCTTTTTTCCCTCTATAATCATCGATGTACAAAAAACTAAAGATTTACATTACTGTTTCCACACGTTACTCATCAATTAAAGTTAAGAAAACAGTAATAAACAGGGTCACTGGTAAAGGGTGTACCAAACCAGAAGCCAGACAGAATACTCATAAAATTGAACTATTTTCACCAAGAAAATTGTAGAAAAATTTGCAATTTTACGATTACCATTACTGGCTTTCTGAGCTAACGTCGAATTGCTTGTTTGTTTTAAAGAAATCTTTTCGAAAAAATAAAGTCTGAAACTAACAATTTCGTTTCATGATGCTAGTTTTAAGTCATACATCTTGAGTTTTTTGTACATCCCATAATACGCTATCATCCATTACTTTCACACGTCAGAAAACACTAAACAAATAGTATATTTACTCTAAAGTACAGATCAAGTCATCTCCCTCCAGTTTTTGTCCATTGGTAATGTTGACGGACTTGACGGTGCCAGCTTTGGGCGCTTGGACTATCATCTCCATCTTCATGGCTGATAGAACGGCGATAGGTTGACCTTTGTCTACTTTGTCTCCTTCTTTAACCTTAATTGCTGTAAAGATAAAACATTTTGTTTGTTTATTTATGTTTTATTGACCAATAAAATATGTACCATATTATAAAAGGCAAAATAAATGCTATAGATATTCTCCACCAGTCAACTTTTGGAAGTGCAGAGATACTCAATTGTGGCGTAACATTGAATATATAGTGTTCTATAAATATAATAAACTTTGTAAGCTATGTTCCCGTTTATAGAAGGATGATTACCACAATGTTGTTTAAAAATACTAAAATAAATAGGTAACTTACTGAGTACTGTTCCAGGCATAGGAGCTCCTACTTGATTCTTGTCGCCTTTTACTGCTTTGGGATGAATCTTCATTTCCTGTAAAGATAACAACGACGGTCAATCCCTAGATGCATAATATATATAGGATGTATACTTCTATAACTGAATGTATATATTAATATTTTTGTCCATCCACATGTTTTGTTTCTTTTTGTAAAATTATACATATTCTTCTCGTACAGCGTACATGGTGTCACCAATAATCACATCCGAATGCAAGGCAATATATGTTTTTTTATATTATAATTATTACAATATGTTATATTCCTGCACCAAATAATAAGTATTTTTCATACGACATTAACACTTATAATATTTAACATTTGGTAAAGTATAGTACCTTGCTTGCGTTCTCATCCCTGATGAATACCGATCGCAGCTGTCCGTTAAGTTCGAAGAAAACTTCTCTCTCTCCGGCCGCCGTCATTTCTTCCGACACTGCGAGCGTCTTGATATCTAGCGTTTTGCCTCGCTCGATTTTCACTTCTATTGTTTCGCCGACCTAAATATATATACTTATGAGTTGTTAAAGGTTTACATAGACACCTCATAGGACTTGTAGTTTTAAGTCCGGCAAAATTAAATAAATACCGTCACAGAATATACAGTCAAATCAAATCAAAATATCTTTATTCATGTAAGTCTATTACAGACTCTTATGACATGTCAAATCTATCGTCAGTTCGGAGTGATTTCGAGATGAGAACTGACAAGAAACATAGCTCGTATTCTTTTTAAATATTGTTTACAATAATGCAAATTCATCATTCATACAGTATACATAAACTTCGATTTAAAAAGAATGCAATGTTTAAAATTGGTTTATAAAGTGTCTAATGATTTTCCCCCTTATTTATAAAAATAAGTCAAATAGATTTATTGCACATTCTAGATTTTAAACTGTTTTGTTTGTTTCTTTCTTCTTAATTTGAAATAAACAAAATATGTACTCTTGATTGCTTTAGTGATTTAGCGGTTTAGTACACCGTTTCATTTCCGATGGTCGCGGATTCGACTCCTCGCGTGGGACAGACATTTTTATTCATGAGTATAATTGTTTGTATCGGTCTGGGTGTTTTATATGTATATTAAGCATGTATTAAAAACTAAGTACTTACATCACTTGTCTAAATACTCATAATACAAGATCTGCTTACCTTGGCACTAGATGACTTGTGTGAATTGTCCAGTGTTATTATATTATACTCTAATTGCAAAAACAAGTTTGTTTTGCTATATTTTTTAATAATAAGTGACCTTAGCATTTTTTTAGAATGCAAGATAATGACAAAAAGTTACCGTGGGTCCAACAAGGAAGGTCTTGGTGTCTAGCAAGTTGACGGGCCCGTATTTGTCCTTGATGCGAAGATAGTCGTTCGCCACCTGAGGGTACATCGCTGCCGACATCACGTCCACGTCTGTAATCTGCAACGTCAAGCACTTCCTTAAAACATGCACACTTATATTATTAAGTTGAAAGACTATATTCTTTTGTTTGTAACTGATAAACTTAAAAAATATAATTATAGATTTTAAAAAGCTACGTTATTAGATAGTAAAATAGCCCAACTTATTAAAAAAATAATGCACCCTTTTACCTCAATTTATTGTAATTGTAGTGTAATTTTAATTATACTTTAATAAAGAGCGCGTAATACCACGAATATATAATAAAGTAATTGTAAATATAAAAAGAATAAATAAAAAAGGGCACGGACCAGTTTGTAGTTATAAACATAATGATAAAAAAAAATACTGGTACCTAACAAGAGTGCAAGTTGGGAGTGATATTTTTTTCTCGAAGTAAAGCAAAAGTCTGATAAAACTCAAAGTCGAAACTGGTTAAGTAAACCTGACTATACACAACAATAACAAATTAAGCCTGTTCAATGATAAAACTCTTTAAAAAAACAAAACAGTCCTAGTTTTCATCATTAACTTACACTTGGGTATGTTTCGGAGATGTCCTTTTTCAATTTGTCAAAGTCCAATGGAGGTAACTCTTGACCTGGCCGACCTTCTATTCTAGGCATGTCTTTCAACACCTTTGACCTGAACAAAAACAGTGGTTGGAAGACTTAATAAAATTTAACTTTAACGTACTCAATAACAAATTTAAAAATATTCGTATAAATGTATATAATAATAATAATAATAATAATAATAATAATAATAATAATAATAATAATAATGACCAAATACAATTCACACAGCCTAATCTAGTCTCAAGTAACTTAAAACACATTTTTTTGGAATTACCATACATATATAATATGCATAGAAAACTAGATATTTATTCTCATAAATACAAATGTTTGCATCGTGCGAGGAATTGAACCCTAAGCCATTGGAAAGACAGCGTTGAGTTAAACTGCTAGATCATCTAGGTCGTCAATTACTTGAATTTTTCAACATTTTCTCCTTCTGCTTATAGATCTATCATTCGTTACTTTATTTCTTCTCTCTATACTATCATAGCAGAAAAAATATATATTCTTACCTAAGGGGTTCAGGGAAACCACCGGGTGGTATGCCAATAGCGCCTTGGAGGTACTCCACAACGGACTTGGGGAACGAGAGTTCTTCTGCTTTCGCTTCTATATCGGCGGCGGTGAGTTTGTTCTGTACCATGAACTGAGCGAAGTCGCCCACCACTTTCGACGAGGGCGTCACTTTGATTATATCGCCGAGGAGCAAGTTCGCTTCCCTGTTCATCATTTTATTTTATAAAATGTTTATCTGTCTTTTAGGACAAGATATACTTATAAAACACAACAATTTAATATATAATTATACATTAAATTTTATCTGAGCATTTGTGAATGCTAATCTCAGAAACGGCTAAATAATTTGAATACGGCTTTTACAGATATACTATACCAAGTTTTTGTTTCAATCGGTTTATTAACAAAATAGTTATTTTTTGTTAAACACAATACCAAACTTGCAAATTTCTCAAGAATATTTGGAAATTACTTTTCTTTTTTAAATTGTTGTTCAAAAAGATATTGCAGAGAAATTACAAGGTCTTTAAAAACCTTAGTTCTTAGGAATGGCAACGCATGAGGGGAAGTTAACGCGACATTTGATGTCTGTTGTGCTGTTCCTGTATATAGACGACATTACCACTTTCCATCAGGTGAGTCAGTGTATTTGCTATTGCAGTTAAAAAATAAGGAATATATCTATACGGAAAACAACTCACCTATATGCTTTCTTGACCTCCTCAAATTGACTTCCCAATCCTAAGGAGAACGCCTGGAACTGCAAATTGGTGTACTGTCCGCCGGGAATTTCGTTGATGTACACATCTGCATTGCCTGATTTCATTGTCGCCGTACATTCGAACGGTCCGTATAATGTACGGGCTTGTTCCCAGTACGCTGAATATTCGGACACAGTCTGTAGAGGTATTCCTGGAAGAATATACGAAAATATTACCAATTGAATATTGACTAGATCAAAATGTTTCCATGGTTGTTTTTACATAATAGATAGTAAATAAACAATATGTTATGTATTGTTAAGCTATATTGTATAAACTTACAGAATTGACCTATGTGTAAATGTAATTGACACAATGCATTTGCTTCTAAAAGAGCTAGAGGCTGGGCTGGCTAGTGAGGCCGGACATGGAGTGGATGATGCGCGGTGTAGAGTACAGACAGAGGGGAGTACGAGCGGTACCTGTGTCGAGCGGCGTGGCCTGCAGCGAGGCGACGAGCGCCCCGAGGCTGGGCTGGCTGGTGAGGCCGGACATGGAGCGGTACCTGTGTCGAGCGGCGTGGCCTGCAGCGAGGCGACGAGCGCCCCGAGGCTGGGCTGGCTGGTGAGGCCGGACATGGAGCGGTACCTGTGTCGAGCGGCGTGGCCTGCAGCGAGGCACCCCGAGGCTGGGCTGGCTGGTGAGGCCGGACGAGCGCCCCGAGGCTGGGCTGGCTGGTGAGGCCGGACATGGAGCGGTACCTGTGTCGAGCGGCGTGGCCTGCAGCGAGGCGACGAGCGCCCCGAGGCTGGGCTGGCTGGTGAGGCCGGACATGGAGCGGTACCTGTGTCGAGCGGCGTGGCCTGCAGCGAGGCGACGAGCGCCCCGAGGCTGGGCTGGCTGGTGAGGCCGGACATGGAGTCGACGGCGGCGTCCACGACGTCCGCGCCGGCCTCCGCGCAAGCGAGCATGGCGGCCACGCCCGCGCCTGACGTGTCGTGCGTGTGCACGTGGATCGGCGTCGACGGATGCTTGTCGCGGATCGCGGAGATCAGCAGCCTGCGACACGCACACCGCTTTATGTAGTTTTATTATATCGCTAGTAGCTGCCTTTACGAGTAGGTTCTTTCACAAGGCAGGAAATTCTTTTGAAACGGCACTATCCATGACTTACTCAGGTTATGAGGATGAATTCTCTGTCGAGGGAGAAGCTTTCTCATCCACAGGGACAGACAACAGAATTCTTCCTTAGAATAAAATGATTATGAACCACTAAATCAAACTATCTCAATATTTATACGATAAATTTTGTTTAGTTTCGTTCGTTAATCCTAAAAAGGTAACGTTAAACAGAATTTTTTTTTAATCACATATGACACTTTCGCGTTTATAATATTAGCATAGTTATATTATATTGATACTTACTTTGCAGCTTGTGGTTTTAGTAATCCAGCCATATCTTTGATGCAAAGAACATGAGTGCCTCCTTTAATCAGTTCATCAGCGAGATTTAAGTAATATTTGAGATCATATTTGGTTTTCTTAGGGTCTGAGACATCCCCGGTGTAAGATATTGCCGCTTCGACAACACCCCCAGCTTTGCCTGCCGCATCCATACCGAGCATTAAATTAGGTAGGTAGTTTAGGGAATCAAACACGCGGAATATATCCATGCCCTCTTTAACCTGAAAATATGAATTCAATATTAGTGCATTAATTAATTGTACATGCTTAAAACTTTGGTTAACTACAAATGTTATACCATATTTTTCATTCGGAGTAATAACTACAAATGTACAATATAAAATCTTTTACCATTTTGCATATTTCATAATAAACCGCATTAATTAGAAATTAACAAGGTTCGTTAGTAAATTCCATTTTAAAACAAATTCAGAACATCAGTAACATCAAATATGAAAATTTATTTAATGCCAGAGAGAAACACTTTAATGTAGTAGAAGACAAGCAACTAGGGAACAAAATATATAATACGAACATATAAAATGTACGATTGTTTATACTTTATTTTAGTCAATTAATAATATTTCGTTTAAGTATTTCTAATTTCTATTATACTATTCTATTTATTTTATATCTGACTTATGTAAATCTTAAGTATATATATAATTCCAAAATATTATTCTTGGGACAGAAACGAGTTTGTGAAATTTTAGATGCTTGAATTTTATTATGAACGTGTAGAAAATATACGCATCATTTATGTTGTTCTCTCTGCTTAATTATTAATATTCCCGACGTGAGGATATATAGCAGACAAACTTACAGCCATTTCGCAAAACTTGTAGACAACATTGTCAGGGTAGTTGGTGTATCCTACAGCGTTTGCGCCGCGGAGCAACATCTGGAACGGGATGTTGGGAATCAGCCGCCGCATCTCGCGAAGACGTTCCCATGGACACTCGTGAAGGAACCTGTGGATATTAGTTTAATCACGTGACGCAATCAGTGAATTCATTTAACTCGACGTTGTTTTGCCATATAAGTTAATATTGCTATTAAAAAATAGTGGTTGAAGGTAGAAGGGTGATAATTAAGGGTTATATGTATTTTCTAATGCTGATCATAAAAAAATGACTAAAATATAAAAAGTAATTTAGGGGTGGACTAGCCTCAACACTTAAGAGGTATGAAAAACAGTTTAACATCCTATTCTCAGCCTTACTGAATTATATAAACAAAGAAGATCATATGAACACACAGAAACACTGTGACTTGATCATTTTATATATTAGCTTTAGATTTGTTTTATACAACGTATCAAGCATATAAAAAGTATTAACATACCTAAGGGCGACATCGAAAGTGGCTCCACCCCAGTTTTCAAGTGAGTACAAATTACTGAAGTTATGCGCCACATAAGGGGAAACTGCGAGCAGGTCATGTGTTCGTACTCTAGTCGCGAGCAGCGACTGATGGGCATCCCTGAAGGTTGTGTCCATGAGGAGTAGGCCTTTATTTTGCCTCACTGCTTTAGCAAAGGCTTCAGGGCCGCCTTCTTGAAGGATCTGCTTGTAACCTCTAGGAGGTTCGATGGCTGGACGACAAAGGCTTAGAATTATTTTTAATGCTCTACTCTTTTATTTATCAGTGTATTGTTATGTTTTATGACAGTGTCAGTGTTCTAGCTCAGGGGTGAGCAATCTTATTTCTTCGACGTGGCAATTTTTAAATTTTTTGGCGGGCCGCACATAAAGTAATACGTTTTAATACCTTTATTTATAATAAACATTAGAATAAAAAATACATGAAATTAAAAGAAGGTAAAGATTTGCTATACAAAAGATTGAAAAAACAATCACAGTCACAAAAAAGTAATATTTCGATTTAGCATGATATTATAGCAGATTTACACTCTCGATGGTCCCTGTTTCAATTCTTCACCCGATACATTTGTGTACATGAGTATAATTGTTTGAATTAGTCTGGGTGTTTTCTATTATTGTGTATGTACTTACAAAAATATATATTGATATATTTATATTAATTGTTTAGTACCCATAGTTATGAGTACCTTGTCTCAAACTAAGCAGAGCTTGTACTACATAGTTGGAGACAAGATGAGCGCCATCTTGAATTGTCCTGAGTCATTATTATTTATAAAAAATATTGTAAAAACAATATCTTAATAGATATTTTTACCGAATTCAGTAATAAACTTTGACTGTGTTTTCGTGTGTTTATGTGGCATCCTAGATAAATGTTAAGAATAATATTTTTTTAATTAAATTTTATTAGAGTTTATTTTTCAGATTAATATTAATTAAATAAAATGAAAGTCGCGGATCGGATGTTACTTTATAGGAAAAGTTACCGTTGAAATTAATTTTATACCATTTATCTTGGATATTGAAACAAGAAATATGTTATAGCAAAAATATCTATATAGATATTATATACCATATACTCAAAAAACATTAAAATTAAACCGTCATACAACAGCTAAAAGCATGACGTGACATAAAATAAAACAAATCTTACCTGTATTCTCGCCCGTTAATTCCTGTCTTTTTAATGCCTCTGGGGAAAGGTCTGAAAAATATGTTCACTAAAATAATGGTGGTGCGCGGAAATTTCTACAGTGTGCATACAAATTAAATGGACATGAACCCAGCGCTACACCGTATTAAAGAATGCATGTATACCTGTCATTAAAGAATAGTTCAGACTGATTTAGTAATTTAGTCAAGTGGAATTAAAAAAAACCTCGACTAAATATTACTAAAACTTTGCTGTTCAGAGACATTTAGCTGTAAATACAATGAGGCTAAATTACATTTGCAGTCCCAACTAGCCTTAAGATCTAGTTTTATTTAGTAATAATACTGCAGATACATAAAATTAGTGCTAATGTAGCATGAAGTATAATTAATACGAATATATGTACTACATGATTATTGCCACAAAATTTTAATAGTTGAAGCATGAAATTTTAGTACAACAACATAATAAAACACTTTCTATAGCCAATTTTGCGGTCAGTAGTACACTAGCTGACATTACTCAAAAATAAAAAAATAAATTCGAAGCATTAAATAAAAAATGACACACCACTAATTAAAAATTAATTAACTGTAAAACACAGTTCCTATAAGATTTCACATACCATAGCCATAGCGGCCTGTAAAAGAAATATAGAGGTTTTTAAGGTCACAGTTAATTTGTCTAGCATCCAGGGTAAACTATTTTGGGGTACGCCTGATGGTGAGTAATTACTGCCGCCCATAAACACCAACAACCCCAGGAGAATTGCAGGTGAGTTGTGAAACAAAATTTCACACTTCATCACAACCATATGTTTTAATAAATTTTTAATTTAAGCTACGATTTGAAGTATGACCACATGAAAATAAACTGCATTTTACTACCTTAATACATACTAATTATAGACAACACTTCTTTTTTATTCTTTAAAATTTATGGAATTTTATACTAAATTTACATGCCAGTCTCATTGTACCCTAAAACTAATAACTATATCACTTCACCAGTAAGCAAATTGCCTTTACAGCACTAAAGACAGTCATTTGTTGTAAGTATATTAAAGAAAAATCAGTTTCTATCTGGCTGCTATCCAACAGTATTACTTGTTCAATCAAATCTAAATATCTTTATTCGTGTAGGTCTATTACAGACTCTTATATGACAAAAACTACCATTTTGAGAGATAGTCCAATATATTGAACAATTTTGTAATAAACATTAATATATAGGTAAAATACACCTGTTTTAAATTTGACACGGTCATTATTTATACATACAATTAGGAAAAATGCCGGGATCTTACCACATTTTATTTATTTTTATTCAGTTCCCGATATTTCGGCAGTGTTGACTCTGTGCCTACTCTTGTAATATTACTGTCAACCCTTGAGCCCCCTTCCATTAGTTCTCTCCGCTAACATAGATGTAATTTCAGTGTAAAATAGCCCGCATTACGACTCCGCATTGAGTACTTGCGTTTCTATTAAAACTTTGTAGCATACTATCCAATTAAATTACTAATGTACAATAAATAGTACAATTATTAAACCTGTATACTCACTACTCACTACCTACATAATACAATAAACTATCAATTAAGTAGCGACACCTCATCGCATCATATATACCTCTCCAGTGGTGAGGATAACCATCGCGCTATAACTCAATAAAAATAAATAAAAACGTGGTGAGATTCCGTGATTTTTCCTAATTGTATGTATAAACTTACACCTGTATCTACACTAATAGATCAAACTATGAACATTTTAATGGAAAGTTTGACCGCAAATGATATTTTTACTTGTGGGACTAAATCTATTGAAACGGACAATATGAACACTAAATTCTAATACTTTTGAGTCATGCCCCGTTAATATGAATGTTAACCTCATAAATGAATCTCCCTTTTACGGCGTTTCATTAATTTCGTTCGTTCACTCACCTAGGGGCACTGGTGGGATGTAGGGCTTGACGTCGGATGGTGGTATCTTGGTGGCGAGTGGTGTGGCGGGACCGTTCACCAGCACCTGACCGAGATAGTTGAGAATCTTCTGTGCTCTGTTCTGTGACGCTTTGAACATGAACAGCTGAGGGTGCTCGTCGATGAAGTAAGTATCCACTGCGCCTGTTGTAAATAATATAATTAGTTTCACATATTTGGGAACAAAATTATATCTTTACAAATATATAAAATTGAAGTGTCTGTTTGAAATTTCTAATTACCAGTTTTCACTAAATGCTTATGACAGTATATTCACAGGACATTCATTCACAGGTAGCTAATTTTAGAGTAACTTATGCTACTTTTATCCAGAAGTATTGCTTATTTTAATATAAAATAAAGTTATTTTTCCTCGCAGACGTAGTCGCGGGTAACAGCTAATGATTTAATTAATATAAAAGATAGGATGAACGCATTTTTTTAAAATGACTTTATAAAAATACGGTGTAATACATAGTTACTTCTACTTTATATATCTTGTATGTTCAGAAAAACTAAAACGTCGACTCTTATTAAGAATCAACTATATTTAAAACGAAGAAGAGAAAAATGGAATCCAATTGCCAGGAAGTTATGGTTGGACGGTGCCAGGACTGTTTAGATAGTTACAAGCGCATAAGTAACAAAAGAATCAATTTAACTTACCATTAAGGAACTTTTGATTTTCTAACACATTGAGCAAAAATGGTATGTTGGTCTTCACGCCTCGAATACGGAACTCGCGCAGAGCTCTGTTCATTTTGGCTGCAGACGCTGGGAGATCTTGAGCGTGAGAAATTACCTAAAAACAATATATTTTCTGCCCGTAAGAGATTGCATTAAGCGATAAGGCCGCCTTTTGTTTAGGATATATTTCTATGCACAATAAATTACATATTTACTTGTGCAATTAAAATAAATGCAATATAGACAAATATATGTTTATTTGATAGACTTATATTGTTTTTACATGTTATTTTTTTTTTTTTATTTATTTATAACTCTTTATTGCACCTTAAAAACAATCCAAAGAAAAAACAATATTCATAATATGTATGTTAGTATAGAAAATAAATATATTTCAATTATATTTTATCCTAACAGCTACCTTTTCCGGTTTCTTAATTAATTTACAAAAAACAAATTACACATCTAAACCTTCCTCTGAAATTAAAACAGCATGAAAATCCATTCAGTAATTTATGAGATTGTCGCGAATACACAAGCAGATGCCGCGTGGGACTTTGTTTTATAATAGGTGGAGACTTAAGTCCGATATGTTGTATTATATCCTTTATTTTCATATTATGTTATATACTAAAATTTATGATATATAAAATAATCATCTATCTATCTCGCTCGCACATAGACGCGATACGACAAGTAGGAAAAAGACGTCCAGATGTTGTTGGAGTTTAGTATGGGTTTAAATATAACGGTAAAAATAGGGGTTTCAGGCTTATATGTACATATGCTTTTGACTTACTTTGACTAGTAGAGAGTCGTAGTAGGGTGATATAACAGCGCCGGCATATGTTGACGCAGAATCAAGTCGGATGCCCATACCCTCGCCAGATCTATAGCGAGATGTTTAAATGCAAGGATAATGAGTGTGAGTGGAAAAGTAAATATATTCATAAAGAGCAGTTTTTCTTCATTTCTAAAAGACATTTCTGAAAACTGCGCTTAGAATTAATATTTTTATATTCATTATGTATATGACTGTACATACTTTCTTTGATTATTGCATTAAAGTCAAGTATTAACTGACTATGCAATATTTTTTAGTTTAGTGTAATTTTTACATATGGTTTGGTTAGTATCAAAAGAAAAAAGTCGACGTAACTTGTTTTGACCTAACTTCCCATACACCAAAAAAGCAGAACATTATTAAAAATCATGTCATTAAAGACTTTCTGATATGTATAGCGTATATATATTAAGCCATTTATTTATTCCCTGCTTTTAAGGCTATCAAGAGAATTCCTTTTTATTTGCAAACAATAAATATTTTTTATACATTTTATTATAGTGTGAAACCACACCGCTAGATGGCGTTGTAATGAGAAAAATAAGAGTGTTAAGTTAGTCAAGTTCAAGTTAAAACATCTTCTGGTATACTAACCGGAATACTTCAATCCTGCCAGTGCTGGGCTGGAAGTTATTAGCTGGGTCCTCAGTAGTAACTCGGCACTGTATGGCGTACCCTTCTGTCCTGATCTTTTCCTGTGTGAGACCCAATTCAGGCAGGGTCATACCCTCGGCCACCCTGATTTGTGACTGTACTAGATCAATGCCTGTCACTTCTTCTGTTATTGTGTGCTCCACTTGTAACCTGTGTATTTGTGTTTTTTTAATCGACCTGTACTAGTTTTTACCGCGACTTCGGCCATATTTTAACTGATCGAGATAAAAGTACTTTGTCCTTAATTATGCAGAATATCTTCGCTAAATTCCATGTTAATTATAATTATTGTAATAATTAGTTAATGTATTAAGAAAATAAAGGCTAAATATATTAAACAATTAAAAAAATACCAACAAAACCAAAGGCAAATTTATTTATATAGGAAATGTTTCGGTTTATACTCGACAACTTTTCTACAATATTAGATAATGCTGTTAATTCAGAATGTAGCCTAATTTTGAAAATGTTTTCTATTCACTATTTCTTTCAAATTATCACTGAATTTAAATCACTTTTAAGTGACATTTTATACGTACCTAGCATTGACTTCAATGAAGTAGAAATTGCCTTTATCGTCTAGTAGGAACTCAACTGTGCCAGCATTCTCGTATCCCACGTATTTGGCAAGATGTACTGCGCAGTCTACCATTTTTTGACGAACCTTCAAGGAAATTAATATGTCAATAAGAATAGTACGAAATGTACATGGTATTATTAGAGATATCATTTCTTATAATAACACAAATAAATGTTTTACAACTTGGATAAATTTAATTTTATTATTGCATCAACAATTTCTTTTATTTTTATTATTTTATGATCTATTTATAATTTTCTAGCTTTACTAAAGATTGTAACGTCGTCATACAAAATAAACAATAACGTTATTAATTACTGAAATATATCTTGACAGACAGAACAACGACTAAACGGACGAAAACTTAGCAACAGAATAGTTCGACCATAAAAAAATGTCAAATAACTTTTAAATAAGGGACGTATAATAACAAATATAGACGAAGTTACCTCAGGATCGAGGCGAGGTGCGGGTGCGATCTCAACTACTTTCTGATGACGCCTCTGTACAGAGCAGTCTCTCTCGTATAGATGCACCACATTACCGGCCTTGTCACCTGTATAACGCAAGTGAAATATTATAACATTCGAATAAAACTAATACAAAAATATACATCGAAGTTTGTAAGTTAGACAATTATTTTAATTGTCTTCATAATATTTGAATTTAATTGTATTACATAAATCTATACAAATAAATAAAATTGAAATTAATTTATAATTTAATTTTCACTAAATTCATATCAAAGTATATGAGGTATTTAATTAAGAAAATAAATTTAAAGTCTGTCTGTTCTTGTTTATCTCTGAAACAGTTGGTGTTCTTCTAAGCTGGGGTGGAAAGCCAGTGTCGTATCATTTTTGTTTCAAAGTACTCTAATGCTGTTGGCTGTAGCTGGAATTTGCTAAACAGGGCGATAAGAAGAAGAAGACAAGGGCGAGTGCAGATGGTGCTCCAAACCCACGCAATGACTTATAGTGCGTCTGAAGGACAACTCCCGCCTGACTTTAGTCTGAGGGCACCGTTAAAGGTTCGAACTTTGGCTCAAGTCGTCATAATTTCAATTCCCATTGAATTGGACGGGAGATAGATTGGAACGTGTATAGTTCAGTTTAGAATATATATAATAGTCTCAATTTTTAGAACATAGTTCAATTTGCCGTATTTCTTATTACCATTGCTTTAACTAACCTAATAATTGGACTTCAATGTGTCTCGGCCTTTCAATGAACCTCTCGATGAACATGGAACCGTTGCCGAAAGCACCCAAAGCTTCTGAGGACGCTCTTTCGAATGATGACGCCACGTCGCTCATCTCTCGGACCACACGCATACCTCGACCACCGCCGCCGTACGCAGCCTGGTTGGGAAAAAGTGTTCATGTATCAATACAAATTTTTGAACCCGCGACCATCGCAAGTAAGGCGGTGTGCTAAACCGCTAAACCGACGATGCCGTCGGCCTAGCGGGATATTAATTTCTTTGAATCCGCTATCATTAACATGTGGGAGACCACAAATATTCAGCGAGAAAACCTAACTATCCAAAACCACAGTAATTTAAAACGCATTAACATATCATTAATAAGGTATAGGGTTCTTTTTGCGTTTTATATTTTTATTTTATTTTAGACGATTAGCTTTAAAGCTTACTACGAAATTTCTAAAATTTACTTACTAAATAATTAAATTTACTGACTAGTGTTTTCACAGTATTGAAAACACTAGTCAGTCTAAAATAATAAAAAAACTCACTCTAGTCAATTTTATCTTCAAGATTAAAAAACATACTAGTGGATAATAAAATTAATTACCTTGAATATAACAGGAAGTCCATGTTTCTTACAGAATTCCATAGCTTCTTCCTTTGTAGTTATCGGACCGTCAGTGCCAGGAACTATGGGTACCTCTGCAATATTACAAAAATTATATTAGAAGTAATTCGATTTTTCCGCTAGTTAATATAATTATTAATTGTTTATGCTTGGAGATCTGTCTGATCTGCTTGTGATCTGTGTGCTTGGAGATCTGAAGCGTGATGCTGTATACTTTTTTTATTATTTTTGACCTATATTCTTGATGTTCTTATATAATTTCAATGGAAAACAGATTCACCAGGTTAATCTTTGAATACGATCAAATAGTAATTTAATTATAACATCTTAGATCATATGTATCTTAGAAAAATAAATAGAAATTAAAAAAGGTAAATAAACTATGTACTCGTGTGAAATGAATATTTGTTAATTCTACAAAAAAAGTAACCCGATTAAATTACATTTAATCGAATTGAAATCTATAATGATCCCGTGAGTTCTTCAATTTGAATTTTAGTGAAAGCGTGTGAAGTATGTACGGCATCCGTTCTCCTCCCCCGGGGCGGGTGGATCTCTACGATGGATTTCCCCATATAAAAAAAAGGAATACATACTGGCATCGATAGCGGCTTTCCTAGCAGCGACTTTGTCACCCATCTGCTGTACAACCTTCGGGGAGGGACCTATGAATCGCATGCCTGCATCCACGATGGCTTGGGCGAAGTCGGACCTGATGAAGAATTGTGGAGTTATTTCTTAATTCTATATTGAACATCAAATTCATTTTTCTAAGGAAATGTAAACGTGCAAATAAATTCAAGCTATTTTTTTTCTTTGTGAGAAAGTGACGAAGAAGTTTTTACTTTTTAAGAATAAGGTTATGTTTACAGTTTTTTATGTGTGAGTAATGGATATAAAATCACGATGTTATAGCGCGCGGAATATTACTTGTTGGCAAGAGCATCTAAATAGTCGTATCACGATGCTATCTGTCAATGGAATCGGAAGCTCGTTCTTTATCATAAATAATCACTTACACGCTAAATACTCTTCAAACTAATATAACTGCTAAATGTTAAATAAAAATATAAATAGCTTTTTTTCAAATAAAGTTAAAGTTCAAACTCCTTTAATAACTTTGAATTTCTTATAAGGAATATTTATGTCATTGTATTGTTCCAAGTCTAAATGAAATATTTTATATATTGTACAATAGGTTTCCAAACAGAAAAGTTTAAACACCAAGCCTGGATAATTACGTCACATGGAAGGAATGATTGATCAACATAGAGTATCTATAATATTTATATACAGAACTATAAAATAGCTATAAAATTATTAAAATAGAAACTATTCAACAGACCTAAAAATTCTTTACAGTTATATAATGTATTTAAAGATCACATAATATTATGAAAATATTGGACTCTTTTCAAAATTTATCTGGGGTAAGAAACAGTGTATATAAACAAATATTTTATTAACGAAACATATTGTACGAGTATATTGTTGCACAACCAACACCGTAGAAACGACATAAAAAAAGAAAATAAAAAAATACACTAACCTTTCTGATAATAATCCATAACCAGGATGTACTGCGTCCACATCATTTTCCTTGGCCACTCGAATGATCTCCGGGATGCTGAGATAGGCTTCGACTGGCGGCAGACCTTTTCCAACTATATAAGCCTCGTCGGCTTTTTGTCTGCAAATATTTAATAAATATTTTACTACTTTGTATTATATTAGTACTTGACGGATATAAACATTATTATTAATATCATAAGCCTTAGCTGGATTTTATATTATTGTGTGTTGTGTGTAAGACAATATATTTTTGTTAAGAATGTATAAATAATAATTTTATTTGTATTATATTCATAGTACTTTTATCAATAATTCTCTGTGATACATTTGTTGATAGAAGAACAAAATACCAATTTTCAATTTACATTACTTTAATTAAATTGAGTAATATATTCTAAATTTATAAACGTTTGTTGCTCAATTCATTTGAAACGACTGATCTGATTTATATTATTATATTTTATATACAAATGTACATTATTTATCATTTTTCTAATGTCATACTGTACCGTAAAAGTGGATTACAATGCGAAAAACATAAATGTCACAGGAGATAAAATTACAAACAAATTACCTGTGCATCTGTAATTTGTCCTGTTCGCTGTATATGGCGACGGACCGGATGCCCAGTTCTGTGCATGCTCGGAACACTCTGATTGCGATTTCTCCACGATTTGCCACCAGAACACTTCTGATGGGTTTGTATTCCACGGGTTTCGTGTCCTGTAAACATTTTTTTTTATTACATAATGGATTTCTTGTGTTTTATTATTGTATTTTGTTAAATTCCTTTACCATTAGTATGTGTGAGACCACAAGTATTCAGTGCGAAAACCTGACTACCACAAAAAAACTTTAACATAATTGCGACGTTATTAACTTCTAAATCACATTATCAGGCAATTTACGGAGGTCGGATATAGCTGAAAAAGCCTACTGCTGTCGGTCCGGGACCAGAATGTTACACAACCTACAACCCCAAACTTACAATAATATAAATGCACAAAATAACATGGAATTCAATAAAATATATTTTATTTTATAGCCATGATTATGGGAAATGATACGGATATATCATTGGAAATGTAAAAGTATATAAGTAAACCAAGGAGAGTTGGTATAGTATAGCCCCCTAATTCTGTCAGTAAACAGCTAGCGATGCAAGCTAAGATCCAATGTATAAGGAGAGATGGGATGATGTCCACAAGGTTCGCAACACTTGATATAGGCCACAAGCTTCAGTAGGGCCTGCGAAGTAGCTCATGTATAAGTGAACTATCTCATCAAGTGGGTAGTCAGCTTGATTTTTTATACCAATTTCATAAAAAAAAGTAAATACTAGATGACCCGAAAAAGTTATCTTCATAAACGCGCAGTAAAATATATTGAGGGGTCACTAATCGAGAAAAACATTACAGATCGGCGTTCGACCTACATATAAATACTGCGATTTCATGTACGGGGTTGCCATTTGACATAGTTTCTTTTCAGTCTCCTGAATCACTTTTCAGTTTCCTGAATTGTGAGGTCAGTTAATGCCAATTTTAGCATTTTTTTTTACAATCCAACGACTTGTCATATAGGTCGCTTCGTCCGCAGATCTTATTGCGGTTAATGTGGTTTTTATCGTTAATTGTGTTGCCAATTACAATAGTAACGATACTAAACTAACGACATATTCGTGATAACTGATTCTTGATTGACACAGTCACGTAAGTAACGTTAACCTCGGATATTATCGTTATCATTGTATGTGGGAATTGATGATTATACAAAGCCCTACTGTCAAATGAAGCGTAATAGAGAAATATATTTAACTTCTATTTTTAAAAAGTGTTTTTATCATCTTATTATTTTTATGTTGTTAGCAATAAGATGTAATTTTTAAGGAAATTTAATAAGTGTAGTAGTGTAGTGTGTCTTTACGTGATATTGTTCTCTATGTACTTTAGACTAACATAATATCTAGTGTATTATTATAAGATTTATTAGGAATTAAGTCGTGTATATTTGTATGGATGGCTGTTCTTAAATTAAATTATTAATAGTCTAAGTAATTACAAATAAATATGGCGAATAGCCATGTAACTCAGTTACAATAGTTACTTGTTTTAAAAAAGTTGTGAAATTCGTCATTGATATTGGCAATTGGTTCGTAACATATCTAATTGATAATACTTTTATTACTATTTATCTGTTTTTTAAAAAAACAAGAAATAATGCGAGTAAATCCCAGCATGCCGTTTTAGTCGTATTACAGTTTGACTTGAAAAAAATATAGATAATTTTGTTTAATGAATAACAATAATGATAGATTCTATTTTAAATGTCTATATATTTATACCACATTCCACATTCACGATAATAAGTGGCGTATAATTTAGTTAATTTTTTGTCTGTAAATAAAAATTATGTATTTATTATCTTTAAACTAAACACGATAATGTCAGAGCTATAGTATGAGAGATATAATGACCTAACATGGGTAGAAACACAAAACAATGTATACATAGACATATTGATAACTTATCATTGTCGTTTATAAATAGGTAGCAGCTATAAACTTTTTTAAATATATTGTAGCTTTTTTTTAATTCTTATTATCTCGTATATTTTTTTTATTTCGTGCACTTGGCCTACGTTATCAAATCGTTAACTAATGGTCCGCTCCAGTTTTTCCCGTGTATAACTTTGTGGATTTTGTACATATTACTATAATATAATTAATAAGTCATACTAAAAAACAAAATACAATATCTTACCAACAAATAAAAAATCAAAATATCTTTATTTATATAGGTCTATTACAGACTTTCATGATATGTCAACTCTACCATCAGTTCGGGGTGCTTTCGTGCTGAGAACTTACATGAAACTCAGCTCGTATACTTCTTAAAAAACTGCTTGGAAATAGGTCAGACAAAGTTACCCAGCCGACTTTCTACAAAGTCTACCTATATGTATGTTAATGATAATTATGTTATTAATAATAATATTAACATAGTCAGAAATAAGAGGCTACATGGATACTTTTGTTCAGTTTTGTAACTACAGAACCTGCATTAACAAATATATAATTACACCTAGATATCCTAATCTCCAAAATTGTACAAAACTCAAATATATGATTATAGTTTGTTTGTCAATTTTATCACATGTACTTGACAAATTGTGATACGATTAGACATGTTGTTATGTCCACCATTGCGATATGCGATAGATGTGGAGATTGTATCGCTCGTATTCACTGTAGGCACTTGTTCCGCAAATATTTAACGAGGTCTTTAACATTTTTATCGTAAAACGTGTTTCGGTTTCATCGCTGTTATAGGTCACTGGCAGTTGTTATATTTTGTCATCTGTTGTAAAACGACGCAATTGGCAAATTGCAAACTTAACTAGCAATCAGCTCCGGCTTTCGGAAATAATTTATAATGAATATTTTTTTGCTTCGTTTTACAATGATTTATTTATTTATTATTCTCCTCCTAAACATAGATACAAGCAATAAATACATGTAGTATTTTTGATCGTACAATGCATAAATTTAATATATGCATATGAAGAAGAAATTTACAAACTGCTAGTTATACTGCAATGATTTAATAATAATAATCTTAATAACAATTCACACAGCGCCATCTAATCCGAATCTAATCAGAGCTTGTGTTATGGGCACTGGACAACTGATATAAATACTTAAGATACCATATTTTTTATAAATACATTCATAATATACATAGAAAACACTCAGACCGATACAATCATACTAATGATTACAAATGTTGCACCGTACGAGGAATTGAACTCGCAACCGTCTAAAAAGCGGTGTCCTAAACCCTCCAAAGCCGCCATATAATATTTGTAATCTATATATATAAAAGTAAATAAAATACATTATTTGTAATAGCACTAAAAGAGGTACAGTTTTTTTGTATCATAACTACTACGTCTTTTTTATCCTTTGCAAATTGTGTACACATTTATTTCATAAAAAAGATACAAGTGTTATAACGCTAACAGATAATTACTTTTATGCCATATTAAGTATACACACGAGATATTCATAATTTACTCAATTGTCTCACTTTAATTTCGCGTAGTATACGTACCTACTGTAAATAATGTTATGTTTGCACCATCATGTTTGTTCATGTGGTGACAATTTTACTTTAAGTGTTTGTTTTAAAGTGTCATTATATAGTGACCACTGCAAACAATCATTTCTGGTATTTATGTAATAACAAAGTCCGTATACTACAGTCATTCCTATTAAGTTCTATTTTGAAATAATGTCTCATGTAACCAATGAAAAAATGTTGCAAAAGTCGGGACAATGTAATACAGATTAAATTGCGCTAGTGTAAAAATCTAAGCTAGTTTTAGGGTACAATGAGACTGGCATATACTTTTAGTTGCTACAAAAGTCCCTAAATTATAAAGAAAAAAAAATATAAGCAAAACTGTTTATTTGTTAAACTTAAATGGATGCAACGTCTTATCATTCGTATTTAACAATTAGATATTTATGAAATTTATGTTAACAGTTAAGACACCGTCCTAGAACGCTACAAGCTTTGTCCATTGATAAAAGGTGGGGGAAGTTATCAATATAAAATACATTATCAGGCACACTTTGATCCCTTAAAACTTTAATTATATGTATAGAGGCTTGATATAAGGCAACATAAATAGTTAAGTACTCGTCACATTATCGGTATAAATACTATCATATAATGTTATATTTATATTGTATAATGAATAAAGATAATCGGTGCCCGAAATGTGGCACGAGGAAATAAGTAATATTTAATCATATATCCATATTTATTTTATAAAAACAAAAGTTTCATATGTTTGCTTGTTACCTTTTCACAATTAAACGCATTTTAATGAAATATGATGTGCACATAGATTATATCAAGAAAGTAGACGAAATAGCAGCTAACAGCTAGTGCCAAATTTAAGCACTTCTTTAATTACCCTTACTCTATTTTTTTATACTACCATGGTGGCAAACAAGCATACTATCTGATTGTACGTATGTGTATATTATCTGATTGTAAAGGGTTGCACTACCCTATAGACGTCCAAAAGGCTGTCACGTGCTTTGAACTCTTAAGAAGTCTATTGTTAGACTAACCAAATATTATAAGTGTTCAGCTGTAAGTATAAAAAAATATCTCCGTCAGTAAATAGTAATACATAGAATCTATTCGTTACGATTAGCAAATCTATAGGTTAGTCATATTCAAAAATAGTACATATATTACATTAAGGACTAATTTGTTTATATTCTGTAATTATCAAAACCATGATTTGGCTGTATTGGGCTATCGATTAACAGTAGGTGTGATATTTTTTATCATAATAAATGCATATTATTAGGTACACTTAATACTAACGCCACCATTTACACATATCTACCTCTCGTTATAATTGCCAGATAACACTTTATGGACAGGTATTTAACTTTAATACACATAATCCTAAAGGCAAAAGGTACATATGGCGGCCTTAACACCTGACGTCATTCTTTACCAGTCAACCATGAGTGGAGCAGAGAAAGATTGTTGGCAGTGTACTTATATATTATATATGAGACGTATTATAGTAGTATTTATTAATGAGTTAGTTTAGTAACTGGCAAACGTTTTACTTTACACTTGGCTCGTGACTTTGTCTTGTATTACGTTACCTTGTTTTGAGTTGAAATAAGTACCTAATAAGTCATATTTCAAACAAAAGCTGAATGTTTTGTACAAATTGGTTTTCTAAAATAACTGCGTCAATGTCACAAATAGTGGAATTTAAGTTTGCGTTTCGTTCATATATTGACAACTAGTGATACTACTGATATACATAAATAGATTGTTTTTATTTTGTACAATAAAAATACATACAAACTAAAAAAAGAAAAGAAAACACCCAGACACAATACATATACAAATAATCATACTCATGAATACAATGTTTGTACCGTGCGAGTAACCGAACCCGCGACCATCGGACGTTGTGCTAAATCGCTAGACCACCAAGTCCACCAAGACCACCAACCGTCATATATGTTAAGTATTTTTTAAAGCTTCCTATACACCAATTTTTTTCTTTTTATAATATTACTTCTAATTTTCTAATAGGAAAATTCTTGACAATAACTAGTTTTGTTAACTGGTAAGGTTTTAATTACAAAACGGTAATATTAACTGTAAGGAAACTACATAACTTTAATAGCAGACGTAACGGTAACTTAATTATAAGAAATTACACGTTAATTTACGATTTTTCAAGACAAAAGATATTGCGTTTTCGTTTTTACTATGCAGTAGAAGATAATTTTATATTATCTTATCCTGACCATTTCTTAAACAACCAACCAAGATTTAGGTATTTATTAGTTTCGATGTTAACATCAACTAATAATTAAACTTAAAGTTAATATAATGACGACAAAAGTAATAATATAATATAGTTCTTATATGGATTACCGTCAGTTATAATTACTGTGAATAACTAACTATGGGAAAGTAACTGTGTTTGGTAATGTTAACAAGTTGGCCCTGAGTTTAATTTATTCTTTTGCAATATAAGTAAGCATTGGTCTTTCATCAATAGAACCTCCTGATATAATATTGTTTAAAACATGCGATGTGACATATGTACCTAGCACACAGGCAGTGCTATACTTATAAAAATCAAGCGTCATACGAGAGAAATACTAGAAGTAGAGTAGCCGACTTGCCAACAGAGCCTCGAATTTTTTTTTAATGTAATGTACTTAATGTAACAAATAAATTTCACGTAGTTTTCCATATTTCTGACATAAAATGCAATCACCCGCCGCGCCGGGACAAGACTAGACTGTCCCATATTTACAAAAATCAATTAACACCGAGCGGAGCCAACTCGAGCTGCGAGTGAGACCTTTGTGATAGTTTTAAGTCTAAATAACACGGAATACCACAAAATTGCAGTGAAGTTTGTTAGTCGCGGCTGAAAAAGAGAAATCCGTTATTTTTATTCGTTCTTGATCATTTGTTTCTTTTGGATGAAAACAAAAGTTGGCAACCCTATTCTCAAGGCAACTTTTTTGTACGTAATGCGATATCTTCTACAATTTCAGAGATTCTTTTTGCATTATTATTTATTACAGGCGGCCCCGATTAACATAGTTTATCTTTTATGCAATAAAGCATAATTTTATTAGTGTTTATTGATGAAGTGTCTTATTTAATATATAACAGCATAATTACATTTATTATCACGTTATTAGCTTATTATCACCAAAAGACGTGTAACTACAGTAAAAAGGGAGAGTAACCGGACAAGTTGTGGCGATACCTCTGCAATTAAATAGAGCATAACAATGCTAATACATTTAATAAATTACTACAATGAACTTCCATTGTACAGATAATTCGTTTATACCGAGATAGACAGTAAAAATGCGTGTGCGTGAGAGTATTCCAGTCTCACGTATTTGAGCTGTCAAGTAGCTTGCTTAGTAGGGGACAAAAGACAGTAATATTATAGAAAAAGAACTGTGTTATCTTAGTTCTCCGGAATGGCAGTGGCAAAGGAGCTAATTTTTGGACAGCATCCAACAATTTTAGAAACCTCAGTTTTAAAAATTATTGGATACTTCACAGATGAGTACAAACCCCCATCTGTGAGAAATCTTGTAATTGATTTCATAGATGGATTAATGCCATTTTCACAGCTAATAGTTGAAAGGATATGAAACATAATGTCCGTAGTGCTGTTCAGGTATATAGGCAAAGGTTACTTATCATGTGGTGGTCAGCTTGTTTATTATTACCATCTTTATAGTAAAAATTACGGGTCACGTTGTTTGTACGAGATGGACTCATAAACTACTGAACCGGTTGCAAATTTAATTTACACAATGTGTGCAATTTGATTCAACTTGAAATATAGGATTGCTTTCATCTCAATTTATAGTAGCAATATTATTTTTAGTTATATTATAAAAATGCAAAGTATAGTAAAATTGCTTACCGTAGTTGCTGTACGAGTCTTTGATGAGCTCCATGCTTGAAATTGGGAGGCTGACGCGCGTAGCGCAAAACGTGCTTTAAGTATTTGCATGTTTATCAAATATAAATTTTAAAATTGTTAATAAAATATATAAACGTAAGTACTGGTAACTTGTTTAAATGGTAAAATATATTTAATAAATTTATTTCATTTTTATAATATTCTTAGGTACTTATAATAAATAATTTGACTAGATTTTCATCTATCTCGTTTCTTTTCAGTCTTGCTTTAGGCGTGTTTCTTTATCTGTAACAAAACAAAAGTTATCAATTAAAATAATAAGATAGAAGCAATATAGGGTGTGGTTTTATCGTTGTCAAAAATTTTATTTTGTTTATACCGCCAAATAACAGATGCTCTAATTGCCTGCTTTATCGATAAATAAAATTATTATTATAGTTAAAAACAAGCAAAATATACGGACCATATCTATTATTCAACAGTAAACACTACGGTCATATCAAACACATAGATCTATCATATAGGTACAGATAATCATTCATACAAAACAAATAAGTAAAAAATCTACAAGGTCGTTTTATTTTATTTTCTATAGTCGTCTTCTACGAGTAACTTCATAATCTCATCGAGGTATTTAGAGTTCGAATTTTGCATACTTATGTTAATTAAAGTTCAATAGAGTTTATATGGTGACAATGACTCAGCATATAGGACTGTCATAAAATAACCGTTTAAATCTAATACCAGCCAGTGTTTGAACCTGTACATTTTGCTTCTTTGAAAATCTAATATAATATAATAATCTCAGGACAATTCACACAGCGCCATACAGATGGACCAAGTTAAGCTAGCTAAAGGTAATAGATACCTAATACAAATACATAGATATATTTTTTATTCGTAAATATATACATATTATACCGATACAAACAATCATACTCATGATTATAAATGTTTTGCTATGCGAGAATTCGAACCCGCGACCAGTAAGGCGTGTGCTAAACCACTAGACTATCAAATTCCAAATTTGATTATTTATTTAATTTAATTTAATGAAAACGTTTATATGGGACACGGTCTTTATATGAGGGGTTTGATGTAAAAAATACGCACGTATATATTAAAATAATCTTTATTTATTTGTTTAGTGATTTAGTAGACCTCATTTGAAATTATATAGAATATGTACAATGATAATTCAAAGATTGGTTAATAGGTAACTAGGTAGGTACAAAAGGCAGTCTTATCGACATGTAAACATTAATTGCAGTTCTTTATTATCATCGTACTTGTTTTGTAGACGCTAGTTTAAAGACAAATACTTATGAACCACTTAAGCTACGTGAGTACGGTGGGTACCGTACTACTACTACTACTACTACCGATCTGGTGTTAAATGACAACTATAGTATTTCTTACTGCATTGCCATTTCAGAGAACTAAGATGCTTCCATGACCTCGTAATTTCACTGTCATATTTGGACCCTCCATCCGAAACAAAATTAAAAAAGAAAGTACTATGCGGCAGAATAAAATGATGAGACAGAGGTACTCATACAGACGACTTTGTACTACATACATAGGATATTTCGTTTTCACAGTCGAAAAGAAACCAAGTTGCATACAAAACAAAGATTTAGTGACCATGCACTAAATATCTAAATGTCGGCGAACATACATATTTAGTTCGTTCTAAAAACCAGACTCCAATTACGACGATTCTAAAAATGATATAAAATAAACTATAACAATCAACCTAAGAGATGCAAGATTTTTTGTCACGTCTAAATCCGGTTGTAGACATTATCTAAATGGTTATCATAGACACATATACGCGACCACCGAGTATTAAACCAAAGCAATAATAATATGTGAACTTTGTACAGATACGTAAGTGATTGTTTATTGTACAAAAAAAAATCTCAGCAATGATGAGTTGATAAATTAACATTTTTTCAGAAAATGTATTAAATTATAGTGTTCCACAATTATAAATTATTGATATACATATATATAATACATACTTCGATATTAATATTAATAAAAGGTATGTCTGTTTCATACATTGCTATTGATGACTAAACGTTTTAAGATCGGCAAATAGTCTCACGTGGCCGGGCATATACTATGTTATCTCAAACAAGCAGACGAAGTAGGGGGTACTAACTACTAAACTAGTATAGGATCGTATTTATCTATCAGAAAAATAATTTTCCAAAAATAGCACCAAAAATCTAAAGCTTAACTGCGATTCTCTCTACTATATTTCACAAAATATACATGAAATATCGAAGGTTTGTTTTTAAAAATACTATTGTTGATATCGTATTTTGATCCTATTATCGTACTAAATCCGTTTTGAAAATAGGAAAACGATTGCATGCTTTGTAATGTACAATCTTGTGGATAAAATTCTTGACATAATTAAATCCGATAACAGATATGAGTACATAGATTATAGATATAAATTGATAAGTATTACTACATAATGATATAATGAAACAAAATAATGAACTTACGTAATAATAAAAACATGGAATTTGTACTCAATTCGCCAGATATGTAAGCGAAAGTTTAAGCAAAAAACAATTAGTCACAAAAAAATTATTTATTGTTGGTAAATAAATATTCGTTTAGTGAAGTATGAACACTGATATTATAATACATTTGACGCCATTTTATAAAAGAAAACCCATCTATAAAATAGCGACATGAACCCTATTGAAAATGAATTTAGTTTAAGACTCTGATTCAGTACACGTCGTTAGTTTTACATAAATATTCAATATGGTCTAAAGACACGAGCATTGTTGCATATTAAATAAGACCATACGTCTCTCTTTAGATGGGAGATTCCCGTCGAATTATTACATTAATGAAGTGTAAAAGAGCCCCTTCAAAATATAAAAAAAACATTAAAGTAATTAATTTGCTTAAAATAGTGGTCTCACAAGATTTAGTAATAATTCTAGTAGACTTAGTAATAGACTAGTAGATAATTTATTTATTTTTCCAAGTTTCCCAATTAAGGTTCTATTTTCTAAATTTATAAATGAGTCTATTATTTGTGTATATATGTGTGAGTCAAGCGCTTCGTAGTGTATGTTATATTTTTTATTAGTTTACTGTATTATCATTCTTTGAGTACAACATTTACTTGTAGAACATTTACACTACACGTAGAACATTAGTACTAGAAAAAATTAGGGATATCTACTAAAATTCAAAACGTTCATTCGTGCGAAGTATTATTACAGATAATTGATGTCATATTCGTTACACGTTTTTATTATATTTATTTATAAAGGATTCTTCAACATATAACGAGCGTGTTCAAAATACAAAATCAGTGATCTGCGTCACCACAAATAAATAATATAATTGAATCTGACAGATGACGCATTATTATCGTACTTTTTTTTCAATATTACATTCACTTAATGTAAAACATGGCCTGTTTTTCATCATCACTACAATCGGCATATCCACAGTAAATGAGATTATATGGTATGTTTAAATAATGTGTTTTGTTCCTTTTATTCAAATAAAGATATTTCATAGAAAGAGATTCATATCGAAAAAAAAGGAAAACACTATGACCTGTGAAATAGATTTATTGAAAACACATGTGAAATAGATTTATTTTGTGAATGGTTATGAAATAGTGAAGCCGGCTACGCTAAATTTAGTGAAATTAGAAGAGAATGATGCAGTTAGGTCAATTGGGAAACCGGGATTTTGTCAGGACTTAACCACGATGGCATCCAGGGTATCTTAGTTGTTAGGGGAGCAGCTAGTCCCTGGGTGACTGCGTGAAATCCTACTTTAGAGTACATTTTTAGCGAAGCAACGAGTCCCCTTCTCTATAAATAGGTTTATCAGATGAAAACCTTTACATTGTTCTAATCCTAACAAAGTATTGATTGGACACATACTAACGAAGCTAGATTGTTAATAATAAACTCTAAACAGTTTTGCATTGGTGTTAATTTACAATAATTTACATTAATCGAGTGCATACCAGTGTAGCAAATGGTAATTTCCTCACAACCAAGTCTTAACCCTGAAAGGTCATTTACCTCGTAATGTTTTCTGGACCAAAACGTAAACCTAATGCAATTTTAATTAGGTAATATTTTTAACATTATTTCCTCTTTGAATTAGTATCAGAATTTTTTGTACCACATTAGAAATTTTAGATATTTGTGGGTCTTTAATATTTAGTACTTATTCAATACGATTGGATATCTAACATCAAATAATCTGTACCTTGATATAGAACGAGAAATATTAAAAGGAAAGTGGGCATGTCATGTCATTATGATATTAGAATAACTGCACAACATCGATTTCACCAAGGTATAATGCTTCTAGTTATTGTAAACATGTAGTTAAGACATTTGCATGTTAATAGTTCACAATATGAAAGTATAAAAAAGACACAAAATTCTAACCCTCTAAACAACGAAATGTTATGTATGAGCACCCTAAAATAATTATTCTATTTTGGACAAAAAATATTTTATAAGCTAAGATCAACTAACAAATTGTTAATAGCCACTGTTGAACTAGTGAAAATTTTCAATGAACTACTGCCGTTGAAAATTTTCACTAATAATTGCACTACAGCACTAATAATTGTATTATTCTTAATAGAGAGATAGAGGTAAATTTTAAAAAAATCCGTGAAACCACAGTAATGTAATCATTACAATATTATCTTTATGTCACACGATATTTTCTTTGATAATTATTTTTGCTTTAATTTATTAGTTGTAAAGATTACTCTCTGTCGTGTTAGTTTGTCTATAAATTTTAATTTTAACAAAAGATTGAGATTCCATTAAATATAAAAGAAGAGTATATTTACAAAAGATATTATACATATAATTTTAAATATCTTTTATAAATGTACTGCAATTATTAATTGCGTAAATGTTACATGTAAAAAAATTACAAATATCATCCGTGAATGCATATTGTTAGAGAGTGCGTTGATTGTATAACAAATAATGAATGTTATCATGCTATTAATATCTACTGTATGCGACAGCATGTACCTTGCATATGCATTCAGTAGTATGCGTTTTCCTATTATGTTTATTCATCTACATCTATGAATACAAAACTAATAAACGTCTGGCTACATATGCTTTGTTAGGATTACTTATGCATACTTGGTAGGAGACAAAATACACATATTAGTATTAGTTAAATAATGCAACTAAGTACGTCAATCAGAAACAAAAACATCGTCAAAAGATATTTCTTCATAAAAAAACCGACTCCAATAACTCAAAAAGAATATTAAGTTTATTTTTAGATTGGTCTAATCTAAAAATAAACTCTATCAAATACTACAGAACAAAAACAGTTTATAAATGACAGAGTTATGAAATAACAAACATTAAAGCCTAATCGAGAACCTTCTCCTCCATGTTGAAGAGTGAAATGAAGCAGTGACATTACATGATAAGATACATGTCTTCAGGAATAACAACGCAAGAGCGGTATTGTGGTGTCAGTATATGGATGGATAACTGAAGTTTTTAATGTATATATCTACATATTGAAGCGACATTACAGGTTTCCTTCCATTATTTGCAGGCGTTATATGACCTCCCTTGAATGATGCGAAGTTTCAATTAGGGGCAGCAAGCTTGATTAACTTGGTATAGGTATGTTACTAATAATAGCTACAGAGCCTGGAGACAGTGCTCAGTTGTGTCTGTATGAGTATCAATTCAATTAGCAACATGTTGATAAAGCGTTGCATTCTAATTGATTTGCTTGTTTATGTTCTTTCAAAACATTTACTTGGCGCATACAAATAGTTTACATGTAAATACACAATATTAATACAATTTCTAAACTGAAGTACCTACTATAACGTTTGCGACTCACCGAAAACAATGTTGAAACAAGTACAGCATACTTGTATACCTATATGCATTTAGTTCTATCTAGTAAAACTAATTTTAACATATCAATGTTAAAATCAGTCGTACTAGATTTAATTAGAGTTTAATTTAAACATTTGTTTCAGAAATTTAAAGTATTGCACACCCATAATTAAAAATACCTTGATCAACTCGTGTCGCGTGGTACTTTTCAAGTCAACTCCAAAACCCAAAATATTCAAGAACGGATTTATTCACACAGTGTATAAACAAAATAAGACAGAATTTTATTAGTTGTAAAACTTAAAAAATGTAAGAATTCAATATGAACTAAAGGGATATCTGTATTGAAATTTACGATATATATTACAATCACAACATATTGATTGAAACAATATATCTAGATATCCGTCTAAAACGGTTTGGATCTTGGTTCCGAAAGTCCAAAGGACAGGCGGCTATTGATATGGACTTTCATAATTATCGCAATCAAAAGATAGACTGTGGATGTGAACTCGCTGAACCCATTGTAAAGATTAATGATATAGAGAAATAATAATTTATGTCAAAAAATTATGAACCAATATATGCGTCTTTTTTAATTAAGGATATGTATTCAATTGTATTTTATCTCCAGATTCGGCAGTGTGACGTTACGTTTAAAAATTCTAGCCTTTCATGAAACAGGATTTTTTTTGTAACTGATGGTAAGTGGCAACATGAACAACACAATGTACATCACGTCATGCCTTCGTACACTGAATTACACTACCATATTTATCGGTACCCTATTTTTTTTTATTCAGCTTTTTGGGCTATTGTCAGGTGATAAGACCTGTAGCACTGCGACCTACGTAGATCTATTGTGATCGCCCTCTATCTACTACTTTTCGATTATATACCCTACAATCAAAACACAACTTCAAAAGCAAAGCATGTATAAAGATTACCTAATAAAGCTATAAAAAATAGTAAGTACAATAAATAAGTAATCGTTATTTAATAGTAATTAGTCTCTGCAATTATTTACTGTAGTTTCTTTTAATAATTTATTTTCTTTTAAGTGATTGCATATAAAATGCATAAGTGTAATGTGGGAATACGAAGAAAATAAATGTTATGCTGCTTTAATGAGTTGCGGCCCTGAGTTGAATCAAATGAGTGCCAATGGCGGACATTGAACTCGTCGAGTGTTATTTAGGATTATCGACCTCCTATCGCAATAGTCGAAACCTGATAACGCTTTACGTGGCGCAGGTAAATGAGGGGATTTAAGACGTTTATTTATCTCAAATCGAAAGCAGAGAGATAATAATTGAAATAATTATATTTGGTTGTTACCACAATAAGAAAGACGACTTTAATCGTTAAAAAATTGATTTAGAAAAACAACATTCAATTATTTTTATGGATTTTCTATTAAAGAACAAATTAGACAGTATAAAAAAAGAAAATATAACAGTAGGATAACATGGACTTGATCAGATGCAACTTGGGAATATATGAATATTATACTTAATTACTTGTGTTATTCTATTGGGATGGGTTAGTCATAAATCCTGTAGGTAGGTACCTAAATGCTTATACTGTCTATTTATCAAACAGCGGTAAATATTTAATATATTTATTGTAACCGATTGCACTGCCATGGCATGCAGTTATTGAATTTATATGAACTTTTATACGAAAATATAATGTAAATAAATGCTTTACGTAAGCTCTATTTATCAGTTGGTAATAATAATATCTGTTACAAAGATAATAGTAAATTTGACATTTTTTATTATTAATTATTAAATTTACTATTTTTTATACATTAGAACCACCTTCATGAAATGAAAAATTTAAATATAGCACCGTCCAACAGACATACGGTGCTAAGGTCATAAGGATTGGGCTTGTTAAAGTTAGTTACAGATGGATACCTACTTCTTGCTAGAGGCTATCAATGAATTATGTTACACAAATTTCATAATTTTGTGACCCTTCGGCCTCACATTTGTGAGATATTCCTATTGGATGTTACATATTTTCAGAATATATTATAATAATAATAATCTCAGAATTCACATAGCGCCTAAGTTAAGATAGCTATAGCTTGTGTTATGGGTATTAGATAACCTATACAAATACACAGATATTATATGTTTTCTTTCCTATATATAAAACATAGAAAACACCTGGACAGATACAATCATACTCATGAATATAAATGTTTGTGCCGTGCGAGAAATCAAACCCGCGACCATCGGAGGAAGGCGGTGTGCGAAACCGCTAGACCACCGAGGCCGTCATATATATTATGAATCGGATGGAAACGTTTTTATTTTTTCCATTATTAATTCAATATTCGTGTCTTAATTTTGAAATGTGACATCACGAAATTTAGGTCTCATCTCACTATGTCCCGCTTTATCGACCGGAGAGTGAGCTTAACGGGTGACGTAATACATGAATGGCGTCTATGTTACCCTCGACAAATTTTCTAGATCTTTCATCATTATGGTTTTTCATAGAGTTCTTTGAATATGGTATACAAGTGTACGGCACGCCCGAAGCTGAGAAGATACAGGAGTATATGTTGACCTATGATAAAGCAAGGGCATAGCGCGCGCTTGCGCGTTCGCGACATTGACGAAACCTTCTCAGAACTTTTCTACAGAAACCTCTGAAATGACGATGCTTCACAAAATATTATTGTTACACATAACATATTAATATTCAATAGTTACGTATAGAATCGTAAATAAACATATAGGTACATAAGACTTTTTTGCAGTAGTAGGCCACACGACTGCAATTTTCCTTAAACTGTTTTTTTTTATAATTATCCTCATACGACCTCTGATTTGTGGACTCATAAATAACAGTTGTACAACAGATGCATCAGTTTTATTAGTTTTTCTAAAATCAGAAGATAGGTAAAATATATAGAAAAAAATACTTACATTAGAAAAATTATAAAAACATATTAATAGTGCAATGGTGTGAAAAGAACAGGATATTTAAAATAAGAATTTGTGTTTAAGCAATTAAAAATAATAAATACCCTGAAGGACCTTACTAATGATAAAATACCAAATGTTTCAGAAGTGATTATGAAGACAAAGTACAGACTGTGTTACTCTAAATTGGTTTATATTATTATTTTTATGCTTTAAAAAATATCTACAAAACTCCGCCTTGGCTATTGAAATTGCTAATGGACAAAAATTTCGCAAGGTAAAGGACACAAAACTGTGTGTCAGTCACTACCCAGTATTACAGCTATTCCTGGCTGGGAATTTGGATGTTCACAGGATGAAAGGCTAGGACTTTTTGAAAGCATCAAAAATCTGACTCTTTAACCCTTGTATGTCCCCTTGCGGCCATGTCTCGTATGTATAACCCCTCGTTATCAATCACTTGCTGATCACTATAGTAAATAAAGGTCGTAGTTGCTAATTATTCACATCACTAGATTTCGATTAAAATTTTAAAAAATATATTTTTTTTAATTACATAAAAATCGTTTGATAAAATCAAAATAGAAGAAATTAATTAAATGAACAATTTGAATACCTGATTAGAAACTTGTTCGCCAACAAAATGAATACAATTTTAACACTCGTGTGTACACAACGGCTGCCGGCACGGTACTAAACTGAACTATGAAGTTTGTATTCAATCAAAGCAGGTCACAGTGACCTTAGTGGTGGTTATCAGGATCTTTCAATGGCAAAAGACGGTTAAATTACACGTTTTGCGTAATTAGGAACCGCCAGAAATTTGAGTAAAATCGTCTAATTGATTTGACTATTATTTACGCAATAATTTTTAGATTAGTTGTTTATAAAAAAAATATATAGCCAGCCAAGTATAAAATAGGTATAAACAAACAGTATTTGCGGAACCAACTAGTTTTGATATAGTCATTAATTTATTTCTATAACGTTACTACATTAAAGTACAGTAATTTTGCGAAATGTTCAGTAGTTTAATATTTATAGAAATGGAAAAGCAAATAATAGTTTGATACCTAGTTGACATGACAAGGGAAGGGAAATAGAAACAAACAAAAGTTTGTCTGGGCCTGACATGCCTGGAGGCAACAGGCATTCATATACAATGGTACACACTACATAACCATACTTCTTTCGCCTCTGTTCAGGCGGAACATGTCGTAATGTCGGTTAGGATGATACCTAACCGTCATTACATAAACATAAATAACAGAAGAATGGATAGCTGAAGATAAGAATAGACAGACAGATAATAAATATAGTAGATATATATACCATGTACTATATTTGTCATTTTTTTTTGTAGTAAATGTAACACGGATATTGTGATATTAATCGTGATTATAAACAAAGAATACCATCCACCATAATTTATATCCAGGCAGAATTACAGCTCATTCCGTCATATAGAGAATGAACTTATATAACTTAACGTACATGTATGTACATATTATTACAAATACTAATATTACAGTATTTTCAAAACCGAACAGAATTTTCGAATAAGTATGTGTTGTTACCACAGATAATATAATATTACATAGTTGTCACTGAAGTACCATTTAAAATTGTAATGTATGTAATGTACAATATACAAGGTGGACTATATATTATGATAATCTGTCAGTTACTCCTTTTATATTTAAGGCGACGCCGTGATAAACTATTACTAAAAAAATCGTATGTAATGTACAATATACAAGGTGGACTATATATTATGATATTGCTCAAACTGTGATATTAAATTATTATTATTATATAATGGATACATTTAATATGTTCAGCCAGTAGATTGGACTGTGCGTTGATCTGTCAGTTACTCCTTTTATATTTAAAGATTATGAATGGACAAAGCAGTGCCAAGAACGTATGATATAAAGTAGCTAATAATAGTAAAACTAAGAATGGCGCACGTGATACGAATCTTTCCGATTTGAATGAAGTCTGACAGCGAACGAAGGTTAACAAACTAATGTAATCAATTAGGTAAGGGAAATCATGCTTCAAGTTGCTCAGCGAGTCATCGAGAGGGCTATGCTCACTTTCACCATAAAGAATTACATGTAATATTTATACTACACTATGAGTCCGTAAACGTTGTTTTGCCATATTAATGAAAATCGCTATTTAAAAAAAAGGATTCATGCTAGAAGGGTTAAAATTTAGGGTTGTATGTATTTTTCAATGCTAAATGATATAATAAAATACAAATAAAATATTATGTCAAAAAAATATTTACGGGTTGACAACTCTTATCACTTAGGGGTATAAAAAATAGATATTAGCCGACTCCCAGACCTACTAAATGCATATTCGTATAAAATCGGTCAAGCCGTTTCGGAGGAGTATGGTAACTAACAATGTGACACAGGAATTTTATATATAAGATATATACAGAGTAGAAGCTTACAGGTAATGCTCATTCCAGAATTGCAATCATTACATATTAACACAACTCTGAACAATACTGATGGTATCACCATATTCAGTTCAATACGCTACCTCACTTATCATGGCCGCGATTTCGATACCCGCACAATTAAAAAATTGTGTTTATGACTATTCCTTCGTCGTATTGTTTTTCTATCTATATAATGTAATATATCATTTAAAAAAATATGTACATAAAATTGTCTCTCAGTAGTTTAGTAACCGGAGTTAAAGAGCAATATTTTTTTGGGAGTAAATTACACTGTGATTATAAATAAATAATCCTGGATATACCATCTAGAATTATTTATTTATTTATCCTGTAATTTTAATCTTAAATTGATGGGACCGTAACTATTACTTACACAACAATTCAACAAGGATTTTAATTATAGGAATATAGGATACCTTATTATCCTTACCATTCATTTATTCCCCAATATAGAAACTAAGGGCTCCCATGAAAACAACTTAAGGAAAATAAATTAGAGATTGCACTCGATAGTTTCTTTTCAAATCTTCTCAACTGAGTAGCTAGCCGAACTGAACAGAATGAGTAGTGATAAAAAAAGATTACAAACAGAAGCAACAAAAATAGGATATTTGAATACATTATTATAATCAAAATACATTAAAGTGTTAAAAATGTCATATAAAGTGGGATATATGTGCCAAAATAAAAACTCTGTTCATTAGATAGTGATAATGCACCTTATTATTCATTACCAGCTCATTTATTCACTGCATCAACTATAATACACAGCACAAAGAATCATATATTATTTATAATGAAATAATACATATCACAACTGATATATTGTACCCTTAAGGTATGAGTAACTACACCAGCTATGAGAGAAACTTGGAAACCTTGATCTACTTAATATACATTGCACAACATTGTAATTAATAAACACATCTAAATAATAAATATGTACTTATTTATCCACACATACAAACTAGGGAAGAAGCATTATTCAATAATAATAAGTATCTATTCCACATAGAGAACATAAACATAGTGTATGTTAGAAAGTGGATCACAAATTGTTGTTGCAACTACTGTTAATGGTACATTCTCATATTGTATAAGTAGATATATTATAGTAGTATGTGTAGGGTGTAACCTATCACTTGTAGAGTACCTTAGAACTAACTGTAATTATGTAACACCATAATTACATAATATTGTTAACAATTTTCATTTGAAACAGATTAAAATATACACTTAGATCATTTGTATGTATATAACTTGAAATTACAACTAACAAATTGTTAATATAAAATAAAAAACGAATAAAAAGTAATTTGTTGCAATCGAGAATTTTAATCAAATGTATGTATGTATGTATGTGTATGTCTGATGTCTTTTCCAAAATCATAATGACATCTTTCTGTGCCATGATTAACCTGTCCTTACTTATTAAGCATGAGGTTTTCATATGAATTACCAGTTGTAAATCTTGCATACTTTATTGCTTTAATTAAAATAAAGAAAATATTACAAAGATATTATTAAATTGTATTTTTATACAATTTAAACTCTTTGTAATATTACACAATATATTTAATAAGCAGGAAATATGATGACTATATAGAGTATATATAATTATTATATGTACCTTCTTATTAAATATATTGTTTGACAAAATTGTATATTATTTAATACAAAAACAGGAGTAGGTACTGACTATACTTTACTTTGCTTTCTGACCAAATTCAAAACTGATTAAATTTTGGTCTATTGATGATTTAGACTGTAATGCTATTTTGTATTTGTTAGTGTAGTTTTTTTTACCAGGAATTATTAATTAGATAAAACGTAATTTTGAGACTTTGAATAAAATAATTAATATCTACTTCAATAATGGCATATTAAAAAAATTACAGAAGGTGTAACATTTATTTCATTATATTAATTCACTTAAATACTGACTATTTAGAAATATAACTACTCACTGTAATATTAAAAAAAATTTTTTTGTTAAAATTTAATTTCAATGTGAGACTGAAAGTCATTGAATGAAATTAAATACACGTCTGAAAAAGAAAAAATAAGATCTACTTAAGACTACAATACAGAAAATACTCTTTTTAACAGTTTAGTTTTTTATTACAGTTTATTAAAGTAAAATTTATACCTACAGAAATTTAAAATTAATTTCGTACAAATGTAATAGCTTACCGGCTACACCAGCTTCTACAGGATTTTCAAAAAACAATATAAAATATATATTTGAAAGAAAATACTTGTAGTCTAAGATGTGGTTGGTTGTTTTGAATATGATTGATTGATTACACAATTTATACAAGAAATGTTTCTGACTTTGATTTGAGTTTTGACTTTTTGAGTAGAGACCATTTTCGTTTTATTTAATCATGTTGCTGAAAAATCTGAATTGAAACAATTTTTTTTTATTACTTTAATACATAGTTTAGTACTTGTAATAAATAGAAATAAAGATTGTATAAGGTGTAATTTTATTGCAGGTACATGCTTGGTTTTCGAATTTCATTTACTATTCTAAGCGTAAACGTTTTGTTAGTCATTAAACAAAACGTAACATCAGGATCAGGTGTCAGATGTCTCACACATATGTATGTCAGTCATTATCAGTTGAGCTTATCACCGTCCGTCAGTATTGCATATCTGTTTTGATACTATTTCTGAAGCAATGTTTTACAATACGCGCCATCTATGTTTAGACACCGAAATTTGTAAGAGTAAAAAACCATACAGATTTCATTTTGGTCTCTATCATATAAAGATGGTGCCAATAATTAAAAACCTTATTGTTCTGTTATAGAAACAAAGAAAACTTATAACTACAGCTATTTACATAATAGCTGTAGCTGTAGTTATAAGTTTTCGTCGTGTAATCTGGGTTATAAATTTTGCTGCTTCCAGGAAGTAATGTCCTACAGATCTGAATTTATCTGACAAAACCATGTGAGGACAGTGTATATTTATTTCTTAGATACGTTTGTTAGAATATACAAAAATGTAGGTAACTATGTTGATAGTTTCATAATATAATTTGAACCATTGAATATTATACAAAATAAATCAGATCCGTTGTATGGACTGAATAAGATTTGAATAATATGTTGTAGCATTTACGTTTGTATTTATTTAAAATGTTGTCAAGAATTACTCGTAAATTAATATTGATACAAGGGTTTTACTATTCGGAAAAATATTTAATAGGATGCAATAACAATTCAGTTCCAAGTAAACCAGTGTTACTGTGTTTGTATTTATTTTTCTTTGGCAAGTGTTGCCTATTATGCCATTAGAAACAGGAAACGAGACGTGTATTTGTAATTGAGAATGCATATTTAGTTTGAGGGTTCTAAATTCAGAGGCCGCTCTATCTATTTTCTTTATACCTATTCCAATAAGTTAAGGTTAATTGACTGATGATTGCTGTCAGTCTGTCATCAATCGACCTGTTTACTATGTGTATATAATATTACATTTTTATACAATTATTACTTCATTTCAACGTAAAATATATATATTTTTATTTATTAGCTTATATTGTAATTAATATTACTGTATAATTTTACAAATACTTTATAACAAACGGTCATGGATACATTGTATATTGGAGATTTAGAAAATCGTTGTCGAACTTGTTTAAACAATACAACGAATAAAATGCACGATATTTTCGCTGAAAAAAGTGATGCTACTAATGCTGCTGAAATGTTGACGTCATGCACATCAATAATGGTAATTTGTACAGCTGTTATATTTCAATATGTATTTAATATACATGTATTATTTGATTATATTGAGTATAATTTTAGGTGAACCAGGACGATCCTTTACCAAAGAGGCTGTGTGGGAGTTGTTATAACTGTCTCGTAAGCTTCTATGACTTTAGAAAACTAGCTGAAAAGGTAGACACACAACTGAGGCAACAATTGAGTAGTATTACATCTCTGGGCGGTGAGGATGCAATGTTAGACATTAAAGTTGAAAATGATCTCGCTGACACGAGCGCCGATTACGATTTGCTGGATGACGATGATACTGGACTAGTGAAACAGGAGTTTGAAAATCATAATTCAGATGAAATGTCTAAACCGTTTTTGTGTGATATATGTTATCAATCTTTTGATAGCTCCATTCTATTGGAGACACACAGTCAGACACATATAAACGATACGAAACTAAAGTGTGACATATGCAACATGAGTTTCGTCAAACAATCTAAGTTAGAACAACACAGACTTAAGCATAACAAAAGCAAGTTGTACACTTGTAATTTCTGCTCCGAAACATTTAAGCATCACTATAAGTATGTAAAACATTTGATCACTCATGGTGAAGATGTGAAAAGTAGATCGTTTATGACAGAAATTAACCAGAATGCAAACCAAAGTTTCCAATGTGGTGTATGTTCCACTAGCTTTAAGTCAACACATTCCCTCGCAGCACACATGCGAAAGCACACAAAAAAAGATAGGGTGTTGTCTTGTTCTATATGTAGTAAAGTGTTTAAAAAAACTAGTCATTTGAAGAGACATGAACTATCACATGAAAATAATAGACCGTTCAAATGTACTCAATGTTCCAAATCATTTATATCAGATAGCCATCTGGCCGAACATATGAATAAACACAATGGTGTGAAGCCACATGCCTGTCCAATCTGCAGGAAATCTTTTTCCCATTTGTCAACATTGACTTCACATATAAAAATACACACAAGGGAGAAACCACATTTATGTCCAACATGTGGGAAAAGATTTGATTCTACCACAAACCTAAATCAGCATATAAAGAGGCATATTGGACTTAAGACATTTGCTTGTAACTTGTGTCCTAGGACATTTGTAAGTAAAGGTAAATAAAAGTTATTTGAAGTTTTTGTTTATTTTAAAATAATTGTAAACAACAACATACTATCATGAGTATCCCTAGGTTAGTCAGAGGTTGTTGGCTATTGATGATGCCAATAGCCAACAACCTCTGACTAACCTTATTAGGGCACACATCACTTATCATGCTTATGACAATTATCAACTGGTAGACCTGAAGACAAATGCAGTAATAGTTATAAAAGCTAAACATCAGGTAGAAACTTAATAAAGTTAAATCTCTTTCAACAAGAAAGTGGATTTCTGTTACCATACTAAAATACCCATTTTGCACTAAAAACCAACTGTAATAACTAATAATAACTATTTTTATCCCCCTCAAAATTTTTATGCAACTAGGATCACACTTAATTGAGTTGTTTTGGTCAGTCAATTAGACTCTAGACACTTAATTTTGGATCAAAAATTGACATGTAGGGATAGGCCACTAAATCAGTCAATCATATCTGTCAGATATCAGTATCTACTACTCTATATACTGAACAATATTTAATGAACAAATTTAAAATGTACTCTATTAACTTTGCAGGAGAGCTGAAGTCTCATGGGATAACACATACTGGGATACGTTCCTACACATGTGACCAGTGTGGTTCATCATTCACTAAAAGCAGTTCACTTTGCAAACACAAGTTGAACCATTTGGGTGTAAAACCATATCAGTGTGATGTTTGTCCTATGAAGTAAGTTTATCTATACAAATAAATAAAATTGAAGTGTCTCTTTGTAATTTCACTATATGCATTTATACACAGTACTTCAATAAAAAAAAAATAAAGAAAATGTTTGTCTGTCTGTTTGCTAATCTCTGAAGCGGCTGGATCTATTTCCACGGACTTGCTAATAGGTAAATTTGCTAATTTAAAATTTATAAAAACTATTTACAGGTTCGTTGGTAAAGAGCATCTGAAACGGCACTATCGTATACACACCGGCGAGAAACCATACGGATGTGATATGTGCGACCGTGCATTTACACAGAGCAATGATTTAGTCAAACATCGCCGGGCACATTTAGGTGACAAATTGTATAGGTAAGTTTATATTCCGTTTATACGGGGCTTCGGTGGTGCAGCGGTTTAAGACCATGCCTTCCGATGGTCACGAGTTTGATCATAGAGAACAAATATTTGTATTCATAAGTTATGATTTTCTAGGTGTTTGTATGCCTATGTGTTTATTTAAGGAAACCTGTATTCAAGTATTTTTATTAGTTGTTTAGTACCAACAACGGTCGTAGCATTAATTATTCTTTATTAAAAATAAAAATTTGTAGTAGGCCGCTGCTGGAGATTTTAATTTACATAAATATAAAAAACAATTTACTGACTCAAAACGTTTTTTAATTAATGTTAATTATAATCTGGATATAAAGTGTACTGAGTTACATCACTATGTATCGATTATGTATATCTGTATATCAATATTCTACTTCCGTTTTCATCGATACATATTAATGTAACAGTAATTTTTAATAAAGCCGATATTTATACATAGACTAATTAAAAATATATTATACATAAATATACCATCATATCTTTTATCAGAATGGTGGTCCATGACATTATCGAATATCGATGTCAATGTCATGGTGAAAGCAACACGGAAGTATAAATTGGCATTTCAATATTTTTTGGTGTCGGCCCGATCCGAATTCATGACATGGGTTTTGCTAAGACAAAAGTAGTATCCATACGTAAAATTAGAATAATCACGCTTTATTTATTATTAATTATTAAGCTCAAAAGCAGCGAGTAAAGGATAAATACAATTATGGGCAGACATATTCAATCTACCTTCACACGTCTTCGTTTCTTGCTACTATTGAAATGTTCTTTAACATCTACCCGCTGTTCTTCGGGTTACCCGTGATCATAGTGGTTGTAAAACTGCCGAATTATCGGAAGCCCAACAATAATATACAAAACGTGGGAAGATCCCGTCTTCGTTTGTTGCTACTATTGAAATTTTTTTTATCACGCTGCTCTTTAGTTTATGCGTAATCATGGCGGTTGTAACATTGTCGAAATATCAACTGTCGAGAACTCAGAATACTGAGTTATTAATAAATAAATATGAGGTGGTTATATACAATGATTTTCTTAATCGTCGTATCTGTCTGGTTGGAGTTTATCTTCAGCCGCTCTACAAGTCATTCCGCGGGTTTGGAGTGCCTTCTGCACTGCCTCCATATTTCGGTAAAGATGTAAAGGCCAACTGCAGCCAACAACGTATAACAACAGCAATTCGAAGAGCTTTTGGTTGTAAACCGGTATTAATAATCCATTGGTCCACGACGCTCTCAATGTATCATATCTTCTAGATTATCTGTAAGAAATTGCTTATAGCGATAAGACCTCCTTTTGTTATTACTTTTCTATTGACTGTTTTTTCTTATTATGTTTCTTCTGTGTACACAATAAAGAGTTTATTATTATTATTAAATAATATATTTTTCGTTTACAGATGTGCAGAATGTTCAGAATCTTTTCGTCTCAAAAGCGAGTTGCGACAACACGTATCTGAACATTTCATCTCTCGCCGGCTACAAGCATTAAATGTGAAGTCATCCGAAGTTAGCGATGCGTCTACTAATAACGAAACAGAACTTAATAGTACAAACATAGCTATTGGTGATGATGTGACCACTGAAAGTGAGAACATGGCGATTATACAGAACGGAGCACTATTAGCCGATAGAAATGAGAAGTAATTTGAATATGGAAATCTATTTTATTTACAAATTTAATTTAAGTATCACAATATTATATGTAATGTATTTTATATAATTTTAATGTAAATATCCAATTTGTTTTGTATAAATGGTTAGTAATTTATATTGTTTGGTCAAATATAACTTATGGCTATGGTATTTTGTTCATTTTATTATTTGATCTATTCTGGTCTACTTTGGAAACTAGTTCTGATCCAGTGATATTGGCTTTTCATCCTTCTATACTGTTATTATTATAACGTATCCATCTTCTTGAATAATTATTGCAACGTAATAACACTATAATCCTTATTTTGGGAAGGAACTGACTCCTGATATCCAGCTCACGCTAGTTTGGGAGTCAGGACTCCATCAAAATAAATAAAAAAAAAAATTCCATATATTGAGTAATGAAAAAACGAATTAACATTGTTATCGGATTTTTAAGTTTAATCTTTATTGCGTTTCTGTGTAACAATACATAACTGTATTAGATTGAAGACACTTCAGTTAGAGTCCAGAGTAGATGTGCTGATAGAATTACTTTTAATACAATAAAAAAAGTAATTATATAATGAACTCCTAATAGTTAATTAAGAACACAATTTTGATCAAATGTTTGTCTCCAATATTGTGAACATTGAATTATTCTATTTTTAAATTGTTAAATAAATAAATGTGTAAAGTTTAAGAGTTTTATTATATAATGTGACACAGGGCTGTCTCGTATATGATGCCAACCCTCCCACATTAGGGTTGGCATCATATCTCATGGCAAGGTATAATCAATGGTTTAGGAAGAATAATCAGTCTCCACTTATATTTCATACTAGTTGTACCCGCAGTTTCACCCGCGTTATATGTTTTATCAAAGTTCAATAGTTTTTGCATGAAATCCATGATCACAAACTTTCGTGTTTATAATAATAACATTAAAATTTACAATAGGTTGAAAACCAGATTGTAGTACGTATTTTTGTGACTAACCATTTAAATGATGCATTGACTATATCAAAGAAAAATTAGATATACACTGATATAAATATCAGAAGGACATTACTCATTGGCAAGCCGTGAAGACCACTTTCGTAGAAACGAACAACAATAGGTGCATGACTGTACTTATGTGTATTTACGTGTGGTTTGCGGTAGTAATCGGTAATCTTTCCATATAATAAAATCGTAGAATCATGACAAAGCTTCTACTGTCTGTATGTCTGTGTCGAATTAAATATTGACAGGATATGTTGTTAAATAGGGATCAACACAGAGAAAGCTTATGAAATACCCCCTAAATAAAAATATCCTACTTAATTTTATGAATATTTGAAGATCGTCTACCATTTTTAATAAAATAATGAAAATCTTAATAAACTAGCTGTGCCCTTGGTTTAACCCGCGTGAAGTTTATAGCCTATGTGTTATTCTGATGTATAAGCTACATTACTGTAAAGTTTCATCAGAATCCGTTTAGTAGTTTTTGCTTCAAATTAACAAACATCCATCTATACATCCATACTCACAAACTTTCAAGTAATAACATTAGTAAGAAATTAAATGGCGCCATATTGGTTTTTTAATGTGAATGTTTAATTATAATAAATAGATGGGATTTAAAAATGTACACGAATTCGCGTGACAACTAGTTTTGAATAATTCTAACTCACAAGTGGTATTGACGACCTTAGTCTGAGGCGAGTCTGCTTGTTTTGTGCGTTCTATAACTATACAATATATTGTGTTTCGAGGAATTTTTCATACATTGATGTCTGAAACTGATACACTTTTTTTAAATACATAGGTACCTAGTATAATGCTTTGAAAATAGCCAGATCAAATCAAACTATTTTTCTCATAAATACAAATGTTTGCAGAATCGAATCCGCAACCAGATGATGTGAGTTGGTCTACTATATCACTATAACACCGAGGTCGTCAATAATATTATGCTCTCGCCCACAGATCAAAGATACTTCTTTTTCTGTGCTTTCGTCTAATATTTATTTGTGAAGTGCGTACCTACTGTGTACGTCTCGAAATATTTTTCTTCACGAATTGGTTGCTCAGCTAAGGACAGTATATTTGTATGGATAAAGCATAAAGTATTTAGTACAAGACAAAGGTGGGTAATAAATAATAAATGTAAAGGCACATGCAGGCAGTGGGTGTTTGGTCACGTTTGAAAGGGAAACTTCATGCCATAGAGGTTAATCAAATTTCTATGGAAATGTGCTACGTGTTCACTTAGTACCACTGCCATTCATATTCACACTACTTAGATACATATCATTTCACTTTATCCGAGCTTCATTTAAGTATTTAGATTAAATAAAAATTTAATACTAAACACTAATTGGTAGGTAGGTATAGGTACTTAAAAATGGTACATTTCCTTATTTAGTCTTGGTCTTTATTTTCAAATAGACTATATATTTTTTTTTAAGGATGATAATGGAATGGTACACTCGCCTGCGCTAACGGTTTACGCTGGCGTGGCACCAGTGGAGGATGATAGGATGAACATGAAGTCAGATCAGTTAGCCCAACGTGACAAATTCGCCGGGAATGTATCACGATGGTTTCCAGGGGAACCGCGTGGAGGTCGATCTGACATGGTACATTGCTAGCAATGGGATCATTAGTCCACATTACTAACAATCCCCTTCCCCCAATAGACAATATTATATAGTCTATATTGTAGGAAAGAAACTGTTTAAGGATTTACAGTTATGTATTGTTACATTGTGTGTTGCTTACGTGAATGACAAAAATTAAATTACGTATGGGTCACATGTGATTTAAATTTCGTCCTTCAGATTGCTTTATTGTTACGTGCTGTTGCTATATTTTTTTGTGTGAATTAATATGGTCCACTCTGATGCGCTAACGTTTTAGTTGGCGCAACACTAGTGGAAGATAATAGGATGCATATAGCTGAAATAGTGACGATATTACCAGGAAATAGGCTACGGTAACCGTACCATTAGATGCGCTGTAAGCTTGTTTGCCACCTTCGTAGTGTAAGAAAAATAGGTAGGTAGGTACCATAATGGTTTCCATAGACAATCAGTCTTTATGCCTTATTTGTTGAAATTATTGAATAGTCTGCAGTAATACTCCAAAGTTGGTGGTATGTATAAATATGTAAGTATTTTGTGTTTATTTAAATATGTACTTGTAGGTATTAGTCTATTATTGTGAAAACTTATGTTTTAGAAGAAAAAGTTTGTACATAGCCACTTTCACTATTCTAGCGTGCAATTGTATTCGATTTTCGTGTTCTTTGCATTCAAACGGACCTAATTATCTATTTTTTTATGTTCATGCCTTCTTTTTAATGAGTTACGTAAACAGAAACTGTGATACCTGGTATATTATGTTATCTGTGGTAATAGTATGTTCACAGCACACTCCACATAACTTAAAAAGGTTAATTTTATTTTAATTGGTCTGGCATGCCAGACATTTTTTGTTTTTTCTGTTTTAGATAATCTTTGAATACCTGTCGGATGCGGATGTTAATAAATTTATTAGTAGGTAACACAGGCAGGTAACTCAGAATGCGATTTCCTTCTATCCTGATATACTTTCTACAGTCGGCAACGTTTTACAGGCATATAGCTTGCGCAGGGTGGATACTACGACTTATATGACACGTGGTGTGTTCGTTCATGCTATTCGCGACAATTATCTCTATCCATTAGGTGAACTGTCAGCTTGTTTGCCATTCTAATCGACTAATCATGATGGAGATCATGATAGGAGTTTGCCATGAAAGTTTGTCATTTGGCATGGTGGGCAGCATATTAAGTATACTTAATATGCTGCCTCCATGACAAATCACCCTCTAATCAACCGTTTTAAATAGTGAAGATGGCACGCCTAATTACCATGCCCATAACTTAAAAAATCATACTTATGTATGTATAATATAATAATTACAATCATATTAGTTTGCATTTCAAATTATGGTATAAGTACCAGAATATGTTGATCTATAAATAAATAATGCCCACAAGGCATTGAGGTGACACATCTTATTATATAAGAAGTGTTAAGTTAAACTATGAGATGACAAAAAACCGGTTTCATAGCTTTCAAAATATAGGCAGCCGGAATAAAAGCGTATGTTTATTAATTGCATATTGTTGACAAACCTAATTACCTGATTCCGAGTGACTATGATAGGCTCGTCTGCTACACGTTGCTTTTCAATAATGATATGCTTGATGAAATGTAGGAGCATGTCGAGTTACTTTCACTATGGTATAACAATAGCATAATGCCTTTTTAGTGAACGGAGCACTGGACTTGATGATACACCAGTGCATACTGCAAAGTAGTAAGGTGCTTAGACCATATTTAAAATAGCAAGACGCAAGTTTCTTGCTAGTTCCTCTGCGATCCGAATGAATGGTAGAATAAAAAAATATGACTATTTAAAAGTGCTTATATTATTTTTATTTTATAAATTTAAAATTCTATTCTATATAGGTATGAATATATAGTAAATTATAAGTAATTACGTCATTAGCAAGGTTGTATTCTACACGAGCAGTAACTCAAGTAGAGCTAGAGCTATATTTCAATTCTTACGATGTTGTGTTTTTTATTATGAAAAGAGCATTTTTCGACATTATTGGCTATCTTTTCAAATAAATTTGCATTGCTAAGATGGCAATATGGTTATAAAGCAATGCCAGAGAAATGAATTGCTTATATTCGGTATATTTAAATAAAGGCTATATCTATTATATAATAATACTATAACTTTTTAGTTAAGAATTTCCGAAACAACAACCACATGACCTGAGGCATGAGTATTTTGGAAGTTATATAATTGAAGTAACAAATGTAAGCAGATAGGTAAGTATGTATAGGTACCTACGAGTATATGTGAATAGAGGTCTTACGCACTTGGTTCTTGCCGCCTACGCGTTAAAATAAACATATTTAGAGTTTCTAAAAACACATTTAGTAATTTCTTGTCATAGATTGATATGCTCGATTGGATCTCTGGACCACATCTCACTTATCCTATTGTTATTCTTTGTCAATGAAGGTAGATAGATGCCACTTTCTCCAGTGAGTATAATATTACTTTTCAAGGCAATAAATGTATTTTGTTATTTAAAAAAATGCTGTTAGTTTATTTAAATACCGATTTATTATTATGAGAAAAATGTTTGATTAATGACCATGAAGATCACGAAGATCAAGAACTCTAAATACAAGTAGAATTTAATGTGATAGAATATTAAAAAAATTCAAAATACTAAAATCATTAATTAATGTAGAACTTTTAGCCGCTTATGTACGTATTATTTTTATAGTATATTTTTTTCCCTACCGTCCAGTTCAGTATACAGATTCAATTTAGAATAACTGGCAAGAAACTCAATTAATTTTTTTTTAAGCCAGTTTATTTGCAATGTATTTTTATATAAGTCTTGTCTATGTATAACATTAAATAAAAATCCTGTGCATTAATAACTATTGCCATGCCACATAAATATTCTTTTGAACGTAACGTAATCACTATTACAAATGATAACTCATGATGACTGAGGTCTTAATTATTAAGTCAAGGTGCGACAATATTTTTTTTATAAAAAATGATTAATAAATAAATG